CGTAGTTTCTCCTCGGCTACCTATTTCAAGGACAAATTTGCATCGCGCTGTCAGAGCGCAATGTAATTAACACTTTCAACATGCCAAGCATATCACCGGTGGCTCTTTTTTTTCAAGTCGCACTGAAAGTCACGCGAAACATGTCGGTTTAATATTTCGACTGTACGTCCACGCGATTTCACGTAGATCTCGCGTACGTATTCCGCAAAAACGGAAAATTTCACGTGCATTGCGCTCGATTCGTCTCTTTCGAAAGATATTATCGGAATATTGCTGCGTATAATTCTATAAATAATTGATTGATTAATACGAAAGGATTAAAAAACAGCGAGAGAAATGAGAGAGAAAGAGAGAGGGAGATATTCGTGGGGACTATTATACTAAAATAATACAGCCAAGTTTATCATAGTTCGGCAATGTCAATGTGCTGGCTATATGACATTTAAATGAAACATAGGTCTTGTAAAAGGTCAAAGAGAAAGATTACGGCAAATAATAAATCATCCCCTAACACCATCTCTCCGGAACCCGATTATCTCTGTCATTTTCCTATCGTTTACACAGCCTCGGAGAACTCTATCGTTACTTCGAAATAAGGAAAAACCTATTTTAACTCGATCCACCAGTCTATAGTAAGGAAAAGGGAACGCGGCTGGAACGACTTGTGTGTTTGTGTGTGTGTGTGTGTGTATAAGAAGCTCTTAAAATTTATACAACAGAATGTACGCGGCGAATTTTCGGTATCGAAGTAACGGGGACTTGTCGCACGGGGGGTAAAAAAATTTCCACGAGAAAGTCTTTTCGTGTTTCTTCCGACCGAGCCGCATGGAATAAAATTAGCCTCGCACCTTCGATCTATCGGAGATCAATTTCGACCCCGGCGAGGGCGACCTTCGCGCAACATATTACGCGAGCCAGCCTACCCTAGCTGGCCTCTCTTTCACCTCTCCGCTTTTCCAACGAACCCGGCTTCGTCTATCCGTCCGTCCGTCCGTTCATCCTGATACCACGTGACACCTTTGTAGGCGTTATTACATCGTTCATCCCAGTTGCATGCCAAAATACCGTGAATTGAAACGACACTGACCGGGTAAACCACGCGCAGGCCTGACGGAGGAGTCGAGCATCGTCTGGGTTTCGTCAGAAGCCGCCGTTTCAGTTTCGTAACAACGAACGATCCCGTATCAAGAGCGCAGCGGCGACGCAGCGCGGTAGTGCGCGGTAAGAGAAAAATCGTTATCTCCTACGTGTATCCATCGATTTCCTTCTAGCGCCGCGACACCGTGCGCGTACTTTCGACCACCGACGCAAAACACGTGTCGTGTGCGTGAACACGTGTGCGATCGGTAACCAACGGCGATTGGGACGTATCGGCCAGCTAAACTGCGACCTACTGCACGTGTCCCGATTCTCCCCCCCCCCTCCTCCCTCAAGGTGAATGACGCGCAATGAGTTATCGGACTTCGAGCTCGAGGTATTTCCTCGCTCTGTTAGGCGCTTTTGCCGCATTACCGGAGCGCGTGCGCGCGCGTACTAAACCGACACTCGCGCTCGTATATTATTCATCGGCCGTTTCTACACCGCGGCGTCGCGTAAGCGCGATCGAGAGATCCCGTACAAACACACACATATACGCATCGCGAAAATCACAAGATACACGGCAATAAAGCTACCGTGAATTATTTTTGTCGTCCCTGTATTTCTCCCTGTTAATCCTTATAATACTGTTGTCGACTACGACCAACCTGTATCGCTGTATCGATATCAGCGGTTAAATCTGGATAACATAACGCCACGCGGGCAATCGTTCGCTGTCTCTTTCTCCTTGACCACGATAAAAGCAGAGTTTATGCGTTGCACTTTAAATTTAACGAATCGTAAAGAAGTAACGCGTCCATTATATTTCTCCATGCTCGCTTCGCGCAACGTGTTCCCAACTTGAAATAAACAAATCACCTACGCAACCTACGTTCTCTGAGAAGGAAAAATTTTGCATATATCAATAAGGATATAATTTCGCGTACTGAAGTTTCTCCGAAGTGTCACGCGGTATTTTCTCTTTTTAAAAGAGAACCTCGAGCGAGAATGAATTACAGTTCCGGACGGCGCTGCTGAAGTTTTACAAGTGTCGCGCGAGAAGCGTGGGTTATACCCGTGTAATATCTACTGAGGGCGTAACGTTTAATTGAATCCGGCGTATAGGTCGTATTCACGACTTGTTTGTGTACGAGCTAATTGTTCCTGACGACGTACGGTCAAATCAACGATGCTGAGGCTACCGATATCGATAAACCCGCTGGACTGCGCTGCCGCGCGCTCACCTGTTTATTCCTTGGAACGAAGTCGCGACGTCTACCAATATAAATCTGACGAAAGGACGAATTTTTGTATGTCAGCCAAAATACGCCGAAACAATAGTTCGTCTTGGTCAATGTCGCGTAAGATAAGTAAAAATTATGGACCAAAGGAACGAGGAAAAATAATAAAGCGTCTCTAATAAAAATTGCCTCTGATCAAAACACTAATCGAGCGAGAATTAAAATGCGCGTTATATTACTCGCGTTATATTTTGTCGATAATCGTAACCCGGAATTTATTCATTTAAACGCTACGATTATCTTCCGACGCGTTTGTATTGTAATGGTCGATGTTGTATCGTTAGCCACGGTAAGCACGAATTTACAACCCATGGTTGCGCTTTACAGTCCCGCACAATGCGCGTCATTATTCGGGAAAATTGAATATGTTACGATAATGGGAAACGAGATTGTGTGCAAACCATGTACGAATATATAAATGTTGGGACAAGGTGCGCGAAGGTGATAGCTGAACGACAGCATGACGACATCCGCCATTTCTCTCGGATACTATGCAGATCTATTTTCGAGTAGTGGTTAAAATAGAGCTGAGCTTAAACTTCTCCGCTAGACACTGTTGGAGTTACCGCGTCGGAAAGGAATTAGGTCAGACCCGAACGACAAAATAAGTATCAGCGAAGTATAACCTCAGATAGCGCTGTCAGATAACAAAAAATGAATGACATCAATTATTGATGATAACTTCGGTAATTCTTATCTGCCATGGGAAAATTTTCTTTCTCGAAATAGGTGTCTCCTAAGGTGGGTGGTGGTCGTGTATCTTTAAATAACACGATATTATATGTCTGTGTCTGCTCACGCGCGTCTGTCGCTACTTCGAAAAGTCTTTTTACAAGCGACAATATTTTGTCGTTGCCCCGATATCTCGCACGAGGTTTACCGCAAAAATATAAAATTATAAATTACGAATTATATCACACATGTATCGCGTGAATACACGCAAATGTGCGAACCTTGAAAAGACGATTTTCAAATAAATTATAATTATAATGTTTAATATGTAAAGTTTAATATATAAAGAAAAATTTCGCAAATTAATACATGTTCCATCCGAGATCTACAATTCATAAAATTGTTATTATATTTTGTTAATAGCCTGAATGGAATTTGAGGGGGATTTGTCACAAAGCACGTAATAAATAATGAATGTAATAATGATGATATAAATGAAATTTATCCAATATACGAATACTGTAAACAGTAATATACACAACGACTCCATATTAAATTTATTTCAATCAAGAGCCCGCGGTAGTGTAACTTGATGGTCGTACGAACGGGGGTTATGAGTTTTAATCAGCTGTTAATTGTATCATAAAAAAGAAGAAAAACAAATGCTGAAAGCGCACTGCCGTTTAAGATCAATATCGCGCTTCAAAACGCAATACAACCTAATTGTGTGTCGACGTAAATGGAGCGCAGACGTGGAAAGATGTGTATATATATATTTATAATTGAGGCAAACGCTGACCTGTATTTTCGCACGGCCCATCTTTCCCGCGTTACTTTTATCTATTTCTTTTCTACTTCGATCGGAACATTTATTCGCGACGTTATTCGGCGACGATGCGCTCTCGCGCTTTATACGCTCGAGCCGAGAAAACGACTTCCGCGGCACTTCAAATATATATATATATATATATATATATAACTTCGACCTTTCCTTTGAGCGCGCGCGTATACGTGCCGTTTCGTTATCACGTGGCGAGATATGCGAAACGACGACGAGCGCGTTGCGTCAGAGATAACCTGGATTCCACCACGTAAAATTCTCGCGGGCGGAAACGCGCTCGCAACACGATGAGTCCTTTTTGGCGTTCGTTCGTTCATTTACGGTCCGAGGGTGTGACATTATCGGCACTTTAAAAACATCCGTCGGCAGTGCCGAAACAATCGTTGGCTATATTTAAATGCGAGTCTCTCTGTCCCCCAACGAACAGTTGCATAACCCGAAGAGTGCGTGGCACAACGTACGCGAAAATGCGGAAGTCGGAGCCCTAGCCGGCGAGACCGCATGATTGCCGGTGCAGTTTTACAAGCGAGCACCTTTGGCTATACTGCCGCTCTACCGCGATCGATAACGCAATGCCACTCGGCTAAAAAAGTCGTGGCAACGTCTGTGCCATCGGCGTGCGCTCGCGAGTCGAGCGAAACAACGAAGCAGCGATCGCCTTTTTTTCTTCCTTTTCACTCGTGATCTCTGCAACTATCGTGCGCGAGCAGCGCGCACGAAGCAGAATGCTACCTAATTGACTACGCGGTTAGCGCGTCGCTAATAGTTGGTGGCACTTTCACAAGGAGAATCGGTCGCGGCTACGATGCGTTTTAATTCGCCAGTGGCGTTTCACTGAATAAAAGAGAAGCGATTGATTAAAAATTCTTCTCGGAGGATTTGCCTCTCGGGCTCCCGAGCTGCCATTTAATGCCGCGGAAATTGACCTCGCTCCGACTACGCGAGTTATTCTTCCGCTTTGATTCGTCGGACGTTTGTCCTTTGTTTCGCTCGCGTCTTCGATACGAAAACAAACAAATGCAAGTGCTTAAACTCGCGTCTACAGCGAGCGAGATCCGTTCGCAAACGAAGCTTCGATGAAACTTCCCTTCGACTCGGCCCAGACTCACCTGCTGGAACGGCGGCAACTGCAGCAGGTCTCTCTCCTCGGCTGCGGTGACTTCGAAGGTGGGGGCCGGCTGAGGCGGGTAGATGTTCCCCTTGCCAGGATACGAGGTGCTCCGGCGGAACTTGACCGGACTGATACAGGAAGGATGCGCCGCCTGACCAGGGTGACCCGGAAACGTCGGGCTCGGCTTGCGACCCTGAAGTCCGGCCGCGACCGCGGCGGCGGCGTGCAGGGAGGAGTGCAGCGGCGGTAGATTCGGCACGGATCTGCCGCGGCTCCAGGGCGACAGGCCGGCCGGACTGGCGACCGCGGCGGCGGCCTGTGGGCCCGCGCCCCATTGCTGAGGCGCCTGCGGCCCGCCCGACCACGCCGCGTAGCCTTTGCCCGGCAGGTAGACACCCGGATGAGACGTCGGCGGCGGTTGCTGCTGCTGGTGCTGCTGCGCGGACGGGAGGCCGCCGTGCCTGGTGCCAGCGGGCGCGCCGGTGTTGCCGTGCTGCTGCTGTTGCTGCTGCGGAAAGTTGTGACTGGCTGTGATAGCGCGGCGAGTGCCGCTGGAGACCGCGGCGGCGCCGCTGCTGGCGAAGAGGCCCGCCGGTCCGCCGGTCGGGAAATTTTGAAAGGCGGCGATCGAGCCGTTCACCGGCAAGGCGTGCAGCCCGCTGTCGTCCGGCGCGGACCAGAGGCTGGGCACTCTGCCGGGGTCGGCGAAGCCCTGCAGCGCCGAGGACGTGCTGCACGTGATGTCCTTCTCCGCGGAGGACGGCGTCGTCGGTGTAATGGCGATGCTCTCCACCTCGACCGCGTCCTTCGACTTATCCTGCCCGGCCACGGTGTCGAGCGCGCTGCTCGGCGAGAGCGGAGCTGGTTTGCCGGCCGCTTGCTTCTCGATCAGCAGATCGTCCTGCATCGTGGATGATGTCGTTATGTTGTTGTTGCCGCTAATCGTCGCGCTGAGCTTCGGGCTGGTCAAGGTACTCGCGAACAGGCTCGCCGTGCTGAAGTCCCCCATAAATCACCCGGGGTTTCCGAGCGTCCGAGCGTCGCGCGATAACCGACGCTGCAGCAGCTAGGCCCCTCAGGAAACTTACTTCTCCCTTCCGTAGTGAGAGGATCGCAGTCCACGTAGCGTGCTCGTCGTTTCTGTCCGGCACCAACTATCGATCCACGCGTAAAAACACCCACGGCGAGAGGTCCCGGAAACCACGCCGCGCGATGATCCTCCTTTCCCCTTAATCTCGTCGACGCGTCACCACGTTCTAGCCCTGCACTCTCCTCCTCTCTCTCTCTCTCTCTCTCTTCTGGATCCCGCTAACGCCGCGTCGCCCCGGTACGTCCCCGTGGCATCCTCTTGGCCGTGTCGGAGAGCTCGCAGCCAGCTCCTCACTCGGCGACGCGCGTTGTCATCGTCGGTCGCGCGGCGCTCCTGGCTGCCTCCCCCGCGTTCGTTCGATCGCTCGCCCGAGCGCCGGGTCTCGTTACTGCCGTGTGCACGACGTCCGAGGCTACCCCCTGGCGAACATAATTTCGATCGTCACACCGCTGGACCACTTGGAATCCTCCCAAGTACGCAGCGCAGCGCGCGCGACCTTTTGCTTTCCACTACCACACGCGAAGGAGGGAAGAGTGTGTACACGATATGTTTTACCCTCACGGCGAGACGAAGCCCGACGAAGGAAGCGATCGCGTGTCCTTCGCGGGCGATCGCGGGCGACTCCGACGCTGCCTGTGCTCGCACTGAACCCGCGGAATTCACCCCGGCGAGGGAGGGGTGGTTTCGCCGCGGTTAACACACGCGGGGACTGGTCGTCGCGGCGATCGCCGATTGTTCCGCGGCGGTTCACAGCGCGCGATATCGCCGGCCTGGCTGACTGACTGGCTGGCGCGATCGATCGATCGCCGATAAGCCCGGTGTGTATATACGAGCCGCGCGGAGAGAGAGAGAGAGAGAGAGGAGAGGAGGGCTCGCCGATGTGTATTTGCTCGCGCGCGCACACGGTGAGTCTCGCGGGGACACTGGCGAACGCGAGCGCTAGCTCGAACCCGAGGACCCGAGCGTAGGCGCGCGCGGGGTCAGGTCAGGGTTACTACCACCGTCGTCTCCTCCACCCGGACGAAAGCACACGGTAATCCACGCGACGCACAGGAGAGTCTCACGCCACGGCGAATCGTTCTCTACGGCGCGTCGTTGTTTCTACGTCGTCACTGTGTGCTTACACCACCTCCACGCACGTCGTCTCCCACCTCCTCTACGAGGTACGACGGTCCGCCACCCGCTCCGTTGGCATATTTTCCCTACTTCCCTCGGTGGCTTTCGTCCGTCTGTCAGTTCTCGCCGCCGCGCGTACGCCCTCGCGCCTCCGTCGGTCGTCGTGCTCCAACTCGAACGGTAGAGGGAGACGAGGAAGCTGCAAAGGGGAGGTGGAGGAGGAGGCCCGGATAACCAGCAGAGCGCGTTTCGACGAGGCGGCTTCGTCGTGTGTGGCGCGCGCGCGCGCCGCGATTCGTGCGTGCGTCGTGCCGACTTTTGGAACACTGCGGCCGCGTCGGAGCATGCCACAGCCCGTCGGAGGATAGGCGTCGTGGAACCGCGCGCGCTCGGCGATCTTCGTTCAGCCACCGACCTGCTGTTGTTCTCGACCTCGCTCGCCGTCGTCGTCGTCGACCTCGCCGTGTCGTTGCGTCGGCCGCGCTCACGCAGGCGCTCTCGCGACGACGTCGCCATCGCGGCCGCACCGAAACCATCATCCCCCTTTTCCTCCAACCCTCCCTTTCTACACAGGGTGCCGAATACGACTGCATCCCTCGGTGTTTCGAGCGGAATCATTTAATATCGATAATCGATAGGTCCCGACCGTAGCTCCGCGGATAGTTCCATTTCGGAATAGGTCGAAATGATTGCAGCGATTCGAAAACGAAGCACGCGCGCTTGGGCGGTCGTGTGAACGATGTTCGTCCTTCGTTCTGATAAAGGGAATGGTCGTAAACGAGACGATAGTTGCGCGAAACAAAGGTATAAAAAGAAGCGGCTTACAAATACAGGCTCCATTTTAGACGACCTATAATTTCCGACGCGTTTTAATCTTGTAATTATTATAATTTCGGACAATCTATATTAATTTATAATTCACGATACAATTTGCAGCGAAACTTTACTCTCTGCTTTCATTCGATATCTTTCTACCTTCTTATTCCGTGCTGCAGTCGTTAATTAAAGCTTATCGCGCGTGAGATACTCAGATCTGAGTTTAGAATTTAAGTTTTTCACTTGTGAATCATCGTCGCGTATAATCATACGTGTATGACGCAACTCGACACATAAAATTACGGATGAAACACCACCTCGAACTCTCTCATGGATCATAGGTCGTCTAAAGTGGACTTTGTGAAATAACAGTCTCTCAGCTCTCTCATCTGCTCTCTGGACTATGCTCTTTGGGTAGAATAATTTCAGATTCCATCGTTGAGATTCAACCGTAGATATGTTGCGAAACAAACGCGACGAGTGCCATATAATGTACCGTTGTGGTTCCGACTGGAGAAAGATCCAATTCGAATTCACAAAATAGAATTCGCTGGTTGGCTCGAGGACACCCAGTATACCGGTCGCCTTCGGGGACTCGAACCTTTCCCAACAACGATCGACGCAAGCGCCGCGAGACGGGGGCTTGATAAGCGGTCGCTCGATAAGAGCCGAGAGAGCTGTTCGGTTATATACCGACGGAACAAAGAGAGAGAGAGAGAGAGAGAGGAGCGGGCCATATGGTATAAAGGGGATTAGAGAGCGGGCGTAAATAAAAATATCACGACGTGCGATTTATAGCGGAGGATAACGAGGATCGCGTGCTTGTAAGAAAAAGGGCGGGTAAGAGTAAGAAGGGAGGTACGCGCCACCGCCTCTCTCTCCCTCTTGTAATTGCACTCGAATCTCGCGTGCCTTCTTAGCCGAGGAGGTATCGTCTTACACAGGGCTGCCTCCGTCGGAGGCTACAACGCGTAGTAAATCTTTCATGATTAGCCGCAGGATGCGAACTACGATCGCGGGTTCTCGTAGACGCAGTCGACGCCGCGAATGCGCTACGCATCCCCTCGTAAATCTCCCGAAACCATGTTGCTTCCTGATTTCACTTACGTAACGTCGAGATTGAACGCCTCCGCGCGTGATCTCCTCGTCGAACGCGAGACTAATCTAATCATTCCGACAGATCTCATCGAAGTCGCTGATAACAAGGGCGACGATTGAGATCTCGGCATCGATGAAACGCTCCGGTTCTTTTCTTTATCGGGAGATTGTGTTTGAATAATTTACGCACACTCGCGCGTATAAATGCGCACTGAATTACCGACGCGAAATCAACATTTGTACAATGCGCGCTTTGTACGAAAATGGGAGTGGGAAAATATGGTGATGATAGTAATAAGTAAAAATAACGAATAATAATGAATATACGTGTAAAATGAGGGATGCAATTTACGTGCCATTTGTATGTATCCCCTTTTTACGATATTTTTATACATGATATACATATTGTGAATGAAATATATACACGATTCGATACGCAAAAATCGAAAACATGAACAGGAAAAAAGTGCTAGATTCCAGTAAATAATTACAATAATACTCTTTAGCAGATTTTTACTTTGATAGAGTAAATATTACTTGAAGGTAGCACTTTTTTTCTACATTCAAATAATATTCACTTGATTCAAATAAAATTTGCTTAATCCAAGTGAAAATTTGCTTTAACATTATTCTTTTATTATTGAAGTAATTATTTACTTGAATTTATTCTTTTTCTATATGTTATTTATAACGGTTTGATAATTATGTACATTAAAGGGCGCCTTGATGATGACTTCGGGGACTGAGACTTTCAAGCCTTTACAGTTTTTTATATTGTATAAAAGAAGTCGATATGTGGAATAGTTATCTCTGGCTACGTGAAAATCATCTCTATAATATATGTCAAGGTCATCGGCGAAGTACCATCCTTTAACATACAAAATTACCGCGGTTTTTATTCTATTTTGATATTTACCAATTTTTCCTCCGGCAGGTCGAAGATGGAGCGCAGCGGCTTAAACTTCGGAGCTGCTATGACGCGGCTGGGACGGCGTACTCCTTTATATTCGTCATTCGATGGATGACCGGATGACTTTGGCGAGATATCTGCTTGCCGCATTCGGCGATATTTCTCCACGACATACACACGAAGCTTGCTTTTCCAGTCCTCCCGACGCAACAATTCGCGCGCACGAGACTCCTATGAGTCGAAAAAGTGTGACAAATACGGCGATACAAAGTCCGTACCTCCATCATGCAACGAATGCGTGACACTCCCGTCGATTCGATTCGCGAAATATTCATTTTCAACGAGGAGATTTCGCGACACTTATTTCCCGACGATAATTCGCGCGCGAGCTTCACTTTTTTCCAGCCGAAATTACGGGAAATGCAGATTGACTCTCGTCGAACCACCGCGCGCGGTCTCTCTCGAAACTGTTCGAACATCGCAACGGTCGCGATTCTTCGAAGCACCGATGCAGCGCGCGCCGACCAATCGCAGCGGTCTACCCGTTTCTCTCAGAAATGGCGCCAGTCGAGATGCACGACTTGCTTAAGGCCGTTCCGAGGCTCGAAATGTTAACAGGACGTCACCCATTTCGCCACGCTCTGTGCTCTGCAGTCCCGGTGACGACTCGTGCGCGTGATTTTCTTCCGTGATCGACGAGAATAAAGCGCAGCGCGATTCAAGCCCGGGTGGTTATTGAGAGTAAAGGACGCCCGATGTATTTGTCAACATTACAGGTCGCCCGTTTGGCGAGATTCACCAAGATTGTTCAGCGAGACTTCGTCATAACGAACGCGCGACACTCATTTTCGGCACTCCCGACGATGGTGCGCGCGTGAAACTCGACCCAGCCGAGTCAAATCGCAAGAAATACGGAACGACTTAGTCGAACTACCGTGCGCGAACCGTTCCGTAACTGACTGAACATCGCAGCGATTGAGTTTCTCGAAACAGTTCGATACACTCGACACAGCGCGAGACGACCAATCACGGTGCTCCTTTTTTTCAACGATTTAGCTGACTGGCTGCACCAGTTCGAGAAATGTGCATGTGCATCGAAGCGTATGAAGCGTATATAGAAAATTTTCACACATGAATGTGCGTAAATTTCTTGAACTGGCACAGCTAGTTTGTCTGAAAAGTACAAACCGACAGACGACTACCGTGCGCGAACCGTCTGCAACAAACTGAAATAGCCGCGATTGAGTTTCTCGAAGCTCGAATCGAGACTTATCGAAGCTCTCGACGGCAGGTGTGACTCACCGCTGTAGTGCTCCCAAGTATGTTCGCTGCGACGTTGGCTGTACTGTCTACAGTTTCGTCTGTACTACGTAGCTGCGTTGTTCATTCCTGTCAACTTGGAACTGATTGGTTTTAATTTAACAGCACGCAGAAGGATCCGCGTGAAAGTATTGTCCGATCGTGCGGTGTCAACGTTAATTCGCGAAAATGAACAGGCTCTTCGGACGCGCTAAACCCAAAGAACCGCCACCGAGCATCACGGACTGTATCGCTGGAGTAAGGATGACGAGTTTGTTAATGTCACCAGAGACAATTAAATCAATTCCTCTTTCGTGTGTCGAACTTTATTGTATCGATTTTATATCGTTGTTATATCGGGAAAGACTTACAACTTGTATTAAATAGTACTTTGTGTTAAGTAGTATCAGAGAAAAGATATGACTTGCTGTAATGATAAAGATCTGTTTCATAAATGTCACCATGATACTTATTCTAGGTTGATAGCAGAGCAGATTCTGCAGAGAAGAAGATAGCCAGGCTAGATGCAGAACTGAAGAAATATAAAGACCAAATGGTCAAAATGAGAGATGGCCCAGCTAAGAATGCGGTGAAAGCCAAGGCTCTGCGTGTATTGAAACAGCGTAAGATGTACGAGGCTCAGGTGGACAACTTGCGGCAACAGGCGTTTAATATGGAGCAAGCAAATTATGCCACTCAGACACTGAAGGATACTCAGGCAACTGTAGTTGCTATGAAGGATGGTGTCAAGCAGATGCAGAAAGAATTCAAAAACATCAATATTGATCAAATTGAGGTGAGTTGGTAGTAATTCTCCAGCATTAAGATTTTGGAATTTTTCTGGATTTAGAATTATATGAATTGTTCTTGTCGCATGCAGGATCTACAAGATGATTTGGCAGACATGTTAGAACAAGCTGATGAAGTGCAAGAAGCGATGGGTCGCAGTTATGGAATGCCAGAGATTGATGATGATGAGCTTGCGGCTGAATTGGAAGCTCTCGGTGATGACCTGGCTTTAGATGAGGATACCAGTTTCTTAGACGACGCTATTAAAGCACCTAGTGCTCCGGATAAAGAACCTGGGGTGAATTCTGTTAAGAACAAGGTCCGTTCTGCAGTGAGAATACTTATCGATCAAGTTTCTAATTATTAGAATAAGACTTACTTTACTTGTATCTTTACAGGATGGCGTTCCTGTTGACGAGTTTGGATTGCCGCAAATACCTGCCAGTTAAGTTTGAACACATCAAAATATGAACAGATAAGAAAATGTAAGCTTTAAGGTATTCGCGTACATACCCAAAGACCTTCTAAGAAACATAAGAAACACAAAGCTTTTCTGATCAACACTCCGAACACGACACGAATAATGCTCTAACAAAGTTTCGTTTATGAAATTCGCGCCACAGATATATTTAGTTCTGTATTAATAATATTTTGTTACACTGGTCTTTAAAGCTACTATTTTTATTAAATTAGAATTATGTTGTACATATATACATAAGAAAATTAATAAATATTGAAAATAAATATCGACAATTTTCCGTCATGCATGCAAACGGTACAAGACACACACGTGTGCTTTTCCGAGTTCTTACGAACTTGTTAAATTACTCGTAATCTAGAAATGTCCGTTTCTTCCATACTTCGTATTTGCATATAACGTTCACGTAGATCGAGGATGTATTCTTTGCTCTCGTCGAAATGTGCCTCGTCAAATCCATGTACCTGCGTATAGTGGTGAACGTGTGCCTAAAACATAATTTCACGATACTTGACGATTATGCAACAATCCCAATTTTTGTCATTAAGGAATTTTTGCACGTTTATCCGTTCGCTAGTGAGATGAAAAATAACACGAAGACAAAAATTGCTGTTTTTGTTCATTAAAGCAATACGTTGTGATTCGCGTTAGTACCTTTTTCCTGTACAATCTGGAAAATTCTTGTACTATATCTTTGAATAATAAAGACATAGTAGACGAATTAAGTAGACATAGTAATGACGAGGAATGTCCCGCTGGAGGAATAGAACATAATCCTATTTTCATGCAGTCCCTACTCCATGAAGTAAATTTTGCTTTATTTTGAAACCTGTGAAAAAAAAATACTTATAATTAAGATGATTGCTTAGGACACATATTTAATAAAAGTACCTTTCGATATTTCTTTTCATGTCAGTCAAAGTGGTATTCCCCCTCGCAATATGTGCGGCGGCAAGAATCACGGAGGTATGTTGTAGAGGATCCAGTTTGATTAATTGATTATTTCGTGACCACGCGTTAGTGAACAGTTCATCCTGCAATCTTAAAGACTTACAGATATCTCTCTGGTCTCAAACTTACGTTTTAAGATAAAAACAACGAGAAGTTGGAGTTAACATACCTCGTCTCTTGTATGTTGCACACATTTGGAGCAGCTAAAGTTACAGGGCTGATACTACTAAATATATAATGTAATTTCGGGTAGGGCACCAAATTTGTAGCCACTTCGTTCATGTCCATGTTTAAACTTCCTGGAAATCTAGATCCGCTGAAAGAAATCATTGGCTGCGTTCAGAAGCGATCAATAAGCGTCAGTAATTATTGATCTTCATTGTTAGATCCCTAAATTTAGACCAATTATGTTGACGAATTGTACAACCGTTGTGTTTTCTGAACGCAAACTATTATGTTTACAGTGTCAAAGTATCATGTAGCAGTTTTACAAGAAATTTCCTCACCTGGTCAGGTGCAAAAGCATATTGACAATAATACTGTTCATATCTTGAAACGGTTTACACGATGTATTATAATTTATTTGACTGGTATTTTCTCCTTTGTTCATTTGCGCATTACATATATCCAAGAGCGCTTTGTTCTCTATGGGAAACACGCATGTGGCATGCTCCACGAGCTCTCGGGTCGCAAGTAAAGTGTTATAAGGTGCCGTTACAACATCTTGAGCATTTGCTGGATACACGCAAGACACAAGCCTGCAATATCAACATCGTAAATGTACGATCCGCAGTCCGGGGGAAAAAAATCATATATGAAATTATATGATTATGTATAATCATATATGTCGACAACGAAAAAATACTGTTGTTTACAAATTATATGCAAATACAACCGAAATAAATATTTCTAGCTACTTATGCTTCTGACAGCACATGATATTGACATTTAATTAAATGACATAACATCATTTTTTTTCGTACAGACACATATATATGTAACCGCATATATGGGCCAAATTCATATATGATTTTATATATAATCATATATAATCACTTTTTCCCGGGAATGTTTGTTTCTTTGCGAATAATGTTGCACACGTAATCACATTCAGCAGATTCAATTGATATATTAACATTCGTTAAGAAATAACGCACCTCTCCACGCGAGGGTAATTATCCTCCAGCAGTTTTAAAATTGCTGTACCTAATCCGGACCCGGTACCACCTCCTAAAGAATGCATTAGTAAAAATCCGTGAAGTCGATCGCATTTTTCAACCGTGTGTCTTATGCTTTCCTCCAAACGGTCACGGTACTTCCTGCAGTGAACGTGATATCCTACCGCCCTAAAAACGAAATTTCCTGCGATTATTGTGTTACGTGTATTTTTATATCCTATGCAAACTATTCCAAATATAAATACTGTTGCACACAAATCACCAATTGTTTCCAGATCCTGGGTAATTTGTTACAATACAGGTTTGATCAAATAACTGACGCAATGGACCTTGTTTAAATCTAGACACGACACTGTCCTCCATATCTATCAGAATACTCTGTCAAGAAGAAAAGTATGTTAAATTTGAAGAATTTATTTCTTATGATTTAGTTTGAAGAAATTGGAAATACTAACTGAAGAGGATTATACAAACCCTGGCTCTGACTTTAGCTGCATTCAATTCAGCTACATTTTGAAAATGCATGCTATCAGCATTACCTGGGACATGGAAAAAACTAGAAAACTCGTCGGACAAATCCTTGATGCGTTTGACATGAGTTCGTTGTACTTTGAGTAAATTAACATTAGCAGTAGTAGTCTGAATGCCATATTCATGTAGAGCCAAAGGCCAGAAAGCTGATCCTATTTGATTGCCACATTGGCCAACTAAGATACATAAGAAGAAATTAGAAATCCTTGTAATTTGTATTCAAATTTCACATTTTCTTGTTATTATATTACATATGCCTTACCTTGTACTGTAATAAATTGACTCATTATTACGTCGAGAATCTAAATCATCCACATATATGTACACATATCAGCTGTCCTTAAGTCGTGAGAGTTTTTTGACAATCACGGTTATATGTTGTGAATATTTGTTATTCCTATGTAAATCAAATGGGCCTAATGGGTCAGTGGTAGGAATTGATGATGTTCAACCCATGAATCGATCCTGTTCTGTCAAAGGATAAATTAAAAATAACACATTATCTCTGATAATTTGCTGTTAAATAATATTACTTAAAAATAAGAGGTTGTTCGACTTACCTTGAGATTCTGCTAATTAAAAGATAATTCATGAAATTAAAAAAACACAGGTTAAATCAAGAAATACGAGCTAAAAGTGCTATCTAGCGGCATCGCGTCAAGATTGGTTAAGCGCCTGGTTCGAGAAAGAAAATGAGCTGTAATTTCGACAAAAATGATAACAATGAAATAACTGAAAAAAATTATGCAGCTTGATGTTCCTAATTTTTAATTATATTACTGGATATAACGTTTATTAACTTTTTACAGTGTAATATATGTATAAATCGAAATCTGTTGTACGTCAACATTTTTTTATGAAGTTTGCCAAGCTATATTATGCAAAATAAAAGTTACACGTAAATAATGTTTATTTCATTGAAAAATATGGATTTTCTCCTTTAATTTGCATTTAGGCAAATCATGGTATGAGTTCTTTTTTCATTAAGTAATCTAACGTTGAAGCAAAAATGCCGTTTTATCTTTAATCACTTATAACCGGCAAATAAATCAATGTACGAAGTTTGTTAACAAACGAATAGAAAACTTAAAGTTCACTCTTAAAAATGTACTTATCATGTATTTGCCGTAAATAATTTTTCGATGCAAAAACGTAGCAAAAATTTAGTTGAAAGACCGAATGCTCTTCATTTTTTATTTAACATGATATATCTTAGCAAGGAACGATAACAAAGTTATGATTTTAATATGTCTAATAACTGAAGATTTCAACTGCAAAATGCTTCTTGAATCATTTCATTACCATCATTTTAATCAAATTTATAGTCTGTTGAATTTTTCTTATTTTTCAATATAGAATATAGATGTGTCCAACCTGTTGTTGTATCGCACTACTTTAAAATAAATGATGCGTCTGACTTGTCGTTGAGTTATACCACAACCTCAATTTTTTTTAATAATGGTCTCTAGCCAACTTTTAAGTCCATATCAGACTATAGATAATTGGTCAATTTCTTATTTTTACTTCTTATGAACGTACTCCTACTGCCTACTGTAAACTAGCCACAAGGCTTTCTAATCCATAGTCTGATATGGGTTTTATGATATTTGACCCCTTATGATTATTAGACCCATTATTTTTGTTAGTTCAGCAATCTCCGCTATGAACCGCCACTGTCTTTAACGAGAAACGAAATACTATAGCTTGTGAAAAGTCAAAGGTAACTTTGATACAAATAATTAAATAATTCACTAGAAAAATCTACAATTTATCTACATACAAATTAAAGAAAAAGATTCGTACATTTAAACGGTATGAACATTATTTGTGTGATTTTTATTTTATACAATAAAAAGCTAGACAAACGATAGTTTGATGATACGACGACAAACTTTATTGAAGATTTTGATATATGACAGATTTCGATTTATATATATATTGCATTGTAATAAATTAATGTACGTTATATTAAATAATAATATAATTGAGAACTCTAGAAATACATAGCGAAACACTTTTTGAACTATGTTATTATCGTTATTTTTACCAATTACAGTCTATTGACTTTTGCTTCCTTTTCATGATAAAGATGTGTTGTGAAATTTAATAAAATTCAATTTTTCCTTTTTATTTTTCGGAGAAACATCTATAATTTCAATGCCTGAATACTTGAATAATAATAATAGAAACACTTCCAATTACAATCCAATTTTGTCCGTTATACACTTTCATTACATGCAACATACAATAGTATTCATTAAAAATTCTTAAAATTTATTTTTATTTTTGGCAATTTATTGTTTAAAAAATATTAATATTTTCATGAGATTTATAAAATAAAACGCATTACATGTGTCAAACAACAGTCAACAGTGTCGTTGCTACTATAAACAATTGTAATTATGAAATATCATGTACTTGTGTATGTGTGTGTGTGTGTGTGTGTGTGCGCGCGTACGTATATATATGTATATACATATATATCTACATACGCATATCTACCTATACGCATATTTTCCATATATGTATATATTCGTATGTTCTTATATATAATCATACTATACATTCATATCTCATGTTAGATATTTTAATATATATACATATATATATAAGTAATATGTATGTATTTATATATATATATATATATATCAACTTTGTATAATATCATTATTCATGGTATTATCCGCATAATGTCCAACTTATTTCACTTGGAGTTTTTGAAGAAAGGCTGATTTTCCCATACTACCAAGTATATTTTCTCAATGATGTTATTCCTCTTCTTATAGTAACTACAACAGATGAGTAAGATCAAGAATTGATTTCGTTGAATAGGATAAAATTATAAAATTATACAATGAGTGTTTTGTATTTGATAAAATAAACATTTAGGATCTTTTATTTCTAAATATAATCAATGGCAGAAAAATTGCAATGCTTTTATCTCGATGAGCATCAGAATGCGTACGATATTCGATGGGAAAATTTATCTTCTGAGAACTATTAAAGAAATATATATAAATTCTCATTTTGGATGCAAATACACGTTGTAAGACTTATTGGATAAGGAAAATTTTGCGATCTTTCTGCCACCGATAATAAAATTTCTCGAATTTAGTCAATAATGACAATTGATCGGGTCAATCTATAATCTATAAGTATTTCCATAATAAGAGCGTCGATGGGTCAAGAAATTCTCAAGCTGTAAATGATTTGTTGATGAAAGTCACGAAGAGAACGGGATAACTTCCGTTCAATTTCAGACGGAACTCGTTCCAATGGCTACACTTTCACGAAGTGTGATATAAAAGTGATATAAGGAATAATAAATGAAATTTAAACGTACCTATATAGTTGACTTATGGCTAGGAGTACGAATAACAGCATATATAGAAGAATGATCCACATTTCACGCTGGTCAATTCTATTTATCTGATTTACGAATATGTCGTAAACCAGAAAACCGAGGAATATCGGGAGATTGGTCAATGCCAGCATGATTATCAACGTATAGAACAGATCCATCGTGGTCTGTGGGCAAGAAATCAACATCGCATGTGATTAATCAAACTTTTATCGTTATAATCATGATCCCTTTACGACTAACGCTGAAGCAACGCGCGAATTCCGAGAGAAATCAACAATTTCCTTCTTTTTTTTTCATAATTGTTTAGTTTCCTAGCTCCATGCAATGTCCGCTGGAAAACTCGTTCGCCGCGAAAACAATACAATTCGGAAGTCGCGAAATTCTTATAGTTCGCGATTAAGAATTTCTCAATGTTTTTCCTAAAGTATATACGTACTATCGGTTCCTTCAACTTCCTATCATGTAATAATGTACAATGATAAGAAAACCCACTTCTGTTAAAATCCTTCTTACAATTGTAATGCGCTAATCCCACATAATAGTTATACTTGTATGGAATCATGAAATCGTGCATCACATCATCTACACATAATAAATGTATGTTACGTTACGATTGCAATGGAAATTACAACTTGTTGCGTCAGACTTAACATTACTTAGATTCAACACTTCATACATACTTGATGTTATATAAATCTGATATTATATAGATTTTAAATATATACGTGTACATGTATACATCACATGATAAACGGGATGTCCGTAAAGCTTTGACCAAACGGTTGTGTACAGGTAGAACGAGTTAAACCGAACAGAAATATTCTCTACTATTTTGCAAACGATCGCGTAAAATTTCGAATTATTAATTATTGAAAATGCCCGTTAAAAAATATTTCACACATAATCATGTATAAATATATATAACTATGCGTAATTATATTAAATTACGTATGAAATTTGTACGTACATAATTATTTAATACTAATCATATATAATTATGTATGATTAGATATAATTATCTGATTACTATACCGGCTACTTGGTCAAAACTTTCGAATACCCTGTATATTATACATACGCTCGCATGTACGTTCGCGTATGTGTATGTAACTTTGTACTATATAGATTCAAATGTCTCACCAATCAAGACACTTTTGTTGTCGTCGAGGATAGTTAAGCGAGCTTGCAAATTTCGACTACACATCATACATTGGACCGATTGGTCGAGCCAATAACTAGGGTCGCCATAGATAACATCAGCCCGTTTAACTGCTAATTTAAAATAGTATGGGAGCTCTGTCTTATCTTGTTCCTCCTTCTCTATGGGTTTCTCAGGTTCTTCTTTCTGATAGATAGCGAATATTTCGGAATCAGGATTGCTAGACAGTTCATGAAAATGAACGATGCTGGGAAAGTCGCTACAAAAGTTTTGTCCGACGTTCTTCTGCACGTCCTCTACAATCAGATATTTATTTGGCGGGCTATAAAGTGACGTCAAGATATTGGGCTCTTTATATTCAACGTTTTGAGAATTGTTTCTTAAATTTTCATCCTCTTTTAAGCTCTCCAAGTCGGGCTTTAATGTTTTATCCTTGACATTCTGAAAGTCGTTCGTTGATGTTTCACATTTAACGTCCTGAATGTTATTGTCCGATGACTTTTCAGGCTCTAAAGGTACAGTTTCCTTAGTATCGGGTGGTAAATGTTCAATTATTTTGTCCAATATGTCATTTGCGAGCATACAGCATAACAAACTATTTCTGTCGTAAAGATTATCGAAATTCTTGAACAATGTATTCACTTCATTCTTTGGCATACGTTGTTCTAAAAATTTTTTTATAACATAGTAATCATATGGACGCTTTTCGCCAGGTATTGGCCCCGATGTACGCCATTCGGTTTCAGACTCGGGATCAGACTCAAATATTATAGGTATATCAAATTCATCCTCTTCAGGGAAGAAAAGCGGAGCAGGCAAGTGTATTTCAGGATATGATTGCATCTTAAGACATTCTTGTGGCGATGACTTTTCATCGGAATTTTTCGACATACTCTCCGATGTTGTATCATATTCATCTTTCTCGCACCAGGTCGTAGGCTGCACAATCGAATTGTTATAGTTATTGCAGTAATAGATTGTCGCCATGATGAATTTCGCCACCACGTGTCCAACGATTTTTCACTTTTACCCGGTGAGAATGAGACAAAAAGATCCCGTTGTTGAATTTATATTATTAATCTGGAATTAATTTACCAGTCACACGCTTCGACGAAGAGAGATGATGCGCCTCGTCACGGCAACGGAAATATCCAAATCGTTTTGGAAACTTCTGAACTCTTAACGTTCGTGCGGTGTAACTAAGACTGTTGATTCTTCGACACTGTTACCTACGACTGAGGAAGAAACTACTTACCCGGGTCTCAACTACCTGTCTAAGGACAATAGAAATATCTAGAATCTTCTAGAAGTTGTACGTTTGGAAATCTTCCGGTCAATCTTGTGTTTATAAATTCATATATATTAATTCGATACGCGCGTGCGCGCGCGATATTATTTCTATAAATATAAATCAATCTAATTATAATAATAAAAATAATTTACTTGTAGTAATAAAAATATATCCGTTGATACTGTTATCTTACAACAGATATCTTATCAGTCTACATAATGTAGCTATTATTCATAAATACCAACTATTAGATTTTATACGAAATGGAACATATCGTCCAAATATTTGCGCAGAAATAAAACAAATCTTCAGTATTTTTTATTTCTTCAATTTTACTAGACCAACATTTCTGTGAACACAAGATTAGAATGTAAGATATTTTCATAGAATTTCGAATTGAATTATGAACCTTGATTAAAGAGAAATTTATATTTCATCTAAGATATAAGGTTGAAAATGAAAAAAAAACTGAATGTACGGCAATAAAGATACCAGATCGCCAAACGACGTGATGAGTCAAACATCACTTCCAGAAATTGTTAAGGAATAATTACGATTTATTGAACGGTCATCGCTCGAGTGACAAAAGAATGTTGTACGTGGTAAGTGCAAGTTTCACAATGCTGAGCGCGACTGTTAAATAACCGAAGCTATTGTTACTTATTGTTGCAGGCCTTTTAGTTTCCGATCCTCGGCATAAATTTTCATCTGGAAGCTCACTAGATCCGACGTTCTTTTATGAAAATTAAATCGCGGGTCCTTCGGATGGATTCCCCTGTCATGCCACCAGCCATACCTGAAAATCGTGTAGAAATAGATGGAATGTGAGTGAGAGAGCTGAAGGTATGATAGAATTCCACAGGTATTACGTGTGACTGGTCAGTAAGGGCAATCTATGCGAGTCCCTGGGAACCTTGTTCTCCATTGCGGCGATTTTCTCGACAGTCTCACTAACGTCCGCATTTCGCTGCATTTCTTCGAGCTCCCTCGAGTAGAATTTCGGTGTGACGAAGTCCGCTGCAATCGTACAATTGTTCATTCGCGCAATGTTTATTATCCGGTGTCCCGGCGCATTTTTTTCTCGCGCAAATCCGCGACATCCCAACTATCACGATCACACGCGGCAATTCATCGCGAGCTTCTCGCCGACTCGAGAATTAATAATTGAGCAATCCCATATGGCCGAGAAAGGATCTCGCGACAATATTCAAAAAATAGCTCAGCGATTTTCTCGGAGGGAAGGGCGAGGAAGAGAGATCTTTTCTTCTTATAAGATCTGTCAGAAAGAATTGCGCTACACGAACCAGGCTTCCTTATTATTTCTCAGCTTCATACAAGGAGCCGGCAAGTCCGTCGAATGTCTTTTTCATCTCTATATCTCTTTCGATCGGTTCACAATCTAACGTCTTTTTGTCGAGGGTCATTTTTAAGGCTTCTGACTACTCGGCATGATTAAGGACAATCAACGAGGACGTTAATGACGTCAAAAGCGAGAAAACGCATATCAAGATTTCTTGCGTTACACTTTTAAATAAAAAGATATATTCATGAAATGACACTTGTAAATGATTCAGCACACTTGTAAAATTATCCGAATACTTTCCTTTTACTCGAACAATCAACAAATAGTCGTAAAATTAACATTGACAAAATAACGAGAAAAGAGATTGAAAAGGAAGCATCTCTTCTATTTATGTGAAAGAGAATTTTTCCTTGCTCGTGCTAAAAATAAATAAAACAAACAAATAAATATGCATACCATTCACTCTGGATATGCAAGCGTTGGACCGTCCGATTTGTTGGTTCCTCGAGAAGCACAACTTGAACGGCGGCCTCTCCCTCCTGGACGTCACAGGTCTCGAGTCGTACGAGTCGCTCTGACGCTCGGACATGTTTCGGACGCGACGAAACCCCCGCCTCGCTCTCGTCGCCGAGGATACTCGACTAAGGCCTTCCCGCCCCCGAGTATCGGATTAAACCGGTAGTCGGTCTCGGCGGTCGAGGTTACCGTATTTGATCGATACCCCCGTGCGAAATACGCAAACGGTCGGAAATAAGCGGGTGTGGGTGACACTTTCTACGAGTCACCCGCGACATTTTCGTCGTCTTCGCGTCCGGTCGCGGGGTCGGGTTTCGGGAAATGACTAGTGAGCGTCGAGAGCATTCTGTCATGCACCGTATATTTGTCTCTCTTTATTTCACGACTTGCCCCATTAATAATTCATATATTTCCAGTAAAGTATACGCGATTAATAATGGTTAGTCCGACGCGCACCGATATTACAAATTCCCCCTCTCGACTCGTTCCGTCTCTGCCACTTCCTGCCACTTCCTCGGCCTCAATATCCTCTCTCTTTCCTTGCTTACGTCGTCGCGCTAAAAAACCTTATCACGCCTGTTTGCCGGTTAAGTATCTAAATTTCGACGGACGTGTCTTTTTCCCTCCGACAAAGTTGCTCTCGCTCACACACATACACACACTTTCTCTTTCTCTCTCTCTCTCTCTCTCTCTCCCTCTGATGCTTTCTCACTCGAGCGCAATTTGCGCGACACTTTCTTTCCTCGCGAAGGAAAGTATCTAGTAAAACGCGCTTCGGTTTTCCCTCTTGCTCGCTCGTTCACTCATATAATACAAAAGGTCACACATCCCTTCAGGGATCCTCTCTCGCGACGACGCATCCTAGGACGTTATTACAGCCGTCGCTCTTCGCTGAGATCACTTACGAATAAATCTTATATACGGTATCTATACGGTATAATCGCCTCTCTTTCTCTCTCTCTCTCTCTCTCTCTCTATAAGAGCAAACTCACGTAACTCTTCGTAACGCTTCGTAAATTTTGGAAAATCAGCCACCGATAACGTTAACGACGCTCTATAAATTCCCGTCTCGTCTGCGACTTGCGATCGAGTCGCCGTGCTTTGTGTCATGTCGCACCGCCTTCGTCTCCACTTGGTATCGACGAGAGATGTGCCGATGACACGAGTAAGATCGCGATTGTGTATTATATGACATCGTAACGAGACTTTGTTACTATGTGGACATATTCTAATACAGTACAATACTGCTGTGTGTCGCGTAATCGAAGGTACGCGGAAGCTCGGGGATCGGGTCCCCCCCTCCCCCCCCCCTCCCCCGATAACGCTCGGTCATTAATTCTCTTCAACGAAATGTCTTTCAACATCTCTCGTTAATCCTGAATCCGCGTAACTGCGATTAAACATCGGTAAAGTTCAACAACGTGGATCCTCGGGCGATCGGTGGATGGTCGATCGGTCGTCGATCGATGGGGGCAGGACAAATTCTCGAGGCCCGATCGCGAAGGGCGTCGAGTCTCTAGAAAAGATACGCGAGATCCCGAGGACGTCGACATTTGAGCTTCTCGATCGTTTTGATTATTACGACAGAGATCGGCAGTGCTTTTAGGATAGGAGGTTTGTGTGTGTGTATATATCTCCTCTCGCTGATTCTTCTCTTTCTTTTTTCCCTTCTCTTGCTCTCGTACACTCTCTCGGTTACATCCAATTCGTCCTGTAGGCATCCTCGAGACCGACGCGTATCTTTCTGCGGGACAGGATCGGAAGATATCCCGCGGCTTGTGCCATTCTTCGTCGATCGGAACTGATAAAAATCGATCGCGACTACCGTCCGTTTGTAATCGAAGGCGAGGGCGAGGACGAGGACGAGGGCGACATCGACGCGGTCGTTTCCTTCGTGGAGGAGGAGGAGGAGGAAACGACCCGTGACGGTTCCGTGACTATTCTCCGTAACTACAGATTGATCAGATATTTCCGCCTGGTCGCCTTCGCCGATATATACGTACATATATATTTATATCTATCTGGATGTTACTTCGAAATGAAAAAACTGCGATTTGTACTCGTGTAATACGCTCGTGGTCGACTTGAACATCGACGCGCAAGGACGGCGTGTATGGTATACGAAATTAAATATACGATCTCTCTCTCTCTCTCTCTCTCTCTCTCTCTCTTTCTTTCTTTCTTTCTCAGCGATCTCATTGGCGTGATCCGGAATCGTGACCATGTCGAATGTGCACACACACATACACATACACACACACGTATATATAATCTCGCCGTGGAAAAATCAAGAGTCGGATTTCGAGGTCGATACCGTGACAATCGCGAGACCTAGCAACGTCGCGTCTTGGCTTCGTCTGTTGACCCGACGAAGCCACGATGGAAATTGAATCCGCCTAAATGAGTTCCCATTTTCGACATGAACACGATTTTACAGAGGTATCCGCGTGTATGATTGATCTATATCGTGCCTGGTGGTCTAAGATCTCGTGAGAGATGTGAAAGTTCCTCCAAGTTCTGACAATCGTAATAGCGGACGAGACTCGACGAGGCTCGACATTCGCCTCCTCGGATCGTCGTGCACTCAGAGAAAGAATTAGCCATAGGAGCTCAAGTCTAGCTGGGGTAGCTGAAATGTGTCTTTGAATTAAGGACATATAATGTCATTGCTAGCACAGCTAAATTTATTAGCTGTTTGAATTTAGGCACTACAAAAGAAAAAAAGTATTAGCTAGATTGTATAATAGTACTGAAATCATACTAGAAATGTATTGCTTTTTTTAATAGAAACCGCCCCTTAAGGTGTTACACTACTAATTTTGCCTGAAATTTAGCCGATTTACTTGATTTAATATTATATCGTTATCTGAAAAACACGCTTAAGCATTGACGGACTCGAACCTGAGACTTTAGGACCGTGAGTCAATTACCTGAGATACTACTTCGTCGATATAAACGTCTTTCGTATTGTCTACACATGATACAACTAGCAGCTAACCAATTTTGGCTACTTGTGCTAATAATGTTAGCTAATAAAAATGTACCTCGCAGCAAATGCATTTTACTTCTAATAGCCAACTTTTAGCAATGCAGACGACAAAGTTTGAACTAGCTAATAAGATTTAGCTGCTATTACTAAGCCACTTCTCTGAGTGCGTGTTCGCACGGTTTTCGCACGTGTGTCGCATCTTCATCGTGTGTGGAAATCTCTCGGTAATTGATCGATCGATCAATTTCATCACGGTGGGAAGAGACACGTGAGATCCGGTGTCTCGATCGAACGATCGATTGCAAAACAATAACGCGAAGAACTCGCCAAGAATACCAGGCGAATCGACTGGAAAAAAAAAACGAGGTGCGTTACCGAGGGATGCGCGCGCGTGTATGTGTGTGTCGAAGGAAAAGTGCGTGTGAAAATAAAGTGTCTTAATGTTTCACTTAAAAAATATACATTTTAATGATCAATAATCAGAGGAATTAATGACAGATCGTGTATTTCTTTTTTCCTATTTTTTTTCTTTTTCTCTTTTCTTCTCTCTTCGAATCACGCCATTGCCGGATTGCAATCAGATTTCTTTCTCTTCTTCCGGACAATTCGAGTCGTCGTAGGAATTATTACTGTCGCTCTTTTAGCGATCGAACCAGTCGCGCGCGCTACGAGTACTCTCGCATCCTCAGACGATTTTTACGCATCGAATCGTGGAGCGATTTAACTTAGCGTGTGTGTCTTCTCATGTGTTTCACAGATATAATAAAGTTCTTTTGTACGTTCATCATCCAGTCTCAACATTTACATGGTTCGCTAGGCTAAACGCGCGCCACTTAAATACGAATAAAAGTATAGTCGAGAAACTAAGCGCCTCTCGTGCTCACGACGTGATATTATACCTTGAAACGTTTGAAGAAATATCGAAAACGTAAACGTTTTCTCCAGCGATATCTTCATTTATTCTTTATTTTAGGAAAATAGTCGAATTTTGTGACAGTAAAATCGAAAATGAGGAAACTCCGTTTAAATAATTTGTTTTTTCTAATTTCTCAAACGGGAATTTCTCAAAGGATCGAAAGAAACGAGATGAGAATGCGCATTTCGCATTTCATTGAAAATGAAAATTACGTACATGAGCACGTTTTTCGAATGGACTTTGGCCCTTTTTCTCTTTCTCTCACAATATCTCTCTCTTTCTCTCCCTTTCTCTCTCACAAAACAGAAGAGCGACTTCAGTTTACAAAAATGTCTAATACTAAGCGCAGTAAGATATCGCACCAAACGCAAGGAATGAAGGAGACGCTGTCACGTTCCACGATCGTACCCTGATCTTTTTTTTGCTCTACCTCTCTTGTAATACAAGAAATACAGACGTGACACGAATGATCGAGTATAATCTCTGGACAGGAACGACCGATGGGACGCGAGCGGCCTCTCCTTTCCTTCCTAAGCAAGCTCCGTCTTCTTCTCAACCGTGTCAAAAAAATATATCGTATGTCTTACTACATACAAGTGGGTATGAAAAATAAAAAATATTTTTTGGCCATTTTTTCTTTTATAACAATTTTTTTGGGAAATAGAATAGAGGAAGGAAGAAGGAAGGAAGGGAAGAACGGAAGGAAGGAAAGAAGGGACGCGCAGAGCGGGAGAACAGGACCTGAGTTTTTCCGCGGACAGAGAAGATTTTCAGAGAGGAATGTTTCAATTTTCGATGATACATATATGAGGGTCAGAAGGGCTGAGAAGGCAGTAAGAATGAAGGGGTAAATGATTAAATTTTGTTCTTTTTCTTCCTTTTCTACGTGCAGAAGGGAAAATAACGAAAAAGGTTGTTGAATAGGTAGGTGAATAGATTGGAAGATGGAGATATAGATAGGTAGGTAGTAGGTAGGTAGGATAAGAGGTAAAATCTGGGGGATGGGTACTACTTACAAATCTATTCTTTTTAGGATATAGGCACTATAAGCTACTAGATAAATCTTATTTACATTCTCCAGTATTTCCACTCTTCCATCGTCGATTGTTTATACCGACTACGCTACGAAGAATAAGAAACGTGATCGAAGTTGTATCTCGCGTCGAAGTTGTCGTCGCACGCTCTTCCCTTCTCTCTCTTTCTTTCTGACGCGGATTCTACGCGACGTGTGAGCGCTCGTCGAAATCAAGAACTACCGTGACGATCTCGTATGAACGATGGACCGCTCCGCGAGCCAATTAGCGAGCCTTCGGCATCTCTCTTCTTTCCATCGAGAAAAAAAGACGCGTCTTCTCGCGAGATATATATGTCCGACCGGCGCGGATACTAACGAATACTGCCGTTGCTATTCGCGAAGAAAGAGAAGGACACGACAAACGTGGGGATTCTGCAGGTGAAAAATTCTACAGTGTGCAGACCGGAAGATGATGAGAGAAACGGGATGCGTACCGTTTGAAACACACACACACACACACACGCGCGCGCGCGCGCGCACGCACGCACGCACACGCACACACACACACACACACACACACATATATAACGCGTGATTTTGCTTGTTCCTTTCTTCGCTCCTTTCGTGTCGCACCTCTTCTTTCTTCTTTCTAGAAAAGAAAGAAAGCAAATAACGTGAATCCCGCTCTCCTCGATCGTTCCGCGATAATGATTATCGCCGCACCGTGGAGGACGAATTAGTTGGCACGACACGCGAACGTACACCGTCATCAACGATGTTGCGCGTTTCGCTGCTTGTTCGTTCTCGTCATTCGCATTACATTCCCTTTCGTAATTAGCCGGCAAAGGAAACACCTACGCATTGTGTGTATCGGGAAGGGAAATGAAGAATGATAATATCCGTATATTTCACATATACCGTCGCCGACCGCCGCTGCGTTATAGTCGACCGTGCGAAACCCGCGTATTGTAGTCCCGCGACGGCGTTACGTAGTTCTCTGTCTTCTCCGGGTGCGGAAATTATTCAATTTCGAACGACTCGACTCTCGCACATTGTTGTTGCTCCGAACGAAAAGGAAAATGAAAATAAAAAAACGATTCGTGTTCGCGTTACATGAAATGATACGTGTGACGCGAAAAAGTGTGTGAAGGCGAAAAACGTGACGTGATTTGACACACGATCGGTACGACTCAGCGGTACCCTTACGCTACGAACTTACGACAAGATGCTGGATTTTTCTCTTACGAACTACTAGTTAGTTGTCCCCCCCGCGTGTATCTCACTCGCAGGCGTACGCACGTATACACACACAACTCTCTCTCTCTCTCTCTCTCTAACGCACACACATACACACGCGCACATCCATCCATTTACTCTCATGTTCTATTGTATAATCTTATACTCATTAACACTTAACAGATCTGTATTATGGCCATTTGTATTTTTTTCTTTTCCTTTTATATTTTTTTCCCTTACACGGCACACTCCGACATTCTCGCTTTCTATTTTTATACCCCCCCCTCCCCCCCCCACGTTATAATTACTTCAAAGAAGAAAAAAAGAATTCTCGCTTGCACACATTCACGCTCTGTATTTATGATTCACCGAAACGCACGCTCTTCATCAATGTCGTCACAATCGTCGCAGCTGTGAATGATACGAGAAAGTATTTTTCGTTTATTTCGATATTTTTAAAAGAAAAAAATAAGGGACAATTTGACGTAGTTCTCTCTTTTTTTCTCGAGCGTACGCTTGATTGCTCAAGGTGTAATGCGACATTTCGCATTTCAAGCGGGATAAGATAAACTCTCTGAAAAAAAAAAAAAAAAAGAAAAACAAGCGGGGAAAATCGAACGTTTTTGATACGAAACTGAAGGATCAGTATTTGGAAAACGTTGTCAATAGCGGACGCGTTACGTACAATAAAAAAAAAAGGAAGAACGAAAGCGAAAGAATTCTTTGGCCTTACGTGAAGAGAGGCCGGTAAATAATATATTAATCTTCCAATATTGTGTATTCTTCCAATAAACCTTCCAATATTCCCCTTAAGATAGCTCACGTTATATATATGTATATATATTGCTTTCCATATCTGCACAGCATAGCCTTCCTATTTACACGGATGTAAACATATACATATATATGTATATGTTTATATATATATATATATGTATATTTCTCTCGCAATATCTCTTATTCAGGCTCGTTAAACGTTAATCTTTATCTTACCGATACTTACAAAGTACAAAGAAGACGAAAGTTGACAAAAGCCGATATTCGCCATGTTCTAATAGCAAGCGAATGACTTCCTACGAAAGTTTTTTCGATGCGATCGTAATGTACAAACGCGTAATGTTACGATGGCACAGCAGCTCCAGCGGTTGCGCGTCACAACGGAGGAAGAATGTGAGGTGTTCGCGGAGGAGCGTGTCCTTAGAAACGAGTATGCCTACTACGATGACGTCACAAGCCTGGAGACACCGTGCCCGCGCGAACGTTACAAATAGCTCCTTATATACCTCTTCCCCTCTCTCTGCTCCACCGTCTGCAAATTGTACGAGTGTAGTGTATAATCACGTGCGCAGCATTTTTCTCAGCTGCCCTGAGTAAAATCCGTCCACCACATCGGCATGAAGAAGCGAATGAAAAAGGAAATTCCCTTCGCATACGTATATATCTGCACTCTGCTCCAGGGTAACGCGCAATAAAGGAAATAAGGAAACGTACGTCGTCGCGATTAATCCTTCCCTCCCCCGAGCCGAAGCGAAAAGCGGGACTCGCGCCGTTCTTTCGTTGATATTGCGCGTGTAGACGAACGCAGAGAAACGAGAGAAACGGAAAACAGCAATCGTGTGCAATATCGGCGCGTTACCGTGGGTGGATGGGCCGACGTTAAAACAACTCTTGGTCGATAAAATTCTACAAAAATACGCAACGCCAATCGATAGATGATTCGTTGCCGACGACTTTAACAGCTGAGAGATCTGTTATTAAAGTGGCTGTTCTCTCTCTCTCTCTCCTCTATATCCGCTTTCCGCCACTCGCTCTCCTTCCCTCTCCCGTATCCCTTTTAATACCGCGTAACTTGTACGTCCTTCGAGAATATCGTCTTGAAATCTCCCTCTTGGCTCTTACGACCTATCTCGCGCGTTTTCACTAACCTAATATGAGCAAACTATAATCTGCACCTGTGCGCCGAGGTACGCTCACCACCGGTTTGCTCTGTTCGAGAACATACATATTCATGGCTCGAACATACTTCAAACAAATATCAAAAGCGCGGTAAAAGGAACATCTTTCGCTCTCGGTTGACGCGTCCACCGACCGTTCTTCTTCCTCCGCTTCTTATTCAAATGATTCCCGGGCGAACAAGTAAAAGTGATATTTACGTAATAATAAGAGGGGTATTCGTTCGTGCGTTCGATGGCGCGTGAACTATCACGATCTTGAGGGTTCTCTCTCTCTCTTCCCTCCTTTTTTTTCATTTTTTTTTTTTTTCTTTGTAATCTGCCTGTCTACACATGAACGCGCGAGTATGTGTGTTATTATATTCGACGTGCATTGCCATGACGAAAAGAATAAAGGTTCGCACCAACGCGACGGTTGACGCAACACGATATATTCTTTCAAGTCATCTCGCGGATCGCGACGCTGACTCGCAATGACATCGATGTGTGTGTGTTGTGTGTGTGTGTGTGTGTGGATGAATGAAGTATGAGACTCCGGTACGTGAATTTGTCGTGTCGTGTATGCGTGTGTGTGCGTGGATGCTGTCGATGCGCGTGTTGCGTAGATACCTCCTATATACTGTACAATATATGCAACGTATAACTGTACATATATAAGCTGCGTGGAATAACCGATGGCACGCAGCGAGGATGATTTTACAGGGTTAGATGTAATCAGATTTGCTTTTATTTCCAAGTGAAACGAAAAAATTACTCGCGCGCGACGTCGTGAGTCGAAAACTGCGGCGTTTCTTTTCTTTCCTTCGCCCTGATCCGCGATAAGTATCGACTTTTTTTATGTGCCGAGATGCCACATAGTTGAATGCGCGTAATACAGCACACGTTAGTTATTACGCTATAATTAAGATTTACGCTCTAAACAAAATCGTACATGTATATACGTTATTTACTTTTTTTGGTTTTAAATATACGTTACTTTAGTATTTACGCTCTTTCTATTCAAGACGTTCACGATTATTATTATTACCGATTAATTAAAAGTTAATGTTGGGCGATTGATGAGATGTAAAAGTAAGGGACTCTGAACATTGGAAATAAAAACATCTGCTTATCATCCGAACCGTACGCTAAAAAGGAAAGTTTAAGACAAAAGAGGCTTACGGCTACTGAAAAAAAAGAAGATAACGATATATTTTTTTCTTTCTCCAATAGTATAGTTCTCGCGGCAGGATCTTACAGAATTTTATCTCGTGAGTCATTGTGTGTTTTTGCCGTCACAACTGCTAATTGTAAACGATCGAGCCTGTTTTCGTTTTATTCGCGCATCCAATATATCATCGCGTCCGCGGCTCTGCGACGCATTTCGCTTTATACACTATTCATTACCAATCTAAGCCGTTGGAAAAAGTATTGTACATCTTCGCGTCCTCGCGTGCAAGTTACAAAGAGACAAATGATACTGTAGCGAGAAAGGACGATAACGATCTTTCTTTTCTCTTTCAACGACCTCTTAGCCACTCGGGGATGCGATTACCGCTTTGCCGGATTGACGCTCGAGCAGGTCCGAGCGCGCCTTCAGACGACGTTGCATCAGACGGCTCTCGCACGGCGGTGACAAGCCGAACAGGTGCAGCGCGTCCTTGCCGAGGACGCGATTCTTGCCGATGATCTTGGGGTCGCTCAGATCGACGTTGGAGAGCACGGAGGAGGACGACTTCTGGGTTCGCGTGGCGTCCAGCTCGCTGGAGGAATGCGTCGTGAATTGCTTGCTGTTCTCGGACAGTTCGCTGCTTGAGTCGGACATGTGTCCGTACGGATGATTGTCGTCGTCGGTGGACGACGTGGACAGTCGCGGCTCCCTGTTCTCCGCCAAATCCTCGAGGTTCAGAGAGAAATGCTGAAGTACCACACGATTCACAGCCATTGCGGACTCAGCAAATGCTGAGAGTTCTCTAGCGGAGTTGTTCCTCCTGCAGGGACACGCGTGTGTTGTAACTGAAGTTGACGTGACGCGCCAAGAAAGAAAAGTCAAATGAGAGCTCACCTTATGATATGAGGCGTGGTAAGCGGCCGATCGCAAGTTTCGACGGAGGTCGGCCCGGGGTTGATCCAGGGATGTTTCAGAATACTATCTGCGCTGAGCCTTCGGTGAGCCTCCTTGACGAGCAAGCCTCTGATCAAATCCTTCGCGTCCTCGGAGATGCATCTCCACTCCTTGTCCGGGAACTCGTACCTGCCCTCTTGAATGCTGGTGAAGAGCAATTCCTGACAAGCCTGACAGTTCTCGCCTCTACCCCAGCCGCAGTCGGTGCCGCAGTTCCCGTAGAAGGGTGGATAGCCGCAGAGCAAGATGTACATGATCACGCCGAGGCTCCAGAGATCGCAACGCTTGTCGTAATAATTGGCCTCGCCGATGAACGCCTCGACCACCTCCGGCGCCATGAACTCGGCGCTACCGACCGGCGTCAAAAGTTGCGGTGTCGCCACGGGACTTGACAACGAATTGTTGAACTTGATGCCCGAACCGAGATCGAAGTCGCATACCTTGATCGGCGTCAACTTGTCCGGATACACGCACAGGATATTCTCCGGCTTAAGATCTCTATGGGCGATCCCTGAAACGCGCGTAAGAGAACGCGTTACACAGTCATTTTCGATTCCATTTCGCATTCTGATCGGACCGCTCAATTACCTTTCTTATGAAGAAAGTTGAGCGCGCTCGTAATCTCATTGACGATCTGACTGGCCTCCCTCTCGGTGAAGTGAACTCGCTCCTGAATTCTATTCAACAGCTGGCCGCCGTTGACTTTCTCGAACACGAGGTAAAACTTCTCCTCGTCCTCGAAGAACTCAATCAGCTGGATGATGTTCGGGTGGCCCTGGCAATGATGGAACGTCTCGACCTCCTTGAATACCCTGGCGCGAGCATGCCCGGGGATCTTATCGATGATCTTCACGGCGTACTCGAGGTCCGTGTAAAGGGACGTACAGGTCTGGACCGAAGCGTAAGCACCCTCACCGAGTACCTCACCAGTCAGTTTGTACAATTCTGTAACAGCGATAACGAATTCCTTTTGAAATGGATATTTCGCGAAATCCGAGTTAAAAAGAAAAGTTTAGAACCATCAAACAATCCCATTCACGAGTGTGATGTCACGTTTCGCATATCCCACGTATCATTCATACGCTTTGCCTGTATAAATCTAAAACGACGACGACGATACGTAAATTCTCCGTGTTGATTCAATACGATACTCATTTGACATGATATTGCGTGTCGCCCTGCGAACACTTTTGACGATTACGTCGCCGCATCGTATGCAGAACGAAAGAGAAAAAGGAGGAAAAGAAGGAGAAAAAAAAGGAGAAGGAGGGAGGGAGGGAGGGAGGGAAAGGGAGAGAGAGAGAGAGAGAGAGTCTAAAGACCGGACACGACAAGTTCTCTTCATCATCGTGACTCTTAGTATCTCGCCGATTACCATAGAGTTTTAACGAGAGCCGCATAACACCGCAGAAATTCGGGAATCGCGCCAACAGCGAATCGACGAGGAGGAAGCGAAGATGTCGACGGTCTCTCTCTCTCTCTCTCTCTCTCGGCTCGAAACAGGCAGTCGCGAAAATTAGTCTCAGGCTCGATATAAGAGCTTTACCCCTTGTGAGCCGATCGATACACGCTCGGAAGGCCCAATTATCCGCACTTCAAACAGACTGCTCTCTCGAACGCGCGCACCGCGCGCGACAGAGTAGCGTGTCGTATATCTGACGGACAGTCAATGTCAAGGTCGAAAGGGGGTGACCGAGAGAGAGAGAGAGATCAGCGCGGAACTACGACGCACATAACACCGAATTCGCTCTCTCTCTCGGAAGTGCGCGCTATCGTGGCTCCTTTCCTCTTCTCTCTCCGTCGCCCTCTCTCCCTCTCGCGTGTCCCTCGTTCGCCCATCCCCACCAGCTTGTCTTGGTCGAGTGCTACGGGGCGCTACGTTGCCGCGTCTGCGTTCTCGCTCGCCCCTCTGCCCCCCTTATCGTGTTATCCCCCTTTTTGCTACCTCCACTCGGTATTATACGCAGGATACGCGAGCGTTGCGCGTGGCAACGTCGCCAGCGCCTAGCAACCAGAAGCCGATAATACGCCTCCACGTCTCTCTACGCCGTTCTATACCAATTTTAACAGCGCGGTCGAAGTAAATATAGAGTGCTCGGGAATCGCGCGATCGTCGACTCGCACCGAATTAAGCGCCGATTCGCCTGGAGCGATTATGCCACGAGAGAGAGCTTGTAAGATCGATCTATCATCGCTGTACGACAATATATTGTTGTCTCTTCTTCCTTCTCTCTCTATTTTTGAATCGTACGAGGAACGAATCGTCTCTGGCAGTTCTATGCGCGATCAAGCAAGTCAGTAACGAGAGTCTCGCGTTATAGATTCGTTCGGGGACTCTCGACCGAGCTCTATCGACCGTAGAGGGGTGTTGTGTGTACACGGTGCCAAGCAGGGTAGAGAAGCTTCTCGAATCGATCAGATGATGCAACCGATCGATCCAAGCAACCGGCTGCCCGACCGAGGCACTGAACTCGATCACAGCGTTTACAACGCGCCAAGCAGTCACGACTTAACCGAATGTAAATCCCTCTCGCGCAAAAGTCGAGTAAACTCGTGCCAAAAAATATATGCCGAAGGAGCGGGTTCGTCTCCCTGTGGGCCAGGAGTGCTATCGATCGCGCGAGCGAGCGACTCCGTGGCCGAATAACCGTGTTTGCCAGCTGCGGCTCGGATTAACTCCGATCCCGCGTTCTTTCTCCCTCTCTCTTTGAAATAAGACAACCCGCCGGTTAGGAACTTGAACGAAGGAACGCGCGTGTTTTCCCTAAAGTAATGAGTGCAGGGAGAAAGGTCGACGGTACTGCGGCACCGTTTTTCCAGAATTGCACCATGAAACGGAGAAATTTTACGCTTTTCATAAACAGAAGACAGGAGTAGCCGGTGAAGAAAACAGAAAAGAAAGTCGGAAGGATGAGAAAATTGGAAAATAAAAATTTACGATGGCTCTCGTATATTTCCATTTTCACGAAGTTTTCGGCGATCCTTTCATACCGTATATTCAAAAATTCGTCTCACCCGAAAGAGGCACTTTTTAGACTGGAATGTCCTGGCAACAATTATTGACTCGAGAAAATGGAACGAAAGAAATTTACGGAAGGTCTCATGCGTTTCTATTTCTTCCAAACTTCCGGAAATTGGAAAATAGAAATTCACGAAGGTTCGATTGTTTCCGAACTCTCAGCGATCCTTTCGCATCGTATATTCAAGAATTCATCTCGCTCGAAAGAGGCACTTTCGTGGCTGAAATTTCCCGGCGTTCGTTATTAGTCTCTAGATGCTGGAGGAGACAAAGCGACCCGTCCGAGTACTTCCGGGTGGGGGATAAAGGGACAGGAAGCCGGGAGAGAGGAAACCGCCGAGTGGGGGTAGGAGGAGCGGCGAACTTCCGGTGTTTATAAACAAGCGAGCGTATCGCGGGACGTGCAAAATTCCGGGAGCGCCCGCTGGGCGATCGATTATCGCCGCCTCACGCGCCATCGCGAGTGTTCTGAATTTGTCCAAGGTCACACACGTACCTACGAGAAGAAAACCGCCAATAATCGTGAGAAAGACCACCACGCGAGGCAGGTGGATGAGTGGGTGGGTGCGTATGTGCGTGCGTAGAATCTCCACACACACTTCCGTTCTCTCTCTCTCTCTTTATCCTCCCTCTATCTTGAAGTAAGAAACATCATACCGGCGGAGCTATATCTGCTTGATCGCGCGACTTTCAACAAAGATGTGCGTGCGTGCACTTCCCCTCTCTCCTTCCACTGGCCGGGTGAATCATTACCTTGGAAGCAGGAGGACACCAAGGACGAGCCGGAACGTCTCTTCCTGCGTCTCTTACGTCTCGCCTCTTCCTGACGGGCTTGCACCGCGCTCATAGACTCCCCCGTCGGGGTCACATCCCGGCAGGTGCCGTCGCCTGAAACGAACGTAACATAGTTTTGTATCGTAGTTTTCTCGTGACAAAGTAATTCGACGCACATCTCCCGGCAATTGCGCACGGAAAGTGTAAAATAAATCACCACTGCTGCTGCGGGAGTATCAATCTTGCCTCCTACAGAGCGTAAGAAAGAGAGAGAAAAGACGCGCGGTTGCGCAACGAACAAAGTTGTATCGCGGCTTTTGCTCACACCACACGTGACAGTCTCGCGTTTTCCCGTTATCGCGGTGTTAGCAATTGTAATTTATTATTGCGAGCTTATCATCGATAAAAGCGGCGACGGCACGAAGTATTAGTCACTCTCGCGGGTTCACGCTCGTTCACCACCGCCCGCGCCGATAACTTTCGCGACGAATATAGACTTTCGCTTCGACCCATTACCCGGCTTAATTCGACGAAAAACGAGAAACTTCGAATTTCACCGACAATTATAAGTTCAAGTGCTGATCGAGAAATTGGCTCGCGCGAACGAACGTTGTTTGTGTGTTCTTTTACAGCCGGCGAACAAAACGGACAGTCTCGGCGGAGCGAATTAGCGCCGGCACTTGGGCGCATTCGTTTCGATAAACATGATGCAACTGTTACGAGAAAAGAAGCGGTCGCCATGTTACGGTATGAGTAGATATAAGAGGGGACACCTCGCATTCATCGGGAGTTACGCGCTCAGTCTTTATGAATAAAGCCGTACCTCTTAATAGTCCGGGGTTTAAAATAATGTTCCGTTATAATTATCGCCAGTAGACGTTGACGTGTCTTCGGCTATTTCCAACGTGCGATAAAATAACGTGTTTTAGGTTTTTACGTATACGTTACGTGACGGAGAGCACGCTTCTTATACGTTGTCAATTGTGACGAGATTAATTATTCTGAATCGCGAACAAAACGATAAATGAAAAGTAATGATTGAGCGACGAAGGGAGATGTTATTGAGAACCCCCGTTTTACCGCTCAGTTATTGGTCGAATATTTCGGCGGCTCCTACCCCGCCCCGAGGGTTTTATCGTGGGCGCTTCCCTCGCGTAAAAAAGCGAAAAGGGAGAGTGGAGAAAAGCCCGGGCGGTCCCTCTAGGGGGAGAATCTCGATTATATAGAGGCGGCCGTACTTTTTGTAGTCGGCCGAAACATACTGCGCCATCATCGATTTAGCCGGGGGTAAATGAAAACTCGGAATAATTTCGCCGCGCGCACTCGAGCGTAACAATAGCAGCGCCTCGAGAAACTTCTTTCGTCGTGCGTTATTGCGTGTTAAATAATACCACGTGTCTTCAACAGTCCATATTTTCAATTCATTCTTATCGATAAAAGCGCCTCTAAAAGTGGCTGAGAAACCCACATTTAAGACACTTTTATCGATAAAAATGAGTTCATAATATGCTCCAAATCTTTATATTTAAAAATTCGCTCACTGCCATCTTTAATTTTTGATCTATTGAATAATTCACATTTTTTTTTGTAGAATTTGTTATTAATTTATAATTTATTTTCGAATGTAATCGTCGATATTCCTCTTTGCTCTTATAAATATTAGGCCTATTTTTGTAATCAAAAAGGATGGTGCTTTTTCGTAAATAAATATGATTTTTACTATTATCACCGGTCCGCCCGATTCCACAACCAAAACTAACATACTAATTACTGAATTAATTAATCGATGAGATTACCAAGATGAAATTTGCTCGAGAGAACAATGACGTGGCGTACCATCGGTCTGTACACGCGACACGCAGCTTTTCTTTCTGTCTTCGCACTTTCTAATTCAGCCGCTAAAAATGGGACTGTTGGTCGCGCCACACGACCGATACCAGTCGTCGTGCCGGCAGAGTTCGGTGTTTCCCTCTCTGTTTTCTTCTCGCTTGGGAAAGTTCACTCGCAGCGAGCTCGAGAAGGCGCAGCTCCGCGAGACCGGTAATCGGTACGCGATTCACGATCTTCGTGTTAACGGAGATAATATATACGGCGTGGCAACGGCAGCAGCGATTTACGCGAGATATATATCACCGGGGTCACGATATTTCTACCACGATGTTTCCACGGCGCGACGACCGTATCACATCGCAGAGAGCGCCGCAGTTGAACGTGTTGCTACCCGATTGGGATCGAACGAGCCAACCGGAATAAATACACGTCCGCCACGTACTAAAATATAGAATTGTAACATATAATCTCGTGACACAGTCAAGAATACCGAAGAATTCAAAGGGCCGATAACAGTTGGGCGCGGTTGTTGGTGCGACTAAATCATTTATAGGGAAGATAATTAATACGTTGGACGGTGTCAACGCACGCGGAGAATTACCTTTCAACGTCAAACCGATTCTGCGTATCCTGTTAATATTTTAAAAATATTAAAATGTCAAACATATTTATCCTCCCGTACATAATTCAGTCACAACCCGACTCTTATATCGGACTTTTAAATTCTTCATACTCTCGATTATACCGTGTAAAATACGAAACTGTCGGAACTTTATGAGGCAAAATCTCGAAAAGTTACATAAGAAAAGATTACATAAACGCATCCTACAAGCGGATCTTAAGATAAGGCGCGCGCGCGCTCTCGATGCAGTCTCTATTAATAACTGCGCTCTTGTGTCTCGTCGGGCGATACTTGGAGCCGAAGAAGAAGAAGCGTATTGTTCGCGTGGGCGAGAAGTAACGTATAACGGCGATGAATAATAAAGTACGACGGCGTGCAAGTGGACACACCGTTTCTCGCTGGAGGAGTCGCGTGGGTCGAGGAGAAATCAGAGCCGGCAGATCGAGAACGACGGCGTAACTGTAAGCCGATCGGCTCCTCTCCCATTGTCCGCGCGCGCGCGACGATCCGTTCGCGTCACACACCGCGGAAGTTATATTTAACTCGGCCGATGACGATGACTGTGTCAATCGATGACAGACGCGCACAGTTCAACGGTCTGGATTCGACGCGAAACGGAAAGTTATTTAATCGGAGAGCTCATCGAGGACTCATTGATCGTCGTCGTCGGGGTTCTAGAAACGCGAAACGGTTCGTCCGGAGTAATTCGATGCGTCTTATCGCGGTGACGAATCCTTGACGTCAGCGAAACGCTCGGGGACAAAAAATAGAAAGAGAGAAACAGGGTTACATCGGTCGTCGCGCTTCTTCGCTCGCGTTATCGTCACCCACCTCTTACCATATCATCGTAATTTCGGCGCCGGCAACGAGTGTATTTTCGTGCACCTTCCGTCGCGGTCGACGTCGTCGACGCCGCCGCTCGACGACCGCCGGCCGGCACATCGAGTCTCCGAGTTCAATGACTGGCACAGAAAAGGAACGCCGCCATCTTACGCGAGATATGCACGTACGATAGTGTCCTATCCGCACGTGCTCGCGCGCCGAATGGAAGCTGCCGCGCGCGACTATAATAAAATGTGCCGTTAACAATCGCGATAAACGAAATGAACGAGACGATGTACATGAATTAATAGATCAGCTCGAAATGACGCGATTAAGAGGGAAATTCATGAGCGAAAAGATCCCCGAGACTTGCGCGCGTCTCGGAGTATATTTACGCGGACAAATATTTGTGCACACGCTTTTGTCCGCCCCGATCGGGTAAATAAAGTCGGATGTCTCGCTTCGGTTATCCCATTTTGCGACAACGGCGATTTGTAAGCTCGATTCATCCTCGGTTACCACTTATCGCGCGTGTTTCTCTTTCCGAGATATATATTTGGGCCGTGGCTCGCCTCGAGCGCGCGTATATCTCTTTGTCCTCCGAATTGTGCGTTTCCCTTTAAGAGCGCGTGGAGCTGACATGCGCGCGCGGGACCCTTCTCTCCCTCCCGTTCTTTGTTTGGGTCGCCCTACAGCCCAACTCGCTCTCCCTTCGTTCAGCCTCGTGATACGGCGCCGAACTTGCCGAACCCCGCGCGCGCCGTGTATACCGACTAACCCACTTCGTCCCTACCCCCGCGCTCCATCCCCGAAAATAATGCGTCGTGCCAACGACGCGCGCTACTCGGAAGCGCGTCGCCGGCGGCCTCCCCGGCAACCCCAAAAATAATACCCGAGGATATTCGCGTTATTGGCGCAAAATTTCATCGTGAAAAGTCGCGTCAGCGAGACAGACGGCCCACGAAATTCGACCCAGGCGAACGAACGAGCGAGCGAGGCGAAATAACTCCGTTCAAATCGCCGCGTTAAAGACGCCGGCGAAAATAGCTCCGTTGCCGGCAAAGCGAACGAGTTTGTAACGCGTAAATCGTCGAGAGCGGCATCAATCGCAGGGGGGTAGTAACGCGAGCGCGTAGAATCGATGTGCCCGACGATGTTCGATGAAGTACCTAATGGAAAAATTGTTTCGCCATGCGATCTCCACGTATGCCGAATGACGAAAGCCGTTCGCGCGTTTACGGAATCCCGTCGTCGACGAGGTAAGCGAGGCGAGTTCACGAAGCCGACGAACAATAACGGATAAATCGAGTGGTCGTTGGTTTTCAACGATCAGGCGGGGAAATGACGATGTACGGACACCGCCGTCTTCTCGTCAGCTTCGAGAAAGTTCCGTCGCCGCGACCCTGGTCGAGCATACCGCCGTGCGTGAATTCATACATATTCGCGATGCGATTTTCTACGGAGAGCGAATCACTAAACGCGGATCCGGCGTGTCCGAACATTCTCGTCGCGTCGTCGAGCCTATCGGCACGGCTCGAGTGCGAGACTCATCAGTTGTGCTTCCTTCTCCTTCCGCCGCTCCCTGTACCACAACAACGGTGAATACGTAAAGCACGAAGGAGCATTTGTCCCGGCACTCGTTACTGGGTCGTTACACATTGACCGGCGAAAATGGCCGCCGCCGCCATCTCCGAGGTTAGCCGGTTTGAAAAACAAACATCGATAACCAACAACTCCGCGGCTTTAATTCCGACGAGAACGATCGTCCGGCGAATTTTGAATGGATTTTCCTCTCGAAGAAGACTTACGAGGTACCGGTAACAGTCGAGACAGGTTTTTAGCCAAGTGAGAAAGAGCGCGAAAAAATAATGCAGTCGTTCAACTTTGATTAATCGATACAATGTGACCGAAGGATCGACAATCGCGATATACGGTGAGCTGTCTTGACATTTTCGCCGAATGAATAGTTATTCTTCTCGAGATAAATTAAACGAACTGAATGGAAACTCGCTTACCTCGTCCAGGCTCTTGAGTGCCGTCCTCTCTCTCCTCCAGAATCTTCTCCACCATGTTTCCGTGCGACCGCGTGATGCTGCTCGTTCGGATAATATCTGGGAGTTTTTCGGCGGTTCACTCTTGAGAGATCCGTCCGTGCACGCGATTTTTGTATTTTTCTTTCTCTCTCTCTCTCTGTCTTTCACGACTCGCACCGCTAGCAGTAATTATAAAAGAGTCAGTCGTATTTACAAAAACGCCTATCTACTAAGAGACTGATATAATCTCCCTCTCTGCTCCTCTCGCTCGTCCACGTCTCGTATCTCGCGCGAAAGAGGGTTGATGTATATCAGCGCGTCGGTATGTGTATCACAGATATAAATAAATATATAAAGTCTATCTTCTACGTGTCTCTTCACTCCGCAGCTTCGTCTCTCGGCGCGCACGACTCTCTATTCGTCCTCTTCTCTTTCGTTCTCCCTCTCTCTCTCTCTCTCGAACGCGACGATGACACGTCCACGAAAGATGCTGCTACTGTTGCCGACGATGTTTCGCTACAGATGTACGAAACCTTCTTGTTGTTGTTGAGTTGTTAAATAAATACTATCACAGACTTTGACACTGCACTTTCTCTCGGTCGGTCATCCTACGTGCTGGTCTTCTCACTCTCTTCCTCGCCGCGTATCTCGTCCACTCCTCACCAACCAAGCGGCCAAGCCTTTTCGCCGATGAGAAGCTAAGCTCGCAGTCAGCCTCTCGCCAGAACCTTCTCCTCCTCCTCCTCCGCAGCTCCCCCTCCGCACAAGGTTTTTAACCGGGTGCACCGGGCCTTTTCGCACGCGAAAATCCCGCGATGGTTGTTGTGGCTCCGTCGTCGCTATCGCACAGCCTCTAGCACGTAGCGGCAGCCGGGCTCGGAAGCGCATTAAAAAATCCCTCGCCTAACACATCTGGCCTCTTCTCTCTCGTCTCCTCTCTGCAACCATCCCTCACTGCTCGGCAGTTGGTTTCCGACTGAGCTCGACAAGATGGCCGCTCTGCTTACTAACACTCGGCTCGACCCCACCACTGCGCCGTGAAACCTTTCAGCTCCCTCCTCACCACGGCGTACGCCGCAGCCTGCGTCGCTTCGCGAATCGCGAGGCATCGTCGACGCCCCGAGAGTCACGTAGGCAACGTGTCTCTCAGAACACGGTTCTGGCAAATTCGCTCCTACGGTGCGCGCACACGTAGTCGCCGCCGGATACCGGCCATACGAAATTCTAATCAGAGTTGCGTTATCATTTTTCGCGTGGATGAATTATTAATGAAGAGGAGAGCGCATATAACGGCGAAGTTACTCGATTATTGCGTCATATTTCTCGAACGATCTCGACAAGCGCCTACCGATTCCGTCTCGCAAATTCCGATATGCGCTAGGCTCGAACCCCGCGTGCCCTCACCTCCTCCGGTAGATAGATAGACCTGTATAGGAAAACAGATAGCCGGAGAGACGTGACTAATGAGCGTCACTGACTGGCTTCGCTCTCCGCGTCGCGCCATTTCACGGAGTAAGAAGGCGCATACTTACAGAAACGTAAGCTACGATAGAAGTTGAGCAGCGAGCGATAACAGCGGAGAAAGAATCGACCGATCACACGAGTCTCGCGAACTTCAAAATGGCGGTCTCGCCACTCGACGACTCTCAGCTGTGATTGGTCGCTCTCGAGTTGGTCTCTTTCGCGCGCGCCATACGGCGCGACGGTTTCGTACTCGTGTTCTAATACGGAACGCCGGGCGTTCTTCTTCTCTTCGCCGAAAGACCTTCCGGTGCGCCAGTAGCCCCTCTCGCCGTGTCGCTTGTTTCAGCTCATAAGTTAGATAAGGACGACGCCGGCGATCGCGTGGTCGCTTGTTTTCGGTGGCGCAAGGATGCGCGCGCAAGGTGTTCTCCGGTCACGTATGCCCCGTCGATGGTGCTCGCTCACTCTCTCATCATCTGCCGCCGATGCGTATCGCCGATGCGCACGAGATACGCACTTGTGCGCGTTTCTTCTGTTTTCTTTTTTTTCGATCGGCTGACTTGCTGTTGTTGCCGGTAGTCGGTTGAATATAGGTAGGTGAGGCGTGTAGATATAGAATGGCGGGTAGGATCGGAACTGGCGGGAATTTACGGCGGCATTATCGTTACGCAACCATGTTGCATTAGCGATTCAATAACCCGGCGATTAGCTCTCTCTCTCTCTCTCTCTCTCTCTCTCTCTCCTCCTAACCCCGCCGGCTATCGCACAGCGATCTCTATTTGTCGTCGCCTCGTCGTCGTGGAAAGGCGGGACTCTACGAACGCCAAGATGTATACACGTATGCGTGTGTGTGTGCGCGCACATACGTGCGTTGGTGTCGTTCGATTATTTCTAATCCGTTTTATCTAAATGCGTCACAAAGTATTTTTCCTTCTCGTTTTTAAATTTACGATAGTTCCACACACGGCGCATAATATACACACGCATGTACATACATACAAGCGTGTGTGTATCAACCGCGTGACAATCGTGGAATTCGCAAAACACGCCTCGCCCGACGCGCGCGAGTTCGCAGCGCCCGCGCCGCATAACGCGCCGCGCGTGAGAATGGCGTCATTCCTGTTGCGTAATCCCGGTTAGACAATGGGGGTAACAAGAGCGGTCTGTTATTGCCAGTTTAGCGAACTTTGTTTGTCCGTCGTGGCCGAGAGAGAGAGAGAGAGAAAGAGAGAAAGATTGACCGGCAAGCTTCTCCTATAATCTCTACCGCACACGACGCGTAAACACACGAGCGCCTGCCAAAGACGAGAACACACGTCGGCGGTCGAAAAATGTGCAGCCGAGCGAAAATAGTTGCGTTATCTCGCAACTTCGGGGGGNGGGGGGGGGGGGGAGCGCGCGCGGCTAAGCTACGCAGGACACGGGTGTTTGCCTCGTGTCGTCGTTATCGCGGCGAAAGTCTCAGCCGATTAATTTGTCGCGTGAGAGAGATGAAAATGTTGCGCGTCATCATGAGCTGATCTCCCTGTTATGTTTCAGGCGCTCGTTTCAAGGACGGCAAAAGAAAAAACGCGCGCGAGGGCCACTTGCGCTCGACTGTCACTCTCGTTCGTCTCACGAGTGTGTTTACGACCGACTCCGAGGAAAGAGAGAGAGAGAGAGAGAGAGAGAGAAAGAATCGCAAAAAGTATCCGGTCGGTCGAGTTCGCTCGCGAAATTGCGTCACAGCCGCCGTACTCGTCGAGAATGATCGGCGCCAGAAGTGGCGAGGATCGAAGGAACCTTCCTGGAAACGACGACGGGGCCATCGACCATTCCGTTCGGTTCGGAGAGTCTCATCTGCACTCTTCTTCCGTGTGTGAGTATCGTCATTCAGCCCTGCTTGCGATTAGTTTTCACTTTGACCCTTTATGCTGCGACCCCTTCCTGCGCGTCCGTAAGGTTGCCGATCGATCGCCGAGTACTATTGTCGCGACGTCGTCGTTGCCTGTGATTGTGACTGGCTGGAAATAAACATCGATTTTATCAACGCAAGGCGGCTTGCATCTACCTGCCCGCCCGAGTCAGGTCCCATATTTAGAGCGGCCATTAGTATGAATGCATGGTGGAGATGATATTTCGAGGTAGACAACAGCCTGAGAGAGAGAAAGTAAGAGATACGGAAAGAAATACGTCGCTCTCCGTCATTCTGTTCCCTCCAGGAGGGAAAACCTCCCCGGAGCCTCTCGGGGAAAATTTCGAGGACCGCCGGGACGTGCTGCCGGTCGCTCTTAATCGTATACACGAGAGAAAAAGGTTTCTTTGGATTTAGTATACGTGTTTGTTTAACTTTGTTTAATATAAACAACGTAATTTAATATCAAATATTATCTTGTTTGAATGAAGGTGCTGTTTCTCAACGGAGTGAACCATGTTGTTTGATGAAAAAACAATGTTATTTGGAGGAAATATAAATTTCGTTTTCGATAAAAAAAAATTTCGTTATTAAATATTTTTTTCATTGAAATAAAGTTCTTTAAGGTAAAAGTACCAATGCCTGGACGTGTATCTAACTCTGAGCATTCTTGTTATTTTGGTCTTTAAGTGTGTATGCTTAAACTTTCAACGTAGAATAATATACATATATTGAATATGTAACATATATATTCTACGTTGAAGGTTTAAATATTCACATTTAAAGATCAAAACAATAAGAATGTTCAGAATGTATGTCCAGGCATTGGTACTTTAATATTTTTCTAGCATAGCGTTACTCGTTTCAAACAATTTATTGCTTATGACAACTATTGCCATGTTTGGATGAAGATATTGGATAAAAATACAAAAGAAATATGTTATACGACGTAAAGATATTTATTAAAAGAAATTAATTTATTAGAAGAAATAATGATTAAAAGAGATTGAATTGAAAAGCCAAACAATTCTGTTTATTGAATTAAATATTCGTTTGTTCGCTCCATTCGAAAGGACAAAATTGTTGCGATTAAAGGAATTTTAACTGAATCCAAAGATTCTTTTTCCTTGTGTACACGCGAACCGGTTCCCGCACGTGGCGCGATCGTTCGAACGCGACCGAAGAAGTGGACCCACCTACGTCAGCGCCCGTGTACACACCCGTGGCTCTCCTCACCTCGCCTCCAAGATCGGAGATCCGAGGTGCTTTCGGAGATTATCATTCCTCCAAATAATTATAGCTACGCAATCAATCTCCTCTCTCCGGCTTCGTGGCCCACAGTACTCTCCTTCTCTCTCTCTCTTTACGGTAGCAATCTTTATCGCGAGCGCGACCTATACAACCCCGACGACGGGACGACGCGATTCGCGCATTGTGTAATCGGCGACGATTTCATCCTCCGCGTACGGAATTGCGCAGCGGAACATCGTGAAACGGGCGTTTGTCGTTTCATAAGGCGATATGCCTCTTATCAGGTTGCTTATCCCGTGCTTATCCGCGCCTCGTACGGCCGGTTTCCTCGCCGCGCCCCGTCGATGTGTTCCTTGTGTCAATAACGTTTACAGCGATAAACGGCCGGGCCACTTTTGTGATTAATCGATCCGTTCAAGAACCCGGCTGCGCTGTTACACTATTCGGCGCCCTGGAGAAAAAGCGATAATGAGCACGACGAGAGAGAGAGTCGTACGACCCGTTCGAGGTGATCTCTGTCGAACGCTCGCGCTAATTGTCCCGGTCTATACGCATCCGGACTCATCCCATTGATCGTTTCGCGCACGTGAACTCGACGAAACTCGGAGAACCGAATTTGTCCGTTTCAATGAGCCGTTACTGCGAGTGTTACAAGGCGATTACGCGCACGGTGTGACGCGACATTTCCCCGGCGCCGAGAACTATACCGACTTTCGGCCAGATATGCGCGACACACGAGGCACACAGGTGTTACCCTCGCGTGCACCTGTACGCTGGCAAATATTTCCGCAGCATGTTTTTTTCGCTCGTTTAGTTATTAATAATATATATATATATATATATATATATATGTTCACATTACGCTTGACCTGTATTAATTATCGGGACGCTCGATTGAAGATCGACTCGTGCGGAATTTCGGGCGAAGTTCACTCGGTCGCGTTTGCGTCGCAGTTGGAACGTGCGAAGTTAAAGAAGAAGGATCACGATGCTCGCCGCCTTGGAGTTACGTAAGCCAGCCGGCCGGCCGGCCGGCCGGCAGACAGGCCAGGCGCCGGTAAAAGAACAACAACGAAAGCGAATCGCTGGCATCTCGCGCGCACTTCGACGCAATAGTTTTCGCAGACGCGACGAGCGGCATCGCCGACTTCTCGATGACCCGAATTATTCTTCTTCTGCGTATCAGCTGTGTCGAAGCTGCCGAAAATTCGCGCTCGACGAAGGAAAAAATTAATTATCTCACGGAGCAGGTATCTCCCCGGTATTTTGCCACTTGCGCGTATGGCCCGATGAACGAACGGATCGTGCAATCTGAGTAATGCAATATTTACGCCGGGAATGAATCACACTTTTTCTCCACACGCACGTGTGTACACATTGCGTATCTCTGGCCTCTCTCGGAAGGGACCCGATTTGTAAATCGCGAATGGATGAGTCGTCAAGTATGTCGATAACGACGTGGCGCAAAAAACAGCTCCCGAATAACAATGACCAGCGCGACGGGCACGCAATTGTTGTTCTTGTAAAAAAATGAGAGCTTCATCGAGTCGTAGCGCGCGTATGAGTCAAAAAGCAAACGATCGTAACTCGTAATCGTCGTTGTAGGTTGAGTCAACGTAAACTCAAAGACAATTTTGTAGCCGGCGAGCGAATGTCGCATCTCTTTCCACCAATGAACGTCTCGGTAAGCAGGGTTAACAATTATACGCTCGCAAAAGTGAAGTCATCTTCGTAGATAATAATGTTTGTCTCGATCGGATGATCGTTTTTTATTGTCGATGCGGCTATCTACCGAAACTTTATCGCGCCTGACAGTCTCGAGTGCCTCGAATGTAATTTAACGACGATCTCGGGAACGATCGGCTTCTAACGCGTCTCTGCCCGGACGAATCTCGCTTCTTCGTGCGACGTCGATCGAATTTCCATCTCCGAAAAAAGCGATCTGCGATCTCGGTGATAACAAAAACATCGCAAATTTCACTTGAAGAAGCGCCTCGACGCGGCTACACGCGTGGAACGTCAGCTTTAACCGTAGTTCGATAGCTCGACGTACATAGCAAACTTTGTCGCTGTCTAATTTAAATGCTAGTACAATCTTGAGGCGTATGCGCGCTTGTATTCTTCGAGATACCGAAGGAAACCCAAACGAAGAGATATCGAGTAAGATTTATAGGAGTGAATCATTCCTCCGCTGAGATTACCTCTCGTTTTCGTTCCGAGCGAATTAATTCCGAGCCGGATGATCTCTCGCGATCTCTCGGGACGGGAAGAAGCGGGATGGATCGACATTGTATAGCAGCTGCGGCGGGAGGAACTCGAAAGGAACTTCGCCACGAGCGTTCGAACCAAGACGCTTCTCTCTCTTTTTCTCTCGTCTTTTTCATGATTCTTCTCCGCGCTATTCTTTTTCTTAATTTCTCTCCCCGAGTTTTACTCGGAACTCGACGACCTTCTCGACGAAGTGAGTCGCGATCAGCCGGCGCGGCGAGATAGGCACACGAGAATCGCAGACTTATTTAATCACGGCGACGAAGACGAAACGAAGGACGAGAAACACTTGGCGCACGCAGACAGTATTATTTTTATTTCGCGTAAAATTGCGCGTCGTACGCCGCAAGCGCGATAACTTTCGGCTACGGTCCACGGAAACCGCAGCGCGCGCGATTATTTGCCAGCGACAAAGTAAAACGCACGCTTTCGCGTCTACGTTTAAATATATCGGCGGCCGACGCGCAAATAAATTTTTAACGAGGTGCACGCGCACCCGAGAAATCGCCTATACGTTTCGCGTTTCGATGATATTCACGCGTCGCGACGGGAATAATTCCAACTGCGTGACGGCCCCGCGCGTACTCTCTCTTTCTCTCTCTCTCTCTCTCGGCTTGAATTATAATAATATTGAATCATGGAGGTGTGGGTGGACATAGAGATGAATAGGTAAACGTAAAGGGTGGGCGTTATCGGCTCACCGTAAATAACGGCCGCGTAACGCTGGTAATTAATTAATGGAATCCGGCTCGAACCGCGCCTTTAGAATCGCGCGTCGAACGCTGACGAATTTTTTAATCGCGCTTACGTAAACCTATCGGTATAATTAGATTTTACATTTAATGACACAATTGGTAATATTGGGATATTCCCATCGTTCGCGTCGTTCCGATATGCTCGTGCGCCATAACTCTGTCGATTGTTCAAAGAATAGCAACAATATCTTCGTTATTATTCAGACAGTGGCATTTATATGTCAATGATAACAGAAATCATCTTGTCTCCAACTATTTTATCTTATCCCCAACGCTATCCTCAATACATCTTCAAGTTGCGGGTTAAGATGAAAGTTCTTGAAAAAGAGGTTTTTCCTACTTTTTATTTTTTGCTTTTAATTTGGTTATATAACAATTCAAAATTGAATTGATGTTGATTATAGAGAAAAGTTTTAATAAATATCTCACTTAAGATTGTTTCGTTTTTATTAAGCTTTTTCCTTGTCTTTTGCCACGAGTTCTCCCATATCTTTGTTGTTTCGTCGAGTAATCAACAGTCACGATATACAAGCGTGTCGGCACGACGCGAATGACTGAAAAGTTCTAGTTGCTATTGTGGCATTGGACGTTAAAGTTATTATGCCGGTCTGTGTGGCACATTTGTAATGTACAATATAAAGTCGTCTATAAAAAAACGAATAATATTCGATAGAAGAACTCGGTGCAAGACGGGAAAACGTTATATAGAAATAACTACGCAGCTACAGACTTGGACTTGCACGTGTAAGAGAGTGTTTGTTTGTGATGAATAATAATAGAGGCAAGTTCGAACGAATTTATGAAAACTAATAAATCTGACGTAATTTTATGAATTGTTTGATGCTATGTGTCAGATAATTTGTTTTTGATATAATATTAAAAAAAGGTAAATAAATTACACGTGATATATACGTTATATTTTATAGTAGGTATTCTGTTATTCTACATGTAATTTCATATCTATGACTTGGGAAAGAGTCAACTGAATGGGGCAATATGATTATCTTCATATATAATTCTAATATTATTGCCATACTTTTAAATAACTTTGTATCACTTTGCTGATGTTATTTAGTACATATATTGCGTAGGCCTATACTCATGATCTGTGGAAGACCGAATGGCTCATCAAATTTATCAGCATTGAACACACGAATCTTGTACAGGATTTGACATTATCGAAAAAGAAATATAGTGAGATTTACTTATGATTTATATGTCAATGATAACAGAAATCATCTTGCCTCCAACTATTTTATCTTATCCCCAACGCTATTCTCAATACATCTTCAAGTTGCGGGTTAAGATGAAAGTTCTTGAAAAAGAGGTTTTTCCTACTTTTTATTTTTTACTTTTAATTTGGTTATATAACAATTCAAAATTGAATTGATGTTGATTATAGAGAAAAGTTTTAATAAATATCTCACTTAAGATTGTTTCGTTTTTATTAAGCTTTTTCCTTGTCTTTTGCCACGAGTTCTCCCATATCTTTGTTGTTTCGTCGAGTAATCAACAGTCACGATATACAAGCGTGTCGGCACGACGCGAATGACTGAAAAGTTCTAGTTGCTATTGTGGCATTGGACGTTAAAGTTATTATGCCGGTCTGTGTACATCGGTAGCTACATTAGCCGTCGCAAATGCGTTTGCACGTGCGACTTGCGATCGGCCGCAATGACGCCGCTTATGCCATCAACTTTTTAGACAACCTCGTAGATGATAGATATATTATAAGGAACACACAGCTGATGCGGTTTCCCCGCACGCGGGGTATCAACGTAACGCGTTACCGAGCAACGCGGAATTACGAAATTTTATCGTTCTCGAGGAATTCGAAGCAATCGTCACGAGCAGCGTTAACCGATCGCGACGCGGCGCGAAAACCGGTTCCTGAAGTCTCCGCTGACATCGCGCAGTTTTTTCCCCTTCTTTTGTATTATTTCAGTCTTTTCTTTCTGCCTTCCCTCTTCTTTCCCTCCGTCTCTCGGAAGGTGAAGCTATCTCGAGTCGCAATTCCGCGGATTCACCTCTTTGCGCGCACCTCTCGTAACTTATTACGAGAAAAGTTCCGCGTATCCGTGGAAAAATAGAAGAAAAATTCTCCCGAGAGTTTCTCCTTGAAAGTCGCTGCTTGCCGATCTGTGAATAATCCAGTCGGCATTTCTGAGAAATTACTCCCCGACCGAGCGATACGGCCGGTGGAGAGAGAGAGGAGAGCGCAGACGACGCTAATTTTAGCGTTATTTAAAAATGGTGCGCAGTTATTCTTGCTTTCCCCTGCGTATCGATTCGCGCGTATCGAGCCCGACAAAAAGAGCACGGCGGCATTAGGTCAAAGGTAGCACCGTGCTCGACCGTGTAATATTATCTGTGGCGCGCTCGGTGGGGCAGGACTCGGGAATTCTCGGGGTACAATCAACCTGCACGCAAAAGTACATCGCACCGTATGCGCGTTACGTCAGCGGAAAACCTTGACTTTATTGCACCGTGACATGCTGGCAACAAGCGTCTCCTTTCCCTTTTTACGGCGCGGGTTTTGTAGCTTTGCACAGCTTAGGCTACTTTCTGCACCGTTTCGACCGGTACACGCGTACCGATTATTACCGAACTCGGCGATCGTGCCTGTGTAAAGTATCTCCGGATAATATTCTTGTATGGTCAGCCGTAAGACGATACCAACGGCAAGTTGCTCTCTCACGAGAGAGAAAAGTTATAAGCTCTTGAAGAGTTGCAAATAAGCGGGGTTACTTAACGATGCTCTCCAATTAGAACAGAGCGTGCCTGCGGAGAATCGAAAAACATAAATAAACGCGCAAGTTCCTCGTGCGGTCATCGTTAGTACCTGCAAGAAGTACCAACTATGATTAGATATCGCGAAGACGAAGCGACGGCGACGTAGTACGATAAGTTTAAATCGCGCTTGGTGTTATGCAACTCGATTCTCTCATTTGCGCCGCTCGGCCACGTTTCTCCACTATTCAAAATACAAATATTTTTTTGTCGTACAAACAATGATAAGATAAAACGGCGCGACAAGTTGATCGTCGTTCTCGGCTTGCGACTTCGGCCTCTGAAGTTTCAACATGACCGATGAATCAGCCTCTACGACGAATCTCAACTCGCCCACATCTTCAGGGAGGGTCGATCCGGATCGTCGATTTGGAGCCAGATCGCGCGAAGGAAGGAAGGGAGGAAGAAAGGAACGCGGGCTTTCACAGCCGGGAAAATGGAGAAATCATTCTCTCTAAGCGAATCGATGATAATGTTTCTGATTAAATCAATAAAGTATATTGCATATCGACATCAATGATTACTCACTGATTTTCAGCGGAAACACTCCCACTCAATTTCCTCCTGTAGTCTTATACCTTATAAAAAAAAAAGTGCCGATGAATTAAGCAAGTAAACGTATTACCTATTTTAGTTACCTATTTTTTTAGCATTGTAAATCGATTAATATTTTTATCAATTTAAGTATATCTCAATAGCGTGTACTAAATGCTTACTTGAACGCAGTAATATTTTAATTTGTAAATGAATTACTGAATATAAAAATAAAGTGATTCTAAATTTAAGAGAGTATTTACTTGAATTGCGTGATACTTCTTTTCCATGGAAAAAACTTGGTTTTAAATTTAGATTTTTCTGTCCAGTAAATCTTTTCTAAATATAAATTTTTATATTCTCGGTATTATGAATTTAATCTACTTACTGTCGTAAATATCTACTTATACGAAGAAAATGTATATAATAAATATTTCTATTTCCAGTTATATAGTTCATATTATATTTCTATTTTACTGCAAAATCTTTGGTGTTCCACTGGCTGGTATCAATTAAATCCTGACGGCGAGACTAGTAGATAATAAAATGTTACCTATGGCGCACTTTGATTGGGAGATAAAAAAATCACCTAAAAACTGTCAAGGGAAACTCTGTTTTCTTCAATCAGAACACCCTTGGCTCGTTCATTGTCACTGATTCATTCGTGCTTTATTAATTCAAGCGAGCTTTTTCTCCCTGTATAACCGACTCCACTGTTTTTCAGTGATAATACACCGATTCCGTTTTAAAGAGTAATCGATTCGCGCCGACGATCGCGCGCGTGTTATGCACCGGAATGAAGAGCGCGTCGCCTTTTCCTGATTCCGAGGCGCGTGCGAATAAATGCGCGTAAGTTGACTACGCAACAGCGCCGGACGGACGATTGACCGCGTCGACGTTAGGTTACAAACCGTGAAAGCGAGCCACCGTATCGCACAATCGATACGCGTTTTATATGCGTAACGCGCCGTTCGCGCGCGAATGCTGCGCGCTCACTTAGTGTGTGTGTGCGTGCACATATATAATATAAACGTATGCAGAAGTGCGTAGGGGCGATAATTTATGTGCTGTATGTGTTTACGTAGCGCCAACGCGTGTACGTGCCAACTCGCAATCATCGTGACTGTTCATCGAGGAAGTCATCGAGAGGCATCCTCGAGACGGCAAAAGCGAGCTTAAACGCGACGAGGAGAGAATCCTTACGATGGCTCTCGTCCTCTCCAACGGGCGTGCAGGCCCCCGGATGTTTATTTTCGCGAATTGACAATAATAGAGTAGATCGATGGCCCCATCCTCGCGAGAAAAGGAGCTGACCATTCTTCTCGTATCCTTCACCTTTCGCGGTCACCTCTCGGTTGCGTCACTCTCGGGTGTTCTCGAATTCGCAGCTCGCCTGCGTGTGTTTTCGCTCTTGAATAGATTTCCCGATTCGTCCGCGCGCGAGTCATGTGCGGCGGAATCAGAAGCGGAAATCTGTGCGTCGCTCGCCGATTTGCGCTACAACTCGTCGTCCGATTCTTCGCGTATTTACTCGGTAAATGGGCCAAAGGCCGCGATAAGCGTGTTCTTGAAGGGTTTCAAATTCGTAACTCATAGGCGTCTAAGTCACTTTGGATCACACTATCCGTGGCGATGCCTCTTGTCCGGCATCGATCGATGTATATTCTCCTAGCGGACACCTCTGCGACGATTTTCGGTACGGTTTTTTTTTTGCCTATACAATAATATCTACTTTCTTCGACGCATCGGTAACTTCCTCGCCATCCTCGGCTTTCACGATCACACAGTCGATGCTGCAATGGCACACGCGGAAATGTATCGGACGCAGGAACTTTCGATCGCGCAGGACACGAGTTTCCTTCTCTTTTCCTTCCTTCTTTTCTCTCTTTCTTCCTTCTTTCTTTTTCTTCTCATCGTCACTCTCTCCACAGTCGATCGGTTTTCAGCCGCTGTTAGCGTTTCTATAACCGGTATTTAGGTCGATAATAACACGAAAGCAACGGCCAAGGAAGTACCAATTACAAATCTCGTCAACGTGAATTTCACCAGTCCCTCGGGTCATCGACTCGAGTGACCGTTGGTGGACGATATACGTGTGCTTCCGTGTGTGTGCGATCGTGTTTTGAAAAATATCAGCGATAGTCCCACTTCCTTCGCGATCGCCGACAGTCACGTCACGAGATTTACAATGAGTACCGGGCGATTTTCTTATCGCAAGAATGATTATCGTTCAGCGTGTATCGCCTATTCGTTTTTGCAACACGTATTTACATATACGTGCGCACACAGATGTGCATTATGCGCGCGATAACTTATTATGAATAAGTGACGGAACGGAGCGGAAACGTGAAAGTTGCGTAAGAGGACGCGATCAATGAAGCGCAGTTATAATCCGATCTCGGCGATAATGCAGCGCGATGCAATAATTCGAGTTATGATCGAGTTCATCGAACATAATGCGACACGCAGAATCGTCGCATCGATTATTATGCAATCCTCAACACCGCGCGCACTGTCTGTAGCTTCGCTCTTCCCGCGTGGTTATCAAGGCAACGAGACATCAGCCTGCTTTCGAATGCGTTTAGCTGCAACAGACACCGGGACCATCTGCGGAAATTGCTTTGAGGTGTACAGAGGAGCGTGAAGATAATCTTGTTCTACTATAATCGGAGTGTGGGAAGTGAGAAATCACCTGTGCCTCTTCGGGCGTAAGTGAACGAAGGCTCCTTTGGACCCTTTCGGATCGTGGGCGTCGAGAATTGCGCGACGTCTGAGTCCTCGTTGGACTTCAACAGAGATATGGGCAAGCTGAAACGCTAAGGAAGAAGGAGGACGACATTTCCTATGCCGAGGTCTACGGATCCGGCGATTGGAAGAAGCATTTGTCTCTAGCGAAGGGTATTTCCCTTAAAGGTGACACACAGGCCGAATGCTAGAGAAAGCTCGACTACTGTGCGAGAAGCAGTATGATCTCGGAGGAATATACGAGAAGCTCTTGGCGGATTCCCCCACCTGCACGATTTCCCGTCATCGAATCGTTCGCGACAACAAAACAATATCTCACTCTCGTTTCACATTTTCAAGTCGCGCGGTACGAGTGTCGCAAAGTCTCGCAGCAGGTTGTTAGATTCGTCGTCGAGCATTTCGTCGTCACAGATTCCCGCCGAGAGATTTGGACATCATCGCGACGAGGTCGTAGGACCATCACGTCGACGAACGTTGAAGCTTGTCGTTAAGAGCGTAATATACTCCGTAGATTTCTACGTTATGTAGCTGTTTTCCGCTCATTAGCGTTGCTTAACTCTCGGCCGAAATGTGGACAGCCAGCTTTGGCTGACGAGCGTGTTGCCGCGTAAGTGCAAGCAGCCGAGCTTCAAGCCGCCAGCCTTGACCCGCTTTCGTGTCTTCGACCGGCTCGTCGCTTCGTTTCACGTGCTTCAAAACTTTGACCTTAGACGTCCGGCTCCTCGCCAACCGTTCGTTCATCGTTATCGTTATTTGCCGACGGCTTACGCAAAGTATCGATCATTATCTAATTATTCTCATTTATATGTTATCGCTCTCCCGAAAGCAGCCGAAAGCAGCCGTTAACAATCGTAGACAGGCACAATACGTAACTTTCGTCTCCGCGCAAACTCTTATCTCTATTCTGCCTATTCAGTTTAGGCTGGTAGTCGAATCTTATATTTAAGATCGACTTAAGTTCGCCTTCAAGTGCATTGCGGTCGATGAAACGATCTGTACTACACTTGAGTATGAATTTAATTAATTAATTTCCTCGCAAGGAAAGGTGGGATCATGAGCTACTTAAATATATGAATGTGCATTCTGTTTGATCAAGGCAAAAGGCACAAAAATCATAGGAACAATAAGCAGGAGTATATTTTTCGAAAATATTATAATAATATAATGAACAAACGCCTCTTTCTCTCGCTGGGATCATGAATAACTCTCACACTGAAGAAAATATATCTGATCAGAGTCCAATTGAAAAGCAACAACCGGATATATCCGATCGAGTGCAATGTTCGATCATTTTATTCGATCAAGTCGAGCCTTTAACCGAAATGAAAATTGCAATAGATATAAATCGACTTATTTTCCGGTCAGGTTTTATCAGTAACTGCATCCGGTCAGGTTTTATCGATAACTGCATCGATAACTTCATCGGATACAGGTATCCAGCGCTTGATCGGACGATAAAAATAACAATCGGATCATAAAGGAGGAGGATCAATAAAACCGTTTTTCGTGCCCCCTCTCGATTTCCGTTAAAGAATTTTTTTTTGTATTGTGTGATCAGGAATGTGAAAAATAATTATTGAAATCATGGAAATTTTTCTCAGTGTACATTTCCTTAAGGTGTTAAGACGATATGAAATATAAAATTCAACTATGAATACCGGTCTCTCAGTCTCTTCACGCAACATCCAAAGTTTTATCGACCGTGTTGCAAAAGTAAAGGTAAATGCCTCTTGCTAGTCGAACAGTACGGAAATTCTTTATTCATATCAGCATAAAGGAAGGACTCGTTATTCAAGCTCGCAATAGTCCTCACAATAGTCCCATTCCTCTTCCGGAGAATTCGCATCATTTGTCGGCGATGGTGGATTCTGAATTGCATTCGTGCCGGCAGTGCCGACGCCCAAGGTGGTCAAAATACCTGGTAAATTCAGAAAGCATCGGATTCGCTTATGGATTCGCAAGCTTGAACTTAAGTTTTCCAAGTGTTGCGTCAGACCTTTCAGTTTCCCCATCATGTCATTCGTGTTTTGCGCCCCTTCCGTCGCCGCTGCTCTCACATTCTGATAAATTACATTCCCGATGTCGAAGGCGTGATTGAACACGAATTGAGCGGTACAGAGTATCATCACCACGAGAATCGGCAGACAAAGACTTGTCTCGAAGTCGTCGAGGAACAGGTTTACCCATTCTGGTAATAGATCACCGGACATTTTCTCACCGGTTCCTCAGATCTTCCAGGTTATACTCTATCGCTGTGTATTTCTATCCAGCGAATCTTGTCTATTTTTATTCTTTTATATTGCAAGTAAACCAAAGGAATCGTCCACTGTTCGAACATCACCATTGTCCCTTCATCTCTCGCGTAGCGCAGGTGGTCGATCGATCCCACGATTTTGTACAAATTTCTACTCGAAAGTGGAGCCGAGAGATACGTATCTTGTCGATTTCGTCGTGAAGAGGAGAGATCTTCAGAGAGTGTCACGCTCGTATGTTCGTCGCTTGTTGACGTGAAGCTAGCGGTGATTGGTACTTACGTGTTGATTTACGCGAATACGATAAAGAGGTACGGGGCGTTCTTAAGCTTAATATACTTCTTATGGGTAGACAAGTAAAACGTGCAACGTACACGATAAAACACTTTTATATTTTTTAACACTAACTCACGTCCATTAATTTAAAATCGATTCGTTACTTTCCATCATAAAGATACTTCGCGAGGAAGTCCTCGCGTTTAATCGGCGAGGTGTAAAAATTAAACGGTCATAAGAGTGGAAACCTCGGCTGATAAAAACAAAACCGCAATGTTCTCCGCTTTCTGAGTGAAAAAAAAAACTCGCCGAGAATATAAGAATGTTCTTTGGCAGCGGAGATCGTTGACGATCATAAGAACGATTGTGGAAACGTATTAAAAGTAACGGACGGTAATGTATTCGTGATGGGATTAAAACGAGTTACGCGGGTAACATAGCTACGTCGTCGTCATTAGTGAGATTTATCCTTATGGGCACCTGTGTGCTATTGAAGAAAGCCGCTTCGTCGAAGGCTCTGCCCTCGATTTGCCGGAAAATGTCCGCTTCTTTGACGCGCGCGTTAATCCTTGCCACTTCAGTCGGAGTCGACAGAGGTTGCGAGGGCGGGGTAATGTTGAATTCCCTCTCGGATAAACAATAATCGTGATACGGGAACGACTGGGAGGATCGGAGAGATAAGGAAGGCGGTAACGAGCTTATGTCGAGATTCGACTCTAAGTTGTTCTCACAGCGGGACAGTATCATCGTCGACTTTTGGCTGCTCGTCCTCGCGAAGGACGTGCATACGTAAAACAGGGGGTCGTCCGTGACGCTACCGTGGCTGATCGATCGAAGCGAACTCGTTTCCATCGCGTTCACGCCGCACATTTGCGACACGCTCAGGAGATTCGCGGAGTTTGGCGAAGATGTGCTCACGGTATCGCGTGGACTAACGACTGATGAACTTTCCTCCACCAGGTTGTTCGGAAACGGAAGCGTCGCTCGTCGATTTGCGATACCTTCTGGCTCGGGCGAGTCCTTGTTCCGATCGTTGGCCGGCTCACCGGCGATTCTCGGGAACTCCTTCGCGTTAGACTCTATGCCGGAAGCACCTGCTCGGTGTTCTCCTCGTTGATTCGTTGGTTCCACGAGCGCCGGATTGTCCTTCGGCGCGAAGGACGTTTCTACGGGATGATTCTCAGCTGCTTCTTGGCAGTGCTGCTGTTCTTCGTGCGCCGTCTGTAGAGTTGCGAGCGAGTTCGCTGCTGGTTGTTGTGCGAGGACTTGCGACGTCGGCTGCGTCTTTGCGCAGGATACTAAAGTTTTACGCTGCTTGCCTAGATCCAACTGCTTCATGGTGCTTATAATATTCGCGAAGACGAATCGATTATTCTCCAGTAGCACGTGCAACTGAACGGCCGCGTCGTAGCATGATTTCCCCCACGACACGTAGTCTGTGACAGAGCGAAGATTGCTCTGAAAAGGAAAATTATCTCAACAATATTCTATTAAATGTACGATCGGCGTCATTATGTTAGCTGTATCACCATTCTCTAGATCGAAAATTACACGATTTTCAAATTTACATATGTACCTATATAAACTCATGAAGTACTTGAATGCAGTGTATAATTTTCTGCATGTAAAGTTATTCGTGCGATTTTCAAGCTTATGAATTATGGGCAAGGCTGAAAATCGTGTAATTTTCCACCCGAGGAATGATACAGCATACATGACGCCGATCATATAATGATTCATTGCACCACACCGATGAGTATTCATAAACGGTTCGTACCTGTGCGTCGGCTGACTGCCGAGAGGCATACTCTCGCGCTTTAGATGTAACACACTTCGGTAGAGAGGACACCTCCGCTAAAGCGATACCATAATGATCAGCGGGTGCGGTTCCATTGTTTAATTTGTGTGTGTATATCAGGCGCAACTGGCCCGAGTCGTCCGATTCTGCTGTTTTCGTCTGGAAACAATGACTAAAAAAAAAAAATTTAAAAAAAGAACCAAACGATAACCGCCTGTCTTCCTGAAGTTTCGTCGTTTCCGAAAAATTGCTAAGATTTACAGTCCCTGTTCATATTATTAGACGCGCCTTAATTTTCACAATTCATTGACTTCCTAGAATTAACTTTATAATACGGCTCATCTATCGATTGAATTATGTTAAGGAACCATTATTTTATAAAAGATATTTTTTATGACGTCATTTCATTTGGCTGTTACAATAATCTTGAACAAGTATGAATCCACACTAGTTGCATTGTTGATAATAACGAGAGCAGTTATGAGTTTTGAGTGTCAATTGAAATTAAATTAAATTTTTGTTTATTTGCGAAACTTCAAATTCCTTGCTTACTAACGGAAAAATAAATTTTTGTGCGAAAAATATCAATATTGTACACAAATTTTGGGTAAAACAAATGATTTGACACCTCGGAAGGTTGCAGAGATAAAAACGCTGACCGACACCGAAGATCATTCTAATCGAGTAAACAAAAATTTAGTAGCTTTTCTTCTCCTCCTAACTTGTATTCTATTAAAAAAATTAAAGCACTCCTAATAATACGGCTGGGGACTGTATTTAAGAGCATCACGCACGTTGTCACATTGTGATACATATCGCGGAGCGCGGTGAGGTGCAAAAAGTGTGTGACCGCGAACGTAAATGCGCTCGTTAGCAATAATTTCTCGCATATCGACCAAGCGATGGCCGAGCCTTCCTCAACCGTAGTGTGCCGGCAGAGCTCATCAAGAACAACAAGAGATCGCGGTGTGACGGATTGCAGAATGTACTGCGCCTCTTTCATCTGAAACAAGCGTATTCGAAAGTAATCCCTCGGCTCCGCTTCGCGCGTTTAATTATACCGGATCATTGCATCTCGCGCACGCTTACCTCGAGAACGTAGGCGGACGCGTTGAGTTCGGCGTCGTCGCGGGAACATATCCTACAAAATATGCGGTCCGCGATGCGAAACGTCGCCTCCGTCGCCGGCACGTAGGAGCCGATCTGGAACCGACGATAAGGCGTTGATCGTGCGATAAACGAATACGTTTAATCGAGATAGCTAATGCGCCGTTACCTGCGCCATAATTTGAAGTAGAATGATTTGCTTCAAGTATGTAGATTTGCCGCTCATGTTCGGTCCGGTTATCAGATGAAAATTATACGCGTTCGTTGCATCCTGTTGATTTGAAACAGATCAATCTCGCAGATTGGAAAATGCCGCGAGTACCGACCGACCGACCGATCGATCGATCAATCCGATCGACCGGATCGTTTGTTTAGCGAATTTATTATTCACCGCTGTTCTAACACTCACTACGTCGTTAGGCACGGGAAGGTCCGTGTTGAATAACTCCATAATGGGATGCAGTGAATCTCTCAGTTCTAATTTCATTCCGAACGACGGTCGCACGTATTCCGGATTACTACTGATTTGCGCCAGCGACAATACCAAATCCAATTCCGCCACGTCGGCGCTCAGCTGAAACAAGCAGCCGACGTGTTGTCTGATATCCTCCAGTAAGTGAGTCAGCAAGCTGTAAATAGTTATTTTGTTGATACAACGATATTGACGTGTGATTTATGTTTTTTTATTTTTTTTATTTTTTCATATATTCAACCATTTATTGATGCGAAATAATCTTTTTGGTGCAATACACACATATAATGTACACGAATGCATGTATATACAGAGTGTAACTAAAATAAGGGGATAAATTTCGCAGGCGAGTTTCCCACACCGAAATATGATGAATCATTCGTATCAACATTTGCGGATATATGTTGGATTGAATTTTTTTCATGGTTTGTAGTGTGGGCAGCTCGTCCCCTTTTTTTAGTTACATCGTGTATATATTCTTCACCGTAAACTGTGAATTTAATGTCATTTAAAAATAGTCTAGAAAATAGACAATCGACTTACGTGTTACTCATCACATAAATCTCCTCGCAGGCCTTTCTACATTGTTTATTTAAAGTCAATAGCGCCGCCGTAGTCATCGTAAAGGATCTTCGGTTTTTTCGTACCTGCATCATTGTGTAGGAAATGTGTAGGAAATGTTGCGTAGAATTGAGATCGCGCGTAAATTAGCGGGGAGAAACGAGTTACCTGAATAAATTCTGTCGACAAGTCGGAGATGTCCAAGCAACGCGGTACGACCATTTGAATGTGGTAGCCCAAGTTTACGTTGTATTCTAAAGATAACGGGAGCTTGTGTTTCACAGCTGATGCCTCCACCAAGTCTATTTGAAGAAATTCGCGAAATTACGAACTGTGCGTATTTTTTTTTCGGCGCGTGTTACGTCTGTTACACGTCACATCGTTACTATTCCAAGACACAACGATGCCACTTTACTTTTCATGTCGTTGATTAACTCGCAGTAAACTTGCCGCGCGACGTCCAACAATTCATTGATACCGGCTTTTATAGCGAAGCACCGTTGCACACTCGACGAGGTGGATCCCTTGACGAATCTCGCGTCCGTGTGTATCAGCGTCATAATCTTGTCCTTCATGACTTGGAACTCGTAGTTTCCTAAATTCTGCAAGACGCGAGTTTCCGCGAGAGAAACGCGGCCATGCGCGTTAATATCAGCAAGAATATCGCGTCGATAAGCTTCAGCGAGAAAATACAAACTTTTCGCATTTTTACGAAGAAAGTGTGAATACCGGTCGCGAGAACGGCTTCCAGTTCCGGAACGGTGTCCAAGCAACTTTTTAGGAGCAACGCGTAGTTTAGGTTTCGCTCCGCGTTCTGTATGTCATTCGTGTTTAATGGCTTGCTCGCTAATGTCAGCAAACGATCCGTGCCGAAGAGACGTTGCACCACTGGCTGTGAAACACATACATTCTGCCTGAGTCTCGCGATTTGCTCACAAACCAAAAAAAGCTCAGTTGCTTGCGACCGGATGAGAACTCGGTGACAGAAATGATATATTTCTGTTAACGCGAGAACATTCGTGTGAACATTTCAGTTGCATTAAAACTCATTTGAGATAACTGAGAGCAATTCGGTGAGTGCAAACTTCCTGCAAGAATCTTTTTACACCTACAACCGAGTCCCTAGGCAACGGAAAATTCAGTTACACTAACAAGACTTAATTTTTTTTCGTGTACGCAGGAAATTTTGGTTTTGAATAATATAGCATATTAGTAAAATAATTTGCTAAACTTGTATTGCGTGACTATAGGATGGAGATAGGGACTATAGGAAATAACATCTTCACTCAAACAAAATAATATTTGGTATTAAATCCAATCCGCCTTAAAATTGTTTCGACGTTATAAATGTATTCTAGCCGAGCGAGACTATTATGGAGTATTTTCTCGGTTCATGAATGTTCGTATCTTCGAGAAAAATTCACCGCGTATGGTACATGAAGAGTATCCTACACAGAGGAAATATTGTAGTAAAAATTACCATAAAATTGGGTAATACTGGAATTACGACTGAAGTTATGAAGCGTGTTGTAATCATGTGTACACATCACTAAAGATTATAACACACGTAATAATAATTTCGATAATAATTCCAGCATTGCAAAATTTGTAGTCATTTTCACGATAATTTTTACGATATTTTCTCTGTGCAGCGCCGCTTTCTGTGCTTCTGACGGCGATTAGAACGCTCGATCACAAACGTGATCGTTAGTTTTGAACAGTGTCTACCTGAAGACTGGCGCACAGGGAACGATTGGCGACCAATTCCGCCACGCAAGACTGCCGCTCCGCGATCAGGCGCTCGTCGCAAGGGGGTTGGAGAATGGAGGCGCGTAGTAGCCTTCTACCCATAGGGGTCAAGCAGCGGTCCATAGTGCCCAGCAGACTGACGATGAAATGCTTGGACTGCGACACGACTAGTTCCAGACTCCGTGCGCTCTCTATATCTGCACAATAACAATCGTTATGTAGGTTTGCCGCTTTTTCGCGCGCGTTAGCGACTCACCGATCATCGTGGTATTTGGTGATCCTTGAAACTCCATTCTTACCGATCTCGGCGCATAAACCATGTGCTGCGCGTACTCCACGTACTTCAGCAGCGCCGCGGCAGCGGCCAAAGCGTAATATCTGCAATCAATAGACACCGTTTCAGTCCTGCCGTCTTAATTCCACTCCACTCGATCGCACCACTTCGCTGTGATGTTACTTTTGTTTCACTATCAACTCCACGCTCGAGTACTCCTTCGCGCATAGGGTCCGCACGCGTTCCATACCATTTGACTCGTTAAAGTGCATCCGTAGAATCGGCGTGATTTTCAGCGCGTTGAACTTCTCCTTAATCAATTTGTACAGCTTGTTCAAGCAACCCCGGCGTTGGCACATCGTTTCAGGCATTAATATCTTTGAGAATGAAAAGTTACGTGGCGTAAGTCAACGGTCGGTATTCGTCAGTCTGATTTTATGTTTGAGACCGTCTCGAGTATATATAATAGGCCGCTACTTACTTCTATTGGATCGAGAATATGAATTTTCGTCAAAGTGTTGACGTATATTTGGCAATCGCTGATTTGACAAAGAATCAAATACGGATACTGAAGATCTATCGCTGCCAGACCAACTTCGTTCCTGGCGTCGCCTCGGCCGGCCGTTAAAGCTGTCGTGAGAATATGCATATCCGTGAATAAATTATCAATTACCTTGCGGTTTAATATTATTTATCGCGCTTGTACCTATCACCACCGAAGAATCCGCGTGGCTGGATGTGCCGACCGACGATTTCGCAGCATTGGTTGATCTAACCAGAAGAACGAAACGTGAGAAGCAACGTATTTTCGGCGTGTGAGAGAGAGATGTGAGGAGAGATTTATGGCTCACCCTGTGCTACGGCGAGAAACGCTCGACAGGTAGGACGATGTGGAGACGCAATTCTCCTTTACGTTACGTCCCCAATTGCGTCTCGGCGTCTTCGTGACGGAACTCGCCGGTCCAGAGCTCGTCGAAGGTTTCGAAAAGCCGGCTTCGAATTCTGTAGTAGTGCGCGAAGATTCATGAAACGCGCGAGAATCTCAGTGTGCAATTCATAGGAAAAATATCAGTTTATTACTAAGAGAAACGATTGCTCAATTTATTCCCTTCTTTTAAATAGTAGTTATCTTTGACAAAATATTTTTTTGATAATAGCCTTAAAATATATTCATCGCAAATTTGAGAAAAACTCATGATTTCCTGTTCAAACAAATGTATTCTCTTCTCAACAATATCATAAACTATAGTGAAGAAAAGTTAAGTTCGCTTCATTTGAATATAAACTGAAATTTATTTTGATCTAATATTCTGGATTGAAATACTAAAATTACTAGAATTCAGAATATACTTTGAATAAATTTAATGCTTATGATGAACTTGCGATTTTTGCGGTATTTGCGAATATATAAACTTATGAGAAATATTTGAAACAAGTATAACATTTACTTGAATGCAATAAGTAAGAAATACGTAGGAATGCAAATATTTAGGTGGGCCGTTTGTAACACGAAATCTTTTGCTGTGTATCTTCAGCAGTACATAACCTGTCTTTCCTTCGATACATTTATACGCCCTATTGCCACAGTTTAAAATATCTCGGATGCAACAAGTCGCCTGCACTACCCTGAAATTTCAAGGTGGAAAATTTCCTCCCGAGGTGCGTCCAATGCAGTTTCCGAGCGATACCACACGTTTCCGAACGCACCTGAGTGTAATTTCCGAACATAGCTCGAACAAGGCGCCGATACTTACGGTGCTTCGGGAAGAGGTTTGTGAAGCGTTGCGCGTTCGGTATCGCGATCCTTCCCCTCGGGAAACCGCGTCGTCCTCTCGGCGGCACAGGCTGTATCACGTTCATTTTACGGATGAGAAACGAGTCGTCGACGCCCGGCGACTTTACGGCATCACGCCCGAAGTTGCCCGCGCTGCGATTGGAATTTTTCAAACATGGCGTATCGACCGAACTCTCGACCGATCGATCGATTAACCGCGCGGTTCGCAATCGGTTCGTTCCCCCGAAAGACGAAAGTACAAAACACCTCGGTTTCTCAATGATATATTTATTTACAATTTCTCATTCAACCTTATCGCTCTTATCTTAATTTCGCGCTGAACATATGCTCCGGTTGATAATAAATAACACGATCACAATCACTATCCCGCTCGCAATAAATATCGCTTTATCCACTTTATCTCTTAAAATTCAAATTTACATTTGTATTTACAGTAATAATAATCAAAATCGATTGTCTCTCTCTCTCTCTCTCTCTCTCTCTCTTTCCCGGCTACTTCGCGCTCTCAATTTTTTTCAGTTCACCTCACCGCCAGTGGTGACTTCTTCGCTCACGTGTAAAATTACCTACGAACGACTGTGCGTCGCGCCGCGGATTCGGCGAGATAAAAACACGCGCGCGCGTCGCGACAATGCAATAACGCGTTACTTTGCCAGTACGATCGACCGCGGGCTTCCAGAGATGCGCTATCTATTTATACACATTAGTCTTCCAACACGCGAACTCACAATAGAATAGATCGTACAAAGATCTCAGTCGACCAAGTCCCACTACGCAGTAAGAGCAGTAAATTAAATCGCACTGTTAAATATGTCGCGCTATATATATATATGTAAACTCGCGTTACATTATTATTCTCTCATGGATGTGCATACATGCATGCATCCGTACAATGTCGGGCAAAATGCGTTCGGGAATAACGGGATCACGGTCGAGCACGTATTTATAAATATATTTGTATACATTTATAGATCTGCATGCATGTATACGGCGCTTCTGGAATCCTTTCACTCGTTATTCGAGCATATTTCGCCCGACAATGTTCGCGATCGAATGAAACGGGCGATTTCCGGAGCGCGAGGCAACCGGATCGCATTACTAGTCGCACATTTCGTTTTTTCCACGACTCGCTCGACAGCTAGCTTCGACGTTGGTTTGGCACGAAGCTCGGAACGATCGAAAATGCGAATTACAAGAGTATATATGGNNNNGGGGGGGGGGCGCAGAATTTGGCGGAAACGTCTTGTAAAGTGTCTCGAAAAAGAAAAAGCACAAGTAACGCGCGGTACTCTAGTGAGCCCGTAAGAAGAGGGCTGAAGCGTTTGAGATATCTTCGAGAGAAATCTTATTTTTACAGCGATACCGGGACATACACAGACGCTGCACGTCACAGCACCACTTCCGACCGTACGAACGTTTCCTTCCGTTGAAACGAGCGAGAGGCACCGCCGTGTCCTGTCTCTTTATTGTAATTGTCTAAAATTTACAATGCCGCGACAGCAGTCTCTTAAATCGATTATTAATTGCAGTAATAATCACAATTTACGTAAAAAATGCGTACGCACGCACGCACACACGCGTCAACGCATCACAAGCACACGCGCATACACACGACATTCATACGTGTACGTTATAACGATATGTATACATCGAGAAATAGACACGCGCGATTGATCAAGGCTTATCACATCGTATAGACTTTTCATCAAGGAGTTTTCTAGTAAAAAAAATTTTTCAACGGTACGAATGCTGCCTCTCGGCGAAGAACTTTCTGCACAGCGTGCCGATCGCTCTCTCGCGTAGAGGCATCGATGAAGTTGCGACCATTTCGCGGATCTCCTCATCCCCCACGCTACACGTCGAAGCGTCCCCCGTAGCACTTCGTTCAAAATAACGCGCACACGTGTTAAAATCCCGCTGATCGTACGCGATATCAGATAGAACATCCACGACGAGATGTNATATATATATATATATACCTAGCCACCTTAAATTAATATTCAGTTGAATTATTTCTTGCATATACATATTTATGTACAAAAAACATTACGATCACAATTCACAAGTATGATGTGTGTGTATATATAATTGACATAATACGCAAATACCACGTGATAATACAGCATAATCGCTAAGATAACTTTCTTTACGTTGCTCGCCAGCACGTATTTTTGCAGCTTGCCTTTACCCACATCCGCTCTGTCCTTGGATATAAAGGATCGTGGTTTTTTCATCATTGCTATCTCTCTCTCTCTCTCTCTCTCTCTCTCCCTCTCTCTCTCTCTCTCTCTCTCTCTCCCTCTCTCTCTCTCTTCAAAGAAGAGTGAGGAACGGAGAGCCTCAAGCCCATATCAGACTACGGATTAGGATTGACACCGGATTGAAATTTGATCAATCAGAGTAAAGTTCATTAAACTCAAGTTAGTGAACTTTGCTCTGTGATCGATCAATCCAATTTCAATCCAATCCTGATCTGTAATCTGACACGGGCTTAACGCCGCTTTCTAACAATTGTTTCATTTCAGAACAACTTCCATCGCAACGATCTCGTCTCACGCGCTCTTGCCTTGTGATTGTACGATTGTGGATTAATCTAAAGTCGATTAAAGTATTAAACCGCACACGAGACCGTGGCGACAGATAATATATATATATATATATATATATATATATCCATCTTCCCTTAAGATTCATCAAATCAGCAGTTTGTAGCGAATAGTTGGCGTTATCGCCTGAACGATAACAATTGTTCATGTTGATCGATAATGGGCTCTTTGGCACGTTTGCGAGTGACGATTGGTGAACAGAGAGATGGTCTCGGCATTTCGAACTGTGACTTTTCTGCGTTGATAATATAATACGAAAGAGATACATATACATATACATACATACATATATATATATATATATATATATATATATATATGATATGTGTGGCTCGGTTTGCGATGAACATTAAAATATGACGGCAGCAATATAACAGCACTGCGGATGCGTATCATTCGAAAGTGACGGAGGGGGCGGATTATCTGCGAGCGCGATTGTTACACGTGACTCTCGAGAGGTACCTTGAAGACCTTGGACGCGAGACTCGCGTCCGGTAGGGATTGCGGCCGCGTGTTGGTCACGTTGAATACGACGTTACTGGGCCCGCGAAAGCTCACTTCGATGAGGAAGCTCGTGTCAGTCATGCCGACGCGGTTGGTGCTGAGGTCGGGCGAACTTGTCCGCAACTGGCTCTTCTTCGGCCGGTAATCGCTCCGAATGATTCTCTCGGTCTCGGACTGCAGCTTATTGTCCAGCCAGTGCACCTTGTCGAAGTCTTTGGTGCCGCCGACCGTGTGCCTGCGTTTGATCGAGCGTTCCGGCATGCCGTTCTTGCGCTTCAGTTTGGTGGCGCTTTCCTTGCGCACCGATTGCCGCCTCTTGCTGATGTTGCACTCGGTCTTCTCCGTTTTCGTCAGCGACTCCGAGCGCTTCAGTTTGCTGCCCGGCGACTCGGACCGGCCGTCCGAGTGCTTGTTCAGACTCTCGGACCGCTTGAGCTTGCCGTTCGTCGGCGACGACAGCCTCTCGGTCGAGTGTTTGTTCAGACTCTCCGATCTCTTCAGTCTCGAGGCGGTGCTCTCTGACCTCTTATTCAGCGATTCCGAGCGCTTGAGCCGCGATCTCGCCTCGAAGTTCGTCAGGCTCTCAAATTTTTTCAGCTTGTTCGTGTAACTGGAATCGCCGGACTCGTAATGATGGCTCTTACTGTCCTCCAGCTTCGTGTCGACGTCCGTCTCTTCCGTGCACGCGTTGGGTGACGTCGGCTTGCCCTCTTGGAGGCTCGCCGCGCTCGGCAATTCGTAACGCTTCGGGTTCCCCGCGCGCGTGCAGTCTCCTACGTCCGGGTCTCCGTCCTTCTCGCTCGTGATCGACGCGGTCTTCTCCGTGGGCTTGTCCGCGGTCTTCGTCTCCGATTTCTGCTTGTCGTTCGCGCTACGATCGTTGTTCGGCGTCGCAGCTACCGAGGGATGCTGCGTGTCGGTCACCGTTGAGTCGGTGTCCTTCTCGGGAGCGTCCTGCGCAGGGCAGAGCATTACTCGAATAAATTTTCTATTGTGTGTGTGTGTGGACTCATTTCATTATATTATCTTTACTTAATATATTAAATCATTATATTATCCTAGTGATATTAAAATCATTTTTGATAAAAAAATACTTATTCGTTATATCTATAAAATAAACAGGCCAAAAACGAGACAAATAAGTGAATGAATGAATAATAAATAACTCGAATAATAAATAATGCAAATAACAAATAACTTGTATATTCATTTAAATAAATATTATTTGATGACTGAATAACAAAGTTATTTATAAATTCACTTATTATTTCAAATGTTCAAAATTTGCCCAAGTCTGGTCCTACGTCATTCAGGACGGGAAACGACGACGTTATTAACTTCTAATCTTCCTTTCTTTCTTTCTTATAGCGAATTTGATTGGATGTGCTAATACGCCCCACTAAGCCAGTATTCATAGTTTTTATATTTAAGACTGTCATAAATTTATCTTCAGATGCCGTACAAATCGTTTCATCGACTACAGAGCATCTGAAGATGAGCCTCAGATTGATCTTAAATAATACATAAGAACAGACTGTGAAACCGGCCTTTTAGTGCATCCAGCCGAATTCGTCATTAACATAATCCGCGATAGCAAACACACTTACGTCCTTTAAGCGAGAGAGATGGCTCTTGTCGATCGATTTGTGAAGACTGGGATCGCGATAAGCTTCCGTAGACGGATACTTGAATTTCGGGGACGCGCTCGCCTTCTGCTCCTGCTGCTCCGTGTCGTCCGTGCTATCCTTGTTGTAGGACGAGGCTTCCAGGGGAGGCTGCGCCTGATTCGATGACTGATTCACGAGAGATCTCCACTTGCGATCGAACGTGGTCGTGAGGCTGGTCAAAAGGTCGCTACCTGCAATAGGTGATTGCGTGGTTAGTCGCGCGTTGATACGCGGAAACACCGCAATTGTTGATAAACTCATACGCCAAATACACTCAAAGCGCTGAATCGGCTTGAACGTTATTGTCGTTAGCGTGAAAAGTATAGACATCTGCGTGGTGGACGAGTAACATATCTGTATATATCCGTGACATAATCGTTAAAACAAGGCGAATTATAAATGCGAGCGAGAGAGAGAGAGAGAGAGAGAGAGAGAGAGTGTATGTGTGTGTGTGTGTACGATTTGTCGCAGCTGGTAAGAATTCTTGCGCGGGTGCATTCCTCTGCGAAATAAAATCGCCGCAAATGAAAGAAGAAAAAGGAGCTGCGGTACAAACAACGTAAATAATAATGACAGCAGTTTCAACGAAACACACACACACACAGCGTCGGCATCGAGAGTAAACGCGATTATCGCAGATATGACAGTTATCACAAAAGGAGAATTAATTAATAAATTATTATCTTTACTCTCTCACTTGTAAACGCAGCGTCGCCACAAAGACGCCGATAATAACAGCGATCGTATTGTCGCCGTCATTATGAAAATAATCGTCATTTTGTATCAGCTGTACACATTCTAATAATTGTGAAACGAAACAGCCGTAATTGCTGTCGTCCTTCTCTTCGACGCTGCGGCGCAGGTATGCGGAGGTAAAACTAAAGCGTCGTTTTTCTTAAACATAATTAAAAAGAAAACAGATGATATACATATACAAGGGTTACACATAAACGAAGAAACCTGCGTCGCAGGTATCCTCTTTGCCAATAGATCAAGGTGTTCTTGCGCATTCGAACAGTATGCAACTTCCGGTGTTATCTGCGCGCGGAACATGTTCGCTCGCAATCTTCTCGATGATAGCCGCGCGTGAATATTATTATCATTATTATCACCATCACATTAACGGCGTCTATGCGATTGAAGTGGTTAACGATTATCGCTTGGGATGCGCGCTCGAAAATAGCGGCGGGGGTAAAAACAGCGACGTCGAGAGGCAGCGGACAAGAAGATGAAACGACTACATACGGTTAGTCGAAAGGAGGTACAAACTATGTGGACGCGTGCTCAATGTATGTGTGTACATGTATGTATGCGCATGGTAGCGAGAATGTAGGTGTGTGAACTGAAAGAGTGTAAAAGCCATTCGGGTGAGCCAGCTGTCAGCTCGTTGGACACCTTGGATGCTCAATGGCGGTTTCAGGCTCTGGTCTGGCAGCGCGACCTGGGATTTACCTCGGAGGAATCGGTTTAAAGTCTTGACGGCGGGCCCAGCGGCAGGCCCTGAGCCTGGCAACAGCTTTGTGAGGTCTGGCTCGCCGGCGGGCTCGTTGCTGTTCGCTGTTGATGATGGTGTTCGTGCGTCTCCTGTCGGCGATGGTGAGAGGGCAGCTGATGGAGACGCGACAGCAACCAGCGATTGCCGAGAAGGCTCGACGACGATTGCTGCTGTTGTTGGTGCTGCTGTTGCTGACATTGACACGGGCATGGACATTGGCATTGGGACTGCGACTGGCACTGATATTGGCGACTGGGCCGGTGTTTTCGGGGCGGCGCTACCGGGACCTGCGGTACCGTATAGGTGGGACGATATGTACCACCAAAAACCCGGGCTCGCAGTGTGCCTACACGTTCAATGCGTCGTTCACATGTCATGTCTCGGTTGCAGCCGGCGAGCAACTCTCTTCCCCTCGTCTTCCTCCTTTGCGTCCGAACCCACCGTGCTATCTTTCTCTCTCTCTCGCCCTTTCTCTCTTTCTCCTAGCGCGGTAACGTACATTTTGAGACCGAAAAGTCTCTCTCATCAGCGTCGACCGGCCGGAATCAATGGGCGCGGCGTTACGTTCTCGAGGAATATGCGCGAAGGAGAGAGAGAAAGAAACTTCCTCGAGATGTAACGTAAGGGCTCAAACACGATCGACAGAATAAGGGACAAGGTATTAAATATAGGAAATTAGGAATAATATATTAAAAGTAAGCTATAGCTTAAAATCACAATAAAGAAATAAAGAATAAGATATAGGAATAATATACTAAAACGAGATCACCACTCTGTTACTTATATATATGCATATATACATACATATACATTTACAGAGTGTCTGACGTAAGTACCATCCATCATATTGTAATTTAGGTTAACATGAACAAAAACGTGCAATTTTGCAAACAACCAAACAAAATTTTCAGTTATTAATTATTGCCATGTATAGTAGCTTCTTTAATTAATAACTCAAAAATTTGTGTGGTACAAAATGGTAAGGGACTTTTATTCAGAATGACCTAATCTACGAGTCATCATTAACATTTTTATCGTTTATCTGATAATTATTGATCAATTCAAACTGACTTTCATTTGTATATCGATGAACATTTGATATTTTGAAGACTAACTTTTAGACTAACTTCAGTCAACTTCTAGGTACTATAAGCACACAAGTTATGAGGAAAATAGAATTTCGACGGTGTTTCTAAGTTCCTTATTTTTTATCATGGGTTAAAACATGGTTGTCGAAATTTCCTTGCTCCTAATGCTATATATTTAATTCCTTGTTCCTTATTCATTTCATCGTGTTCATCGCCCCAAGAGAGAGAAAAGAAGAAAACGGAAAGAGAGAAAGCGGATCGAGTTTAGGGGAGAATTGAAATTTTGAGTCGTTTCTCAGCCGCGTTCGACTATCGTTCTCAGGCTCCTCGTCCATTTGTAGCTCGAGGAACTTCGAGAGAACGAATCTTGAGATTTGACTATGTTCATATTCTTCGGGTGTGTCTGATCGCAAAGTCGTAGACTGAGGCGGGCAGACAATCAATTTATAATTAAGAACACAATAATCGGTAGAGGCAATCCTTAACGATAGAATAGGCAGGCAGACGAGCAGTAAATGATGATCGGAAATGCACACGCGTTACAAAAAACGAAAAGACTGAGAGAAAGAGAGAGAACTAAGTTATCTCACTAATGGTAAAGAGCGGATGCTCTATCGAAGTGGTCGAGCGATGGCCACGCAATGAAAAAAACGTCACCAAGCTCATCGTTAGAAAAGTTGCTGTGGAGAGTAATTTGTAGCGCAATACGTGAACGTGACTCCTCTAATAGTAAAATCGATCCTTGTGCGCGGCAAGCAATGACCGATGACTCGTACACGAAGCACGCGTGACAAACCTTCGTGAGGCACATGCACGTGACGAAGAAAACTTCTATCCGTCCGATAACTCGTTGCGCACACGCACACACACACTTTCACGCCACACTTAAAAGAGCAAACCGTTGAAGATCGCAGAAGCCAATCGTGCGAAATAATCCGCTTATCTGTATGCCGAAAGCCAAAAGAGTGCCATGCACATTACAACAACGTGTGAAACTGGAGGATCAGCCACGGGAGACGAGTTGTAACTTCGCAAACGGGATTCCCCTACGTCGTTCGTCGCAATCTCGTTGTGGCCGATTCTCCTTGCGCTTGATCGCGGAATGCGAGATACTAAGGAATTTCTAGAATCAAATTCCTTTTCGCATGGTTGGTGTGTGTGTGTGTGTGTGTGTGTGTGTGTGTGTGTGTGTGTGCGTGTGTGCGTGTATGCTGTGTATATGCTATGTATGTGTGGGCGCGTGCGCGCGCACGCAGAAAGCATCGTGTGCATCCTGAACGTGTGTGTTCGTAACAAGGAGTATGCGAAATAAGTTTGCTACGTCTCGAACCGTGTTCGCTGAGAGTATGTACGATAACAATAACGGGCGGGTAAATAACGTAAATCGTAAAAGTCCCGAGAACAATGATAACTTTGTAACATACACTTTATAAGTCCAAAAGATCGCTTGAAGCAAATAAGAGAGGAGGAATGTACCTAGAAAGCTTTTTGTTAATAGTGAGTATCTTCTGTGTCCACTGCAGAAAACAAGATCCTGCTACACTCACCGATCGTCAGAAGCGATATTACACAGAGAAAAGAGATATATAAAAGAGAATGAATAGAGAGTATATGTAAATGGAGTAGACTAAAACACGTTGTAATTACTCGACTTGGATTAAGAGATAGAGATAGCAAAATAGGACTGTATATATAAATATATAAGGGTGTTCTCTCGACATTTCAACTGTCCGGGTTAATTTACGAATGAAATGGGGTATTTCAAATGAAGAAGTGCCCCCTCCACCCCCCATCCATCCCATATAATTAACCCGGACAGATTAAATCCCGAACACTGTATAATTCGAGAAGAGGACGGAAAGAAGACAAGCAAGACGTAGAGTACACTCGCACGCGTTTCACGTACGATCAATACGTTACTGTACCGGCAGACGTGATACATATTACTCTTACTTAACGTTTTTATCGATCGGTACGGATACACACAGGATGCTGGAAAGACAACGATATAAATGTGTAGTCTCTTCTATTGCAGTAATCGCTCTATTTTGTTCAAACATCCTGTATATAAATCTACCTGGGTGAAGTAACATGTATGCACGCGATACACACGAATCTTAATCCTCTCTTCTTTGACCGATTATTGTCAGCGTAGTTCTACGTGTCGCTAAATTTGCACGCGTTATTCGAGTTGATCCACCGATATTCCTGCCGAATAGCAATTATAAGAGAATCGTGCTCGCGTGTGTACACAGTTTCACAAATCACACTCTTACGTATTTATCGCATATATGTGTATATAAATATATCGACGGACATGAATATATATATATAGACTCTCAGACGTGTGTTGACAACGCAAAAAAATCGCTTCGGTATCTATCACCGAGTGCACACAAACGAAGAAAAAAAAATTCGGAATAGCGATATCACATAGTATCACAGATGTGTTACGTGTATGTATGTGTGTGTGTGTATGTGAGAGAGAGAGAGAGAGAGAAGGAGAAGTATGTGTGATACTAACCATCATCCGAGACGTCGCCTGGAATACCTCGCTGCTGTTGCGACGGTGACGGAGAGGACTGCGACAGATTGTGCACTTCGTGCAGAGAGTCCAGACTTCCGTATCGAACTGGCGGTAGGCAGATCGACTCCATCGACGGCTGTAACGCCAAGGCCGAGTATGAGTGAACAAAATCGACGTGTTTATCAAATACATCATCAGGCTGGTATTAGGATTTGTATTGGGTATTAATAGATAGGTATTAGGATATAAGCTGATACATCTCGGTCCGAATTTGTTGGCAAAGGTGCTAGAAAATGCAAATGTTAGTAATTTTGCAATAATTTCTAGTAACTTTTATATCCGGCTTTATAGATTGTAATTTGACGAATCAGAACAAAGTTCACCAAACTCAAGTTTAATAAAAATTGCTCTGATCGGTGAAATTTCAATCCAATCTCAATCCTAATCCGTAGTGTGACACGGGCATTATGTATCAGCCTTAGACGATGGATCGACAAGGAAAGATCAACTTACATCCTTGTCAGTTTTGAATTTCTTAATAATGCCATTATTCATCTTCTCGCCCAATACGTTGGTCAACTGACTGGTGGCCTGCGTCTTGATCGTAGGTTGTTGCTGCACGGCTATGGATAGCGGTGATCTCGTGGTCGATCGCGACCTGGAGTCTCGGGCGGGCCGCTCGTTCAGTCCGGATAAGCGTTCCGACAAGAGATTCGGCGCCACCGTGGTGTCGACTATGCTGTCGAGCAGGTCGTCGTTCTCCATCTCGCGTTTCGCCAATTGCCACTCCATCTCGATCCTGCGTTTTTCCTCCTCCCTCTTCTCGGCCTCGCGTTTCTGCCGATGCTGATCCCGCTGCAGCATCGCACGCGTCTCTTGCTCGAATCTCCGTATCCTCTCCTGCGTGGTCGCGCTCAGGCCGGCGTACGTCCTGATCGCGATCTCGTCGTTGTCCTGCTTGGTCTGATTAGACGAGCTGGACACGGTTGAGCTCGTCTCCGCCGAGCTCAGACCGGTCTCGCTCGACAGTCTCGGCGAGTCCACGGACGACGAGTGTGTCGATTGAGCCGCGTACTTGGAGCGATTTGGCGACGCTCCGTTCGACGCACCGCCGTTAGCGGCGTCGACCGACAATGATCGATCGGGACGGTCCATAGGGTGATTCGACTGGTTCTTGCTCTCGTGCATCAGCACGATCTCGCTGACGGAGCACTGTCGTTCGTTCAGGGCCATGCTCTGCCGAATCGTCGGCGAATTCTCCGATTCCTGCTTCGCTTTCGTCTGTGTTCCACAGAAATTGTTATTACTAATACATCGACATACAGATATGATTGAATTAAAACCGATATTATTAACCTTATCGTTCTCGTGTTCGCCGTTGTCGATTTCGTCTTGTGTTTTTCGTCTTCTTTGTATCTTTTTGTTAGCTGCGGATATGATTGAAGATACAATGTCCCTAGCCGACGCCATGTCGCGCATGCCTGTTTTATCAAAATGAAAGAAGGCGGGCAAAATAAATACATTGCTGTCGAAGCGAATAATCAGCAAACCAGCAATTGAGTGAAATATACAGCGAGCTTGAACAATTCTCTCTTGAAAGCGCGCGCCGATGATATCAACATGGAAAGAAAACAAAAAGAAACAAGACTCGCGTTTGTAATAAGTGGGTAGAAAACGAGAAGCGTGTACATAAAGAGCGATCGAATAATTAATTTTAAGTACCTTCGATCTTCTGAATGTTATTTAACAAAAGATTATGGTTGGTGTTAGATGTCGGTTCGGCTTCACAGCTATAAGCTGGCAGGCTTAAGTTCACGCTCAACCTGCTCAAGTCGTCCAAGTCGTCCTCCGAGAAGAACCAATCAACCTGTTGGAGAAACACATTGACATTTTGACTAATCGATCAGACAAGAGAAAACGGAGCATACATAAATCGGTATTCAAGTTCCGATGAGTGAAGGATAAATATTTTATGAAAAGTATGTAAGATGTTTGTGTGTATAATGTTACGGAAACTATTTACTTAAAAACACGATTTAAAGAAAAGAAGTCTCGAGAGAGTCGTAAACGAGAAAAGCTACAAAATCTTAAAAGCACAATTCTTTGTTCAATAAACCAAAATTCTCCTATAATCTTCAATATAAGACCCGTCTATGAATATTATCTATGGAGTCTGTATCAAGAGAATGACTCACATTGTTTAGTAGATTCTCGACTATCTTGCACTGATGGGACATATCGTTGACCATGGTAACCATATTGTCTCTGGAGCCGCTCGCCCGCACCAGCGTCGGTCCGAAAACGATCGCCAAATTCTTAGCCTCCATCTTGTTGGTCTCGCTGTGCTCCACTATCTTCTTCAGATGCAGCATCAGGTGCTTCAGCGTCTCGAAGTGATGCTCCGGAAGGTCCCTCAGCAGTTTCCGTATCGTGGTCATCCTTCTCTGCGGATCTTCTATCTTATCGGCATCGATGAACATGGGATACAGTTCCGCGGTGAATAAGGAATCGGGCAGTTGACGGAAGAACGATTTCAGCAACGACGAGATCACGTTGACATCGCTCCATCGTGGATCCTGAAGAGGCACATAAATCGTAGACGCGCGTGTATCACGTCGTATCACGAAGACACATTTGGTCTGTTCTTTTTAGCTGAACCTGAACTGGTTACGCTGGTTCAAGAAATTTTTATGTTTTATTTATTTATATTTATTACACAGTATATGTACGAGCTTGAATGTGCATGTATTTGTTGAACTAGTGCAGCTAGTTTAGTTAAGAAAAAAAACGGATTGATATATATACATACACCTGATATAATATATAATATATTATATATATATATACCTGAAAGTTCACATTATTGAATCCGCCATTAACGCTGTCCGTAAGTTGGGAGATCGCTGCAGTGTTTCCGGGCACCCGGTAGATCCCCACAACCTCGAGACCTCTCGCCTCGACGATCCTCGTGCATATCTCGACGATCATCGGCACGTCGGAGTCTGGAGCACGTGGACAAAGCTCGAGTGGCACTTTAAAAGTGGCTCCTTCGGGTGGTAGTTGCGCCGTGGGCGAGGAAGGTGCGCCAGTCTGACCGTGCATCTTCCTGAATTGCTTCGCCATTCTTCCCTTCCAAGTCTTTGACTTGGGTGACGGTAAAGGCTCCACCGTTTGACTCGGTTTGCGCGTCTTGTTCACCGGCGACTGACCGGTCGGCGATCGATTTCTGAATGACGTTAGCTTCTTGATGCTCTTGTGGCTCGGCAGAGGGCTCAATCTTTGGTTATTGCCGGGAAGAACGGCGTTGTTAGTTGCCGGACCTGTCGGGGTCTGCGGAACGGCTTGCTGCTTCGACGTGCAGGACGCGACGTCCTGTGCAGAAACGTCGAGTCTTTTATCTCGAATAGAGGTTTTATCAACACACAAAAAAACGTCCTATAATTAGTACTCACCGATGATCTTTCCGCAGCGGCCTGAGAATGAAGTGACCTTAACCAGAGTGCCATAGACGCCGCATCCTCCGTTTGCAGAAGCACCTCCACCGTGGGATTAGCTATTCGCAGCACGTGCTTCCGCTTCGTATAATCCTCGGCGACGTCGACCACGGAACACCTGACGTCGACAGTTTGCCCCGCACTCGCTTCGTTCTCGGTGCTCAACGAAGGACTCTACATCCGGAAATTTAAAGTCGAGTCAGTTGTCGCGCTTCGCCTGGCGAACACTGGATGGACACGTAAACGATATCATTATTGGAGAGACAATTCACCTGACTGAGACGATCCTTGTAGAAATATATTATAGGACCACGTAGGACACCCCAGACCTGCTTCCAGGAACGATCGGTAGATCGCTGTAATCGTTAAATATGTTTAGTGATTAAATATATTAGTTAAAAATCGGATACATTTAATACACGACTGCAGCGCGAGACCAGAAGACTTAATATAATAAATATATAACAGATGGCTATACATAAATATATTAGATGTTTGCGATCTCACCTTGCCATCGAGCACTGTGAATTTAACATGAAGGGGTCCCTCCTGTTCCACCGGTTCAACATCCTTCGCAGTGCCATCGCAGCTGTTCGACGTATCATGCGTAACAGAGATGCTATTACTGAAAAAGAAGAAACGAATGATTCAAACCTGTCGCTTGCAGATGTACAGGAAGAACCTTTCGGAACGTGTCTACCCAGCTACGATACAGCAATGTCATTCGCAAATTCAGAGACGACGTTGGAGGAACTTTTGTCGCGACGTTGATTACGATCGCCGATTGATCGTAATCGAAACTGTTCGTAGAATAAATCTCTCGCCTTTGCCCTGAATCGGAAACGACACTGAAAATATCGACGTCACATCGATCTTCTCCAGCTTATTAGTGTCATTCAGTTAGTAACAATCAGCCAATAAATTAATATCCGAGAAGATACTAACAGATCTACGCTGCCAAGAGGTCCAGAACATGGCATGGAACACGTACGATCACAAAGTGGTTTTAATATCAGAGCCACGAATATTAGAACAGGGATGTCTCGTGTTTACGTGTCCTCGACATCACGGACACAAGTGTCCCTTATCACAGTAGGAATAATAAACCAAGAAGGATATCTTATCTAATGCCACTCATGAACAATTAACGCATACAACAGCAATTGCGGGCTCGCGGCACACTCATATATTCAGTCTCGTATCTCCATCGCGAGAATTATCGCTTCGCTGACTCGTTTCCCTGTGCGGGGAGGACGCGCGCGATCGCACACGATCGTATCTTACTTTTTCGCCCCCTTTTATACGAGGCGCTACGTCATAATGATATTATTATTACTAATAATGATACATCGAGAGGAGACGATACGCGAAATTGCGTAAAACTCTCATGCTTGTACGAGCTACACACCGCGATTATTACCCGCTTTAACATCCTACAACTGGTGGCTAAAGCTAGACAGGAAGACAGCGCAAACGTCAACACAGAGACGAAGAGTGGATCAAAAGAGAGAGAGAGAGAGAGAGAGAGAGAGAGAAAGAGAGGGGGGAGAAGGAGAGCAAGATATACATCAGCAGCTTGGGAGGAGAGAAAACGCAGATAAAAACTATAGAGTAGAGATGTAACGCGGGCATAGACAATGCAGCTTTTTTCCCGTGCTTCTCAAGAGGATTCCGCTCTCACCGATGATGAAAGTTTCGATGTAAGGACGCGGCCTGTGTCATGTCCTCGAAGATGCGTCTCAGAGGCGTTATGTCGCTTGGAAATAACGGTGGCCGCCATCGTCTATGCGCACTGGAAACATGGATATGAACCGGTGCAGCTTCTTCAACTATACTTACTCAACGCGTAGACGAGATTGCACCTTTTCGAGGCGTGGGGGGGGGGGGNGGGGGGGGGGGGGGGGGGATAAAGAAACCATACCGTCCGATACTTCGTCTGCACGAGCAACGAAACGAAGAGAGAGAGAGAGAGAGAGAGACATGGAAGAGCCGAGGCAATCTCGAAGAGAATTCTTTGAAATCGGCCGTTTCCTCGGAAGAGCTCGATAAAAGGACGATCAATCGGCAGCCCCTGCAGGCTAGTAGCTCGAGATTCTCACATACGCATGAGGTCATCGTGGCATCAGTACACTTGAGATGTTATTTACCTCCTGTGAATATGAACTGGTTCGGTGTCGCTGAGCTCGAGATCGCTGTCGACGTGCATCCGTTCGCCCCATGTCGCCTTTAGATACGAAACCCGCCTAGTAGCTCGGTCTTCGTCACCTATTCAAACAGTTATGTCAATCGTAATATCAATTGTAATAACATTTTAACGCAACATTCGTGCATAGACGAAGCGTCATTTCATTGAAAAGGTTTTAGCGCAGTGGGCGAGAGAGACGTGCTGCCTTCGCAATTTCGATAAAACACGCCTCTCCGTGCACCGCTCGACGCATGCGTCGTAATAATTACACGTACTGTTAAAAATATCATCTCCTCATCGTTTACTCACTGATCTGTGCATTCTTCTGTCGCCTGAGCACGACGCCGTTCTTGGTCGAGCCGTTGGGCGAGGAACCATTAACCGGTGCTGAAAGAGAAATCAATGGGACAATTATTAACGCTTCATGCTCGACCTTTATGTAACATAGATACGTGTGAGTGACGTGCGCCGGTGGTAGGCTGTATCTGCGAAGCGTAATAACATCGGGGGAGGAGGAAGCAGCGTGGTAGCGTAGTAGTAGAGAAAAAACGAGAGGGAGAAAGAACTAACCGACTTGCATCTTCGCCGACGGTCCCGTCAGGTAATTATCCTGCTTTCGCGGCTTGCTGTTGTCCTCGGCGCTGCTTCGTCTCTCAGCAAAGTCCTCCTCGGCGGTCTGCCACGTGTGCCTGGCGCTTGCCCGTGCTGAACCGTTCGTCGCTTCCCAGGATTCCACGCTGTTGCTCCGCGTCCTCAAACGCACCGACTCCGTCTCCATGATGGGCACCTCTGCTGGGAATTACGGCGTTGTTATTCTCACTCGGTGTTACACGACCTTAGTCGTATTACTTTGCTCAGCGGACTAAATACCGACATTCATGGCTTTGTTAATAATCAATGGATGTGAAACGATACACAGCGTGCCTGCCGTGGTTGTCGTCGCCTATACAGAGGAGTGCACCAGAGATGTAATTGCCATTGTGGGGATTACCGGCGTGTAGCAAAAAAAAAGCTCATCGACAAAAAAGCACCGTGAGAGAGGGTGGTGTAAGGGGGCAGTTAATATCCCCTTTGTACATAATGCAATCGGTGCAAATTCCGATTCCGCAGCTTCATCCGGTTACTCTCGCTCGACAGCAGGCTCGAGGGCGAAATCGCGTATCTCTTCTGGGTGGTTTGCGATGAATTGTTGCGACCAATCTTTCGCGATTTGTCTCTCGCGTAGTTACGAACTCAGAGAAGCTGACAACGAATGAGAAGCGTGGAAATGATAAGTGTGCGTTAACCGTCATTATTATGTCATCTTCTCGAAAAACGAAGCATCTTCGACGGGATGCTTGTTGCACTGTTAACGATGTGACGTGCGCGCATACATTCACACAGAAACGCAAATGAATCACCGACACAAAACGTAGCTGCACAAGACGACGATGCACAGACAATTCGACACAGTGCCTTAATTTTATCTACCTTTACTCTCTTTATAGTCGGCCGGCGGCTCGCAATGGATATGCTTGCTGCCTATAGGAATTATTCTGTTGCCTTTCGATACTGCACCTAAACGATGACACTTGTTTATTGAGCATTACGATACTCGTGTGTTAGACATCCGATTCGTGAAATTCGCAAGGACTTTATTCGCGTAGTATGCATACAGAACAAAAAAAGATGTACCGTTTTTACTTGCCATCCTGGGAGTCAAAATCGGTCCATTTTATTTATCGTCCTCTACTTGAATTGAGTAAATCTTTTATTTGGATATCTTCATTTACTTGGAAAATATCTAATTTTTTTTTTCAAGTAAATATTGCTGATCCAAGTAAAAATATTTGTTAAGGAGTATCGGTGTAATTATTTACTTGAATCTAGCATTTCTTTTCTGTGCGGTAATGATTAGTTGGACGCGACGAGGGGTGACTAAGAAACACATTCACAACCCGCTCGAACTTACCGGTGTCGAGGGACTTGGTTTCCCTCGTTGGCAGTCTTCTGGGTTCCTGACTCTCAGCCTTCGACTCGAACTCCCTCTTCCGCACGGCCACGTTCGGCACGTTCCTCGTGTTCGACAGTCTGGACAGCTCGCTCTTGTAAAGGCTCGTCCGATCGTTAGCAGGCTCGTCCTCGTCGCTTAGCAGACGGCCGGACTCGAACTGTTTGGCTCGTCTCGAGACGATCTGCAGGCCCTGCGGCGGTACTGGAAACTTGGTGTCTCCGGGCTTCTTGTCCGGCCCCGGCGAAGACGGCAACGACGCGGTGCCGTTCCTCGCATCTTGCAACTGATTCGTGACGTTCTCGTGTATCCTCGTTAGGGTGTTGATGAAATTAGCTTTGCTCGTCGCGCGATACTGCTGCTCCGCTGCTTTCCCGGAGCCACCGTGAGCGAGGTAAGCCTCCTTCGCGAGTTCGTCGTCGTAGAGGAGCGAATAACAGTGATCCCCGGGCTGATTGTCGTCGACGAATTGCTGCTGATCACTTCGCGACTTGGCGTACTCGGAGTCCGAATCCACGTCCTTTATCCTCTGCACGCTCTGATTCGACGGCTTGCTCCTCCCGTCCAGGGACGGCTGTCTTCTCGTGGGAGACTGTTGCCGCTGCTGCTGCTCATTGCCGGGCGGCCAGACCGGTCTCTGCAGCTTCTGCGGTCTCGCGTAGAACTCCCTCTGGATCACAGCTTGGTTGAGGCCGACGCTCGCTTGAGGGCGCGGCAGCGACGTCGGCTCGGGCATCGCGTCGCTTTCCGACACGAACCAACCGATAGGGTGACTTGGCCGTCGCAGGAACTCCGCTTTCTGCTCGAAACTCTTGCGGAGACGGCTCATGATGACCGAGTCGTCGGAGCACTCGTTGCCGGTGAGGGTCGAGTTCGAGTCGTACGGCGACACGCTGTCCTTGCTGACGGGCGACGAGTCCCGTCTCGACTCCATGCTCAACCTGCTCGAGTCAGGCTCGCTCGATCTCAACGCGTCGAAGCTGCCGTAGCTGGCAGTCTCGGAATCGGGCTTCACCCCGCTGACGCTGCTACAGCTGCCGCTGCCTTCGCTGGCGCGACGCGCCACCATCCTCTTCACCGGCCGGTAGATCGGCACCTGCGGCTCCGCGTGCGACACTGGGTAACGCAGCAAAGACGAGGGCTGGTAGTGATGGAGCTGCTGCAATGGGTGGTGGTGGTGGTGGTGCTGGTCGTTGGCGACGCGCACGCGCTCGTAGATCGGGTCGTTGATCCGGTCGTAGATCTGTTCGTTGCTCGGCCGCGAGTACACCGATTCGGGACGTGTTCTGTCGTACAGATCGTATCTCGAGTCCTGGCTGGAGCGACCGTAAATCTGCGAGCTCGACGTCACGTCGGCCGTGTCGTGCGGATTCCTGCCTCCCGGCGGAACCATGTCCTCCGACGGATCGTAAAGCGCGCTCGCGATCTGTTGCTGCTGCTCCGCGAGAGGCTGAGCGCGACGGTACGGCGAGTCCGTCGACAACGATGGCGCCATTCGGCTGTTGCTGTCGGCGTACGCTTGCTGCTGCTGGCCCCTGCGGCTCGCCTCCTCGTGGTGATTCGGCTGGTGCGACGACGAAGACGACGACGATGACGGATCGGACGCCGGACTGTCGGACGACGGCAGAGAACAGACCCAGGACTGCCGTGTTCTCTGTGACGGGCCTGGGATCATGCTGATCGATCTGCGTTGCTTCTGTGACAATCTTTCCGGGGAGCGCAGCCGCGGCCGTTGGTTCGTTTCCGGATTGTGCGCCGTTTCGCCAAAGTACTGAAAGTTCACGAATACATTGCTTTGTGTCATCAACCGCGTTGACGATTTCACAGCCTACAGACTAAATTTCTGCCAACCCTTCCAATGTGCGGCACTGAGGCGGAATAATATAACAAAGCAAGTTCTAATCGGGAGACTCGAACGAAATATCCAGAGAAGGTTGCCAGAGAAGATGAATTTTGAAATTCCATGCTTCCCTGACGATAGTAGAGAATTTTCCAATGTGTAATCTTAAATTTTAACGTTAGAAGCAACAGGGACTGCGGGAAAGGTAGCTTATATTATTAGAAGCGATAAAAACTTAGAAGTTTGGTAACATATTATAATCTTGAATATAAATTCAGGCCTACAAAAAATGAGCATTTAAAAAAATGCAATTATATAATTAGAGCCATCATAACCGCACACACACACACACACACACACACACACACACACACATATACACACACACACACACACACGTCGTGTGCAGCGAAAGAATTAATGAAAACAATTGCACCGCGATAAATGAGAGCACAAATTCAAGTGTGTGATCCCGTACCCTTTGTAAGATATCGTCCTCCTTGGAGACTACGAGAAGTCGCAGCCACGGTCCCGCTTGCTGAATGCGTTGCACCACGCTGGCGTACTGCTCCCCACGGGTGGGCGTTCCGTCGACGGAAACGACGCGATCGCCGGTGCGCAATCCCGCCTCGGCCGCCGGTGAATTCGCCCGCACCTGCTTCACGAAGATCGTGTCCATAGGCTCGTCGATCTTCGTCCGCTCGTGCCCTGGCAGCATCTGTAACGATCACGACGAACGTTGTTCTTTCCCGATCGAGATCTTCCTCGGAAGGTCACTTCCAGCGTACGTACGTCCGTCCGTCCGTCCGTGATACTCACGCAGCAGGACTCGGGCGGATAGACGATGAAATGTCGCAGCGTGAATCCGTAACCATTCTCACCGCGCCTTAGCAAGAGAGTTCGGGGGCCGCGGGGCGGAGTGTTCTCCTTCTGAACGTATCTGGAGGACGACGTCTGGCCGGAGACACTACTAGGACCAGTAGCCGGCGGCCCAGGTGCCGGCGGCGGGGGAGACAAATGTCCTACCTGTAATGTGCGCGCAATTAATTGATTGACGACTCAGGGAAAAACTTGCCGATCAGTTCGCTACTTCGTCCGCCGCTTATTTACGCTTTCTCCCCGGTAACACGCAAATTACTCTCAGATTCTGATTTCGTTATCTAGCCACAAAGCCGATGCCAGCGATAAGCACGCTCGAGCAACAAGCGAAGAAACCGTGAAGATACGCATATACACACACGCGTGATCAGTAGGAATCTTCCTCCAAGTTCGCAAACATCGCTGAACATCTCGTATACCCGCGTCCGTCGAGACTATATATACATATGTTTTTGTTACCGCTTCTAATTACCGAAATAGAATTCCATATTTTCGCGAAACGAGCTCATTTGTGGAGGTCGATTAAGGTCCTTCCTCTTCCTCTCCCTCTCTCTCTCTCTCTCTCTCTCGATTTGTACCGTCTGGGCGGACCGGCGGCTAGAAAACGCGGTGCAAAAGCGGCAGACGGACTCGTGGACGTCTGCCAAGAATTATTCCAAGCCGGCCCCGAAGTGAAGGCGGAGCTGGAGAGGAGCGTTCTCTCGCTCTCTCGCGGTGGTTGAGGTAAAGTTTGGCGAGCCGCCAGAGAATACGTGCTCGAGTTCGCGGTAATGCGCACCTAAGATCGAGACGAGCGGAATTCCGCCCGCCCGAGGCATTTCGCCTTAGCTTCGGGCTACAGGGCGGGAAAAAAGGAGCAAGAGGAGCCTCGGGCATCGCGGAAGCGAGAAGGGAGACACTGCTCCGGTATCGTGAAATCGAGACGAATATTCTCGTGTAGTGCGATACCCATTTGAAATGCACCGGTGGGAGAAAAGGAGTAAAGTGAAACTAACGGCTGGACCACAGAGTCAGCGGCGATAAGACAACCGTCGCTGAGCGACCGGTCGCCGTATTTCGCGGTTTTCCGCGTTATCTAATCCGTCCCGACACGTTTCGCGCGCGTGTACCGCCGGCTATCGCGCGCCCCGGAGATTGCTTCTCCCGCCCGTGCGATTAAACGAGTCACGGCTAACAAATGATCAATTAGGCCCCGAGTCGAGCCGTTAAGCGGGAAGAAAGAAGCGAAATTTAACACGGTTAAACGTCCGATGAACGCGGTGACGATGAGTCCGGATTCATAACAGGTGTAGTATGCCTTTTGTCTTCTAAGCGATAAAATGTAACGTAATTTTTGACAAAAGCTTCCGTTTCCCGCACCGCCGAAGGCCGCAATAAAGATTAAATCTTGGGAATTGCGACGTTTGGTACTGCCGTCTTTTTGCTAGAAATTACGTTATAAGTTGCTGCATAGAGCAGAAGGTTAAAGGTTTTACTACACAATTTCCAAATTTTGGAAAAAACCTGTTTTTTCCCGATTTTTTATGGATTTTAATTTCTTCTTTATGAAAAAAAAAAAAAAAATAATGCTGCAGATTTTAATCGAACACACGTGAATTTTTCTAAACGAATTTTTGTACTCTTGAGACAGAAGCTGAAAAATCCGCGGAAAAGTTGGGAACAAATGTCTTTCTTTTCCAAAACTTAAAAATTATAACGTATTACACCTATTCTAGATCTGGACTGACATTGTATTTCGTCTGTGTGTTCTCGATCATGCGTGTCGTCCTCGAATAAACTAGAGAAGAGAGCGACTTCATAATAAAGGTAGTCAATGATATCGATACTCGTCGTACGCGAGACACGTTCCGGTCCCGCGATTTTCCGGCGTTTCGCGAGCAAAGTCGGCCGCTCGGATGTTCCTGAATGGAAAACAGATTGTACGCGGATGACCGCAACGACGACGGCGGCGATGACGACGACGACGATGATGTAGGTCAGAGGAGAATAGGCGTTGTCAACGGTAAGTGGGTCACCGAACCACCGGTGCGGAGCTCTCGGTCAATAATTACACGGACACGCGCTGCCGCGTGTCGTTTGCCGTGTTGTCGCGCATCATGAATCGACATTCGATATCGCGTACGTGAAATGCGTCCTATTCCCCGACGGACAAGGAGCGAGGGCAAGGCCGGAGGATGAGAGCGGTAGCGCGGAGCGTGATCGAAAAGGAGGTATGGTCTCCATGTTTGTTTAATCAACGCGTACTAATTGAACGGGTACATCATTTTCTCCGCCGTTTGAGTTCTGTCACAGAACGTCTCACGTCATCTTCTTCTCACGGCTATCAACCAATTTAATGTGAGATGTGTATTTTATCTTTAGATCATATCACGAATTATTACCGATCTATCATTTTTATGTAATGTAATTAATGGCAACATTAATTATATTCTAGCTCTATACTTTTAACGTCCTTGATAGATGTCTGAAAAAGTACCTGCTTTTTTCCATTTCATTTTACAAAACGCTTTATGGAGCATTTAAACCTGTTAATTGATTGTACATATTAGTGAATAGTGAGTGAGCTTTCTAATGATATTGATTTCTTTAACATATTACAAAGAACATGCTAATAGCAGAGAAAAAGATTGGATTTAGTGTACATGTTTGTTTGACTTGGGTTTGTTTAATATAAACAATATAATTTAACACATTGACAGCCGGCCCCGCGAAAACGCGGGTTTCTGAGTCTGTCGCTTGAGCGCCGGCCCCGCGAAAACGCGGGTTTCTGAGTCTGTCGCTTGAGCGCCAGCCCCGCGAAAGCGCGGATTTCTGAGTCTGTCGCTTAAGTAGCTGCGATAGTAAAAAGAAGCGAGAGTAACTTTATGTGTGCTGAATGCTGAAGTACCTTTATATCTTGGACAATGTTTCGAGAAATACCACACTTGCCTTAAATGTTAAAACTTTTGTTTTCTGTTTACATTATATATATGTAATAATCCACCATGAAATGAGAAACTGTATTTTTTTTATAATTATAAATTAAAAATTTCAATTTTGTTTATATTTTTAATTACCGTTAAATTGTATGTGACGAATATGCAAATAAAATGTACTATTTTACGAAAATATATAATGTTTTAAATATTTTTTTTGGCTATTCAGTGATCAGAAACAAGCGAATAAGGCCGGCGTTCAGGCTTTAAATGTCTCTTAGGTCGCCGGCGGTCAATGTGTTAATATCAAATGTCATTTTGTTTGAATGAAAATAACAATAATAATGTCCTCGCGGTCGGTCGAAACGAGGGAGCGCAAGGTCGCCGCTCAACCGACTCGTTTCCTCACCCTCTCCGAATCACGAGAGTCCTTCGTTACGTCCGCATGCGTGCCCGGCACGGATGATAATTCGGCGGTCGCGACTTATTGACACATCCGCGAGCAGAAAGTCCGCCGTAAGCGGACGTAAACGCGCGTAAAGAGACCCCTCTTCGTGAATCCCTTCCAGATACGCTTACGCGCCGACCTCGCCTAAAGTGTAATCAGCCGTTAGCCGATCGCAAACCGGTTCACGCCGCCAACGCGCGCGCGCGCGCAGTTCTCATCTTTGATTCGCAGTCTGTTATCCTGCTCGGGTTGACCGCGTTTCCGCCTTCACCACGGCGGCCACTGCGCGGTGAAGGCGCAGTTCCGACGCCGATAGCGCCGAGAGTTCCGGCGCCGAGTGGCGTGCTCTCGTGCAGCTTTCGCAATTTAACCTCGTGTTCTGCCAATCAAACATGAAGGGAATGCACCTTCGACAATGCTTCTGCATCGCGTTCTTCGGATTTTGATACACACGCATGCTTGTGTCTCGAGGTTGGAACTCGGCGCGTTTCTCCTTTCTTCAAAACGTCTCCCTTTCCCAGAGATAGTCGTAAATCAGTTTTGCGAAGTGCATCAATTCGCCGTATATATATATGCTAGCTCAGTTTGTAACGAGAGAATTAGTGAAACATAAAAACTGCCTGTAATTCGGAAACAAGATAAATGTTTATATAAACTTCTTGTATTATTTTTGTGAATTATTTTCTGAAATCATGCCCACATGTTACGAAACACCTTGTATATACTCCCAATAAATTTGGCCTAATAATAATACATTAATTTTCTTACCGAACGGATGTTTTTACGAACATGTCACGCATTGGCTGCTTCGCGATAGAAACGAATTAATATCTCGTCGTACACCGGACACGTAGACTACATGTTCAACACTGATTTTCGTGACGCACCGTGCAGCTTGCGACTTGCAGCGGACGCTTGTCATTTGAAGTGCGCCGTAGTTAAAAGGTTAAAACCCGGCCGAGAGAACAATCTCGACCGAGTAGAAACCTCCTATAGAAATCTCTCCGTTCTACAAGCGAGTTTTCGCTTGGCCTCCGGGCAACGGAAAATTCAGTTACACCAACGTAATTGTTTTTTCCGTGCAGAGCGTACAGCGATAAGACGTAATAAGCACCGTTCGAGGGCTTCCTGGAGAGTGAAAGTCGCTGATAATGTTCTCTCTCCTATGGACGGCAGCCGGTCGATTCGCAACGAAGACGTTGAGCTTCACCCACGTGTCGTCGAGAGTCAACGGTGACGGTGCGGAAGCTCTCTACCCGTCCGCGAATTTCAATGACACGATGAACACCCAGCAGATAAGCCGGTAGCTTTATTCTCGCACGGCCCCTGGGCCCTATTTATGGAATTCTATTTGCGTCGAGATAGACCAGGTTCATTCGCGATGGCCTCGAAGAGGAGAAGAGGCGGATCGAACTACGCGACTTCAAGACTGTTCCGCGCGAGGAACTGACCAACGTCGCGTAATTGTCCGGGAAGAGACGCGGAGAGAGGAGGTGGAACACCGGATCGTGTTCGCAGTCTTCCTGGTTTGGGCAAATTTCGCGCACTGCGCACGACGCATTCGCGGAAGAATACGAGAAGGACAGCATTCCCCTTCCGCGTCGAACAAAACTGTTCTCGCTTTGCGCCAATCGTCGTTCACCACTTGACCATTTTCCTCGTATCTCGTGGCAGCGCTAATACCATTCAATACGATCCCGCGTCGTACGACGGGCTTATATAATTTCGCAGGGATCTTACGTAAGAAACGCGATCGACGACCGATAGCGTTCAGTCTCCAACTTTTCCGGCGGCATTGAAAACGGCGTCGACACTCCTTTCGATATTCTCGTGATTTTTTCTCTCCCAATGAGAGAAGCTCGCGAACAATAAGCCTCGTAGCTTCTGCATTCCTCGCGCGCGAATTCGGCGTGTGAAAATAACGGGAAAAGTTGACGCGAATCTGACCTCGCTCTTCGCTTGCTACATCCACTTCTGTCTCGTATTACTTGTTTGTTGATCATGTTATCATTAACCTTCCTCGGGAGATCACGATCCCAGCGAGAGTTATCGAGGCGCCGCGAGGACGCTCTTGCGACAATCGCCGGACAAGAAAAAAGGGAGAAAAACACGGCTTATTACGACGCGTTTTTCATCATTATCTTCGCACGTCTCGATTCGTATTTGCCGAGATATTCTCACACGTTGAGAGAGACACACACACGCACGTACCGCGCACAGCCACGTAGTCTTGAAATAAAAAAAAGAGGAACACGTCCTCTCATGGAGCGCACTGCCGATCGTCGACGGGACGTGCCTCGAATCGAGGCGAGCCGCGGGCCGCCTTAATGAACGCGTCGCGTTTAAGAAGCAGAACGCTTCTCCGTGACGATGACGCGACCTCGTCGTCGCGTGTCGCCAAAGGAGAAAATGAGAAAAAGGTCCGGCCAAGGCTTCCTCGCGAAGCAAAGTCCCGGCGAGACATCGAGCGCGTCGACGACGAATGAAAAGAAGGGCGGGAAACGCCTTCTCTCGCGTCGGGATATTCGCGGCAGCTGGTGATCTCTATTCGCTCGGGATCGATTGTGTATCTCAGACGATACTTCTCATCTCTCGTATTTTCATCTTATGTGGACAAATACTCGCGACTGGCAAGTGAAAAGCGCGCGCTCATACTTCCTGTAAATCTTTTCGCGTAGATGTGTTAAAGTGATTATTATACGTTTATCGTTTACCGGTGAAGTAGTCAGTTAACATGAGTAATTTGAAAAATGCATTAGGAAGAAGACATAAAGACGCTGTGTGGACTTGCTTTGTATCCCGTTCTATTGATAACGTCAATAAGCAGTAAGTATATTGTTTGTGAAAGATTAATAAGTATGACAATAAGCTATGACACCGTTTGATGCAATTCGACGCTAAATTACTTGTCGAGCAACCTCACGTGAGATACATCGCATTTTCATCATAGTGAAAATTATCTAATCAAATGCGAGTTGATTTTTGTAATTCTCACTGTATTTTGAGATACATACCCCTCGTTTCGTCGCGAGAAATCAATCAGCAAGATTGTCGTTCGCCCTTTAAAGCGGAACACGTCTTCCCGCCCGCGGCGCTTCCCTCATTCGATAAGACCACGCACTGGCGACGCACTCTACCGCTCACTCCGGCCGACACGTCCGTGTGCCGGCCGGATTTGCGTCATCGTAGACGGATTCAGGCGTACACACGGTGGGTGGACTAATCGGAGAAGCAATCGATGTGCGATTATTGTGGCGAGAGAGCTGCTGTGCGTGATTATGCCATGGGTCAACGCGGGAAACCGCACTCTCGTGGATGCGCTTGAAAAATTAGCTGCGCATGGTGTCGATTGTACACTTTAAAACGCAATGAGAATGAAAAAAGTGAACAATTTCACTACACAGAAGAAAGGATTTATATTAAACAAACCCAAGTCAAACAAACACGTATACTAAATCCGAAGAAACGTTTTTCTCTGTGTAGGTGCTGACCAATGAAATTCTAAACATTCTAATAAATTCGCTCACTTTTGTAACTCTCACTACACAATCGACCGCCGGATCCGAGCGGAACAAAGCGTTGAACGCGCGAGTGGCCGCTCGAAAGAACGATAATGGTAATCATCGCAGCGGCGCGCGCGGGACAGGTGTACGCGCGACTCATTGTCAGACGCGGCTGCCTGCGCGACTTGTTTATTGTTTTTACCTTACGACTCGCGCGGCAAACTGAAGGAGAAACGTCCGAAATTTACTTGACGAAATTCACCTCGCAGGCGTGTCGACATGCCGCTTCGGCGGAGCTTCACGCTTCGAGTATCCGGCCGATGCGACCGAGTGCTTTCGTTAGGTTTGTTCGCCCGTTTGCTCGTTCCGGTGCGTCGCTGAGACGCAGATGGTAAAGTCGGGATTTTGGAAAGTTCGAATTTTAAGAGACAATCTCTACGATCTACGAGTGATATCTCCGCTATTAACGAGAAATCCCCCTTTCAGGAGCGCAGCTCTTTGAGCAGAGGGCGCATTGAAAAATGCTTTATTTGCTTTGCGGCACAACACTCTCGGTGGACTATTTTTAAACTGCTTATTTATGCAAACTGTTACCGCGCGTTTGCTACCACACCCGAAGTGGTTTACCGCACTCACTCGGGATGGTTTATACCGAAAATCATCGAGAAGGATTCTCGGTCGCTCCAGCCGATGTGATTTACTTCACTCGAACGACGGGCGCGGACGCGGAATGCGACTGGCCGATTTTCGGCGGCCGTCCGCGCACGAGAGCCCGTCCCCCGACTGGCCGCGCGTCAACGATCGTCGAATAAATCAGCGGCTGATTTCTCAAGCGCGTCGTCGCCTGGGCAAGGGAATCCCAATGAGCAGCTCTCGACGTCTCATTTCGCGGAAATGCAAGCGGAGCGTGCCGATTCGGAAGTTCCACTGCCGCGATCGGCAAGTTGAGAACCGCTGCTCGAGACGCGGCAACGCCAAGTATCGGAGCGCATTCCGACAGCAATCTAAAAATTCGCGCTCGTCGAGAAGAGATAGCGCGCGAGAGAAAGAGAGGATTGAACCACGTGCTCTCGTATTCGCGAGCGGAATGTATTTCGGCCGGGTTCCCTCTCTTCGCGCGTCTCTCCAGCTTTTCTAAAATTATCGCAAATTCTATGCTGCCGCGGAATATGGCGCGGTTGATCGTATCCATCCGCGAGAACGCGAAAACGCTCGCCGTTAATCGTCCGCATTGCCCGCCTCTGTCTATCGGCGATTAGCGCGAGCGGCGTAACTCACCACGTGCGACTGCCTGACGAAGCTCCGGTGGTTATTTCGGTCGTCAGCCATTGCGCCTTTTCCTGAAACCAAGCAGACGATACAAATTACAGCGATTGAACAAATTCGTGATGAGGAGGATCGAGTGAACTCTCTTGTTCAATCTTGAGTGATTGTGTGCAGCTTGACCCGACGTCTTCGACGTTAGGGTACCGTCCCATGGTCAATGAAAAAGCGGAACGGAAAAGGTGGGGAATGACCAATCAGAACGATCGTCAGAATTTCGTACATATGTATCTATAACGATTGAGATTTACTACAGGAGAAGTATCTGTATTCTGGCAAAAACTAAATAAAATAACATCATTGGTAAGCTATATTATTGCAATATTATCACGCGTTCATATGTATATTTGTACATGATCACGTATATACCAATCTATTTCAAACGGTCGTGTTCCCCGTAAATATCAAAAAGAGAAATTCATAAAAATGAAAATTCCAATTTTATTGGTTACGATCGATAATCAATACCATAAGAGATATATTACTACAATAAATTCTAAAAGATTTATACAATTTGAGTGCAGTTATAAAGAATTTATAAAATTTACTATAAGTTTGAAGTTAGAATTTTCCCTATTTTTATCTTATTTTAATTTTTATCAAAATGGAAAAATACTTTGAATAGTAAATCTCAATCGTTTTAGACAGAGAGTAAAAAATTTTGTGTTAAATTTAACACATTTCACATGTCCCAAACGGTCCACTCAAATTTTTGTATTAATTTAATACAAGGTGAATATATCGAAATGTAACACAAATATTAACAAATATTAAAATTAATACGTTAATCGACATTGAAGGGAATGTTATTTTACACTTACACATGTTGAATATCGATACATCAAATGTTGAGATAACATAAACACAATATGTTAAATTAATTAGCACGGGTATGTTAAAAATTCGAGACAAATATTTGAACACAAGAACAAAATGTTTTTTTTTACCGTGTAGGTATGCGAATTCCTGACAATCTTTCCGATTGGTCTCATTCCCCACTACACATCTTACCCACTTCGCTTTTTCGTTGTCCGCAGGTCTGTTTTCTATCGCTACACTGACTGCATCAGCTTACACTAGTTCTCTTTTCCTCTCTTTCCCACTAAATCTGAAGAAAGAGAGCGTCTCATAGGACGCTTAGCTCAACGGAGTCCGTTACGTCAACGTGAGATGAAGAAAAAAAAAAAGGAGTTCTGGGCGACAGCATCGCGTGCAGACGCGCGTATCGAAATACGAAGCCGTTCGGTGCAACGACTAGCTGCAATCGGAGGTGATGGCGAGACTCGCTCGATTCGTCACGGAAAATGTTCTCTCCTGGCGACTCCCGTGTCGTCAGAGCGGTTCTCGCATTTTTCTCCGCCGCGGCGATCGGCGACTTCGACTTCAACGAACGACGTCGGCCGCTTGATCGAAGACGGAGAACGACGCATCGCACGACAGCTTTGCTTAATAATCAGTCCGTATCTGCCGCGTGTTAGTATCGGCTGTTGTTGGCGCGTCGCGAAACTTATCTCGAATTTCCAAGCAAAAAGCACACACCAGCCACACCCGTCGAGCGATAAGTTCGATCGATGTGAGCTCTCGACGATCCGATTCCGCCGGGAAATAGCCGTGAAACGAGGCGCGCGCGAGGTGAGCTCGAAAGTAAAAACCGCGCGCGTTCCCCGAACGTCTCCTGCGAGACCCGAAGTTTGCGCTAATTTCGCACAGTGACATTGTCAATCGCAATTATTATTAATTCAACGATATCGATTAACCGCGTACATATACAATAGACTAAATTAATGCTGTCCCATTCCCTAATGGAATAGTGACATCAAAATTAGATTAGATTTCTAACTAGAGGTATTTTTGAATATTTCTGCATAATGACTGCTACTTTGGAACATTGTTGCCAACTCATCAAATTATCAACAGTCATGATGTTTATGCGAATATTCACACATAATGTCCCTGATTGGAAATTTTCGGTGGAATTATGCTCAGACAATGAGATTAATCCTGCTGTTCTGTTCGAGTCTACTCGAACCTAGTAGACCTTCCACGCTAGAGAAGATTTATGACTCCTTAGAGGTTAGTCATGAATCTTCTCCTCTAACGTAAATTTGTGAAAGGTGTAAATTTTCTAATTTGAAAACATCTGGAATTTTTGCTTCTCACATTTCCACCCTAAAAAAAAATTACACGACGTAACACTTCCCCTGGGAAACGTGAAATGTTTCCGAATTAAAAAAAATCTATTCTTTCCACGAACCCACACTAAAGGAGGAGATTTATGAGCCTCCGGGGTTGATCACGTGAATTTCTCCTCTAGCGTGAATTCATGAAGAGTGTGTCTCCTAATTTTTAAAACATTTCACGTTTCCGCTCTCCATGAGAAAAATTACGTGATCGATACCATCCATGTACAGCGGCGTTACGCGCGCGAGTCGGTGTTCCTAACTCGCGCGCGGGCGATCGCATCGCGGAATGCAGCTCGTGATATCGCGCGGTAATAACCGTACCACACACGTGCCTCTGATGCTGATTCTACGTATGTACTACGTACCATGTATCGTGTATATAGCGCAGCACACACGTGTACGACGCGAGCTCTCACGCACAGTTTATTATTGCGACAAACATATCCGACGATGAGCGATCGCGGGACTACGTACGACACGATCGTCCACGGAAACCGACGCGCCTGGAGGATTCGAGTGTCTCGCGATCTCGAACGGTGAATGAAAACCACTGTTTACGATCTGACAATGCGATACACATACATTCTCACAAACACTCGCGTGTTCCCCCCGTATTTTTCTCATCGGCGCGAACTTCTCTGATTTATCGTTCGCAAAAATGGAGGAAAAAGATAAACGTCCGAGATAAACCGTTCGCGAGAGAGAACAACCGGGCGAAGTATGCTCGCGTGACGCGCTCGCGAGCCTGCATGAAGTCCGCGGAAGATCGGCCGCATTTGCGTGCATTCCCCGGGTAAACGGTGACGGAGGGCTGCGAGAACGCGCACCGTATGTCCGATTGCGGCGATTCGCGCAGCGTGCGTTCATGCAGCAATGGCAGTGTAACCCGTTCGGGAACTTACTTCAAGGTGGTGCGAGAGAGAAACGCTCGAGCGGCCGCGCGGGGCCGAAGGGGCGGCCGACGAATCGCAACGAGCTGTGCGCGACGGCGATGGGAAACGCCGTCGTCGCGGGCGATACGTACCTAGCGTGTACAGGCGATATCAGCAAACTGCGAACGAGAGAGAGAAAGAGAGAGCGATGCTCGCAGCGCCTCCGCTGGCGCACGAAGACGCCTCTTCTCATTCACGTATGCCGACGTCGCGTCGGTTTATCGTCGCGGCAGCGGCGTGGTTTGTTCCGCGCTCCGCCTCGGCGCTTTCACCCTCTCGACGTTCGCGGCAACGGCGACGCGCGGCCGCCGTTCCGAGACGCATTATAGCGGGCACGATTCCGTTGGTCGCTCGCCTTCCGGGTCACTCTCTTCCGTTCGGGTCGCACGGGGCATCAGCGGCACTAAACCGGGGACGCGCACACCGCAGCCAGGTCTCGAATGCACCGACTCTCGTCGCGGGGGATACACGGGAGCACTGCGAATACCGATGAATGAACGCGCGCGTCAGGAACGCGTACGGAACTGCGAAAAGCGCACTATCTGGCGCCGTTGCCTCGATGGGGGTACGCGAGACACCAGCAACATGGCGGTCTTCCTCCCGCTTTCCATGGAGAAAATCCGACTGTCGGTTGGCCGTTTTCGAATGGGACTCGCCGCGCTATCTGTTATCGTTCGACGGAATCAGCGCGAAAAAGCGCAAATTCATGGGACGCTGAGACCAACATAATAACGTGACGCTCGCGTCGAGGAAGTTAGGTCACATTTAATTTCACGCACCAATCAGGTAGTACTGAAGACCATTGGCCTAACGGATTTGGCGTATAAGAAAATTTTGCCGTTTAATAACTTCAAGTCGATAAATTTTGTTGCTAAATTTGTGTTAAGTCAGCGTAAATGATAACTGCAGAAATGCAGTTTCACAAAAATATTTAATATATCGCATTGTAAATCTGACGTATATATCGGTAAAAACATCGAGGGAGAGAGAGATAACGTAAATAATAAAATTAGTATTCTTATACCTTGGTTCCTCCAGATATTTATATCTGATAACTAAAAATCGCTTTCTCTCACTACCCAATGGCAACGCGTCGATCACGTGACCCGTTTTGACGCTAAAAAACGAGCGTCAGAATGAAAAGGCATCTTAATGTTCACCGGTCTCATTATCGACAAATTGCGAGAACACGATTCCACATTGAACCGCACGTCTCGAGGGCGCCGCGAGCGTCACGCACATTGACCGAACTCATGACTCGGCTCGATCTCGAAGCAGCTAACGCGTCATAGAACGGTCCACGGATAACTGAACGACGACGAGCCAATCGCGAGGCCGCGGGCTCGCCATGGCGAGCCAATCGTCGCCGCTTCGTTGAGCCAATCGCAGCCGCCTCGGTGAGCCAATCACGGCCATCGCCGCAGGCCTTGTACCCCGTTCGAAACGCACGTGCTGACCGCGAGACCGACCGCGCGCGCCGAACAGTGCAGCATATCGCCCTGTGAAAAAGTGAGTTGAACGTCGGCGCTCTCCTCCGATCGACACAGGAACAGACTATTCGAAAAAGTGTTGCGTGTCCGTTGAATCGGAGTGAAAGAATCGGGATAAGAAACAGAGACGAGTTTCGACGTGTGAAAAGCCGAGGACAGTCGAGGAGAAGAGAGAGAAAATCGAACATATATATATATATATATATATATATATATAGTCCGCACTTGTCCGTCTCCTGCGTCTTCTTCTTTCTCATCGTCATCGTCTACCTGGAAATGGCACTAGGTGCACAAATCGAGACGTCGGAGACCGGCGGAGACAACGCGAAGATTCCTCTGCTGAGCAGCGATCAGGAACACGAAACTACCAAGGAGACGATCGGTGAGTATCGAGAGTGCGTGCACACTCCTTACACTCGCGATACTTGTATCTCTTTTAAGGTTAATGGAAGAGAGCGTCGCGCTCTAACGTGCCTGCGTTATGTAATCCCGCGATGACGACGACCAACGACGTCGTCGTGGCCGTCGGCTCGCTGCGGCTCTCCCAAGTCGCCGAGGCAGTTTCGTTCGTTCATTCAATTTGTCGTGTGGTCGAACGCGGAACCGGCCTCGAGTGAGCGAGCGAACGAGCGAAAGCGCGAGTGGGAGAGAGAGACGGTGAGCGCGGCGAAGCGCGTTATGTAACCCCGCGAATTGCGCGAATCTCGACGCACACGGGGTCATGTGAGCCGCCATATCGCCAGGAGAGGCGGTGGCGGGAGGGCCAGCAGAAGACACGTTAGGGGAGCAGAAGTCGCCTTAGCAGACGAATTTCTTTCATAGCTGCACGTGCGGAAGTGCGCCCTTTGTGCGAGCGAATGCATTTGTCTCGTGCAAATATTCGTTAGGATGCTCGGTGACGAGTCAGGTAATCCAAGTAATATTATTACGAGCTGTTACTTCTCTCTCTTTCTCTCTCTATGTTCGAGAAAGAGACACTCGCCGGCAAGTGGAACGACAACAACGTTACGGAGCGAAACGTAGCCTTGGCATTTGGCCCTTCTGGTCTTATAGCCCTCTTCATGAATAATGTAAATCGTCTCGTCTGCCTAGGTCTTTTCATTAAGCCTCTCGAAGCGTTATGGAAGAACGCAGATCGCTCCGAGAGAATGAAGATATCTCTCGTTCAACAATGGAAGCTCGCGATTAGAACAGTTAACGGTGCGAAGAAAGAGTGTGTATAAGACCGACGATAAGACGACAATCCCAAGCACAGCGGTCAAGCACTCTACTGGGAGAGTCCTAATAGGAACGGCAAATTCTTCGCTCGTGCACTCGCGTTCGTGAAGAGAGACTCGCTCCGCTTAGTAATAACGATCTATGGATCGCCGCACGCGCCACAGGCGGAGGCGTGCCGGCGGCGTGTATTGCGAACGCACACGTGCTACAAGTGCATTTACGTAATGAGTCTCCGGCTAGGCTCCCGCGATGAAAAACATCGGGGTACAGAGTGTAATGTAATGTAGTTTCTTCGTACGAACGTTGACGCAACATCTCGATATTTCGAACGAACGCTGTCGTAACTCTACATCGATGTTTCTCGAAGCGTTTAGGGCGAGCCTCAGCATGATGCAATTTTGGTTTTTATGACAAAACACAAGGGGCGGTAGCACGAAAGAGATAGATAAAACGCTGTATTGTCGTGAAGGACCCGCGATATGTTAATTGAAAATTGATGCGTTTCAGACAGTAACATGGATTACGCCGCATATCCTAGGCACCGATCGTCTCGACCGAGGTGATCCAAGGCGAGGAGAATAAATTTCTGTCGCTGACAAGAACGAATGTGTTTTCGATGTATTGGTCGTTTATTAAGAATGCCTAGCAACCGAGGCAATTTGCATCATAATATCGGCATTATGCCGCGACATTAAGTATCAAAGTCCAACATTTGTATTTATTTCTTTCGTTCGAATACATGTCAATAGCAAATAGTAGAAGCGGAGAATTCCAGAAGGAAGGAAGGAAGGAAGAATCATCCTGAACACGTATCTCCAGCCATGGGAATATTGGAGCCGAATGGGAGAGAAGTACATATTGATAACCGCGAGGGTTATCGGCGCCGCTATTATGACGCACGATACGTCGCAAATGATCAACATCCCTCGACTGTATTTAATCGTTAAGCTACCGCAGCTGCTCGTACTTTCGTCCTCTTCTAGGCTAAGTGTGTAAATCGATCTTCGACGCCAGTGAAACTCGCATGTAACTCACATGCATAGGTACTCGCGTGACATTACCCCCTTCGGGTCTCTATATTTAGCTGTAAACACTAGATAGAGCGATCGAGTTTGTCTCTACTTTGGAGCTTACATTTGACTCCAAACTTTCCAATTGTTCAATGCGAATTTGTTCCTCAGTGAAAACGTTAACTTTGAATATAGAGAAAGAATATTTACCTTTAATTTACGACAAACTTACGGAACAGATTCCATGTTGGAAAATAAGTAAAAAGGTCTTGGTAAATACATGTGAAAGCAAAAGCTTGATTTCTGAGATATAGCATTTAGAAAACGATGGTGCCTTTTTTTACTTGTTTTGGAAGATAATATCTATCACTTTTGATATGACAAACATTCACAAAAGGGGACCCACCTCCTATGACTTTGAACTTTAGAATACATTATATAGGAGTCATCCTCTTGAATAACCTTCAGAAGGTTTTAGCTGTCGTTCATTGTTTATTAAAAAGTTATAACAAAAGAAGTTTGAAAAATATAACACTTATTCTCAGTACTTATCTCTTCCATACTTACCAATACGGGTCATCCAAAATGAAGTTTCAGGAGAGAATATTATAAGTGTTTACGGGGGAGAGGAGCTTTGCTCCTGCCTTTTAAAGTAAAATTAACTTAATTCTATCTTTTTATTTCTCTTTGTCAGAGAGACTTGGAGAAACATACACGCGTCCGAAAAACACCTCGAATTATGTGTATGATTCTGTATTACATTTGAAACGTTTCTCTCTCTCTCTCTCTCTATTATTTCCCTTACATCCATTGCAATAACGGACTCCTTGTGTATTGATTAAGTCAACAAGAAGGAAGTTATCGGGAAATTGGCAATTATCTTGAGTGAGCGAGGCTTTTGTAGACAATCGATCGTTTTCTCGCTGTGCGTAGAGGTCAATAGATGATAATGACGCGTGGTTACGATTCCGTGGAGAGCAGCGCGCCCGTGATTAAATTAAGCGGCGGGTTAACAGCGACAGGAGAGAAAAGCGCGGCGATCAGCTCATTCGCGGGGGGACATTAGAGCGACGTGGGCGGTGTTTTATGAATGATATTACAGGCAGCTGGGCGCGCACGCTTTCGTATCATCGTGTGCGTGAATGAGACGATGATGTTGTCCGTTCATTCATCGACGAATAACGGACCTGATGAAGAATACCACGCGCCCTTCCAACCGGTAAACCGCGGCAATCTCAGTTTCTTCCACTACTTGCCGTCAGGCATTATGAGCGAGCCGAGAATGTCGTTATCACCTGTTGCGCAGCTCACACATAATTTTAACCGGCTCTCACCTAACCGAAACTCGGTATTGGTAAAGATATTGGATATTTCTAAATTTTTCTCCTCGCGAGACTCATTTCGTGATCTTGTATATCTTATCTAGGTCCGCTTACACTCGTAATGCGGTTATTACACTATTATACTTAATACTGGTAGAATGATATATGATAACACGATGATAAGACTGTAAAGTAGGCGTCGGTTATTATCGAGCGTTATCAAGAAAATCAGAAATCCACGATCCACGTGTGAGTTTTCGTTATCTGCTTGTGGAAGATATATTTTCTATTTTTGTCGCCAGAGAATTTGCCGGTTGAAAAGCGTGGATCGAATAAAACGGAATTCTCGCAAAATGATTAGCACTATATTTTCGTAAGTTCGAATTGCGATATTTTTTCGCATTTCTTTATATTCCTGTGTTTCTGAGACGTTGCCTCATAGAACATGCAGACTTATGTATGACATTCGTGTAAATTATAAACTAGTTTTCTTATCGCATCCGTAATCGAGGCCATGGATATCCGTGAGACTCATTAGCGTTGCTTATCGAGGTGGAAAATTAACGTTTTAAAAGCCGAAACTATACGACTGGAATTCAAGCTAAATCAATCCATTGTGACCATTGTGATCCAGAGTGACGTTCGTTGCTAACGATAAATATTCTTTCGACACAGATCGTTGACCGCTGCGAAATCGATGCATTATAAGTGCAAATACGAGCTGGATATATATATAGCACGGCATTTCAATGCGTACTATTTACTTTGTCGCTTTATTTATAAGCTCATCGGTGAATGCGACGAGAACGACTGGAAAGTGCGTCGAGAGGAGTGCGCCTATAACAACACGAGACTCGAATCCTCGATGTATTTATATCTTTCCCGAGTGTGCGTTGCAACCCCCTTTCAGTGTCAGGGCGAGAGCGAGTTTACGATTGACCGAAATTATCCTGCGATTTATTCCCAATTCGACTCAACATTTGTGCAGTTTCCTCCTCATACCTTTCGGAGCAAGTTGTAATAATTGACGAGATGCGACTTATTGTTCCCGCAATAATAATTATTGCTAGTGTTTCACAAATTTTACAAATTATCGCTTTACTTATTATTATTTTATATATTATTTATTTATAAGTGCATCGGTGTTAAATAATAAGTAAGTATTGCTGTTTGCAGAGGTGAAAAAGGAGGCAGAAGAGAGCGGTAGCACGAGTACGGCTGCGGAGAACGTCGTCGAGAAGGGAGAAGTCGAGGCAACTAAGGAGGGTGAGAAGGAGAAGGACAATAAGAATAGCGACCAGAATGAGAAGGAGACGACGGACACCGACAAGGAAAAAGATGCCACGAATGAGCAGGAGGTCGTCTTCATTCAGGACATGGGTTTTACCGTCAAGATCGTCAGCCCTGGTTCCGAGCCCTTCGACATTCAGGTGTCGAGCATGGAGCTTGTGCAGGTAATCGCTCGTTTTTCAGAACTATGAAGTGTTTTTGCATTTTGCGATAATTTCGGAGAGATATTGACAGCATCAATGTCCGGATTTTACGATCTGATACTACGACGGAATTTTTATCTTCACTTTACGACGTAATTTTTTTCCCCTTTTTTTCCTTAGGAAATTCACCAACTGCTCATGGATCGCGAGGACACGTGCCATCGTACGTGCTTCTCATTGCAAATGGACGGCAACACGCTGGACAATTTCGCCGAGCTGAAAAACATCGAGGGCCTAAAAGACGGCTCGATCATCAAAGTGGTGGAGGAACCGTACACGATGCGAGAGGCGCGCATACACGTGCGACACGTGCGTGACTTGCTCAAGTCCGTTGATCCAGCGGACGCTTACAACGGCGTGGAGTGTAGCAGCCTGTCGTTCCTCAACATAGTCACGAACGGCGATATCCTGGAGAAAAAGAAGACCCGGGCGGACTCTGTTGATTGCACACCACCGGATTACATTATACCCGGCTGCAAGGACAGGCCGCTGCTACCGTTGCAGCCACAGGCGAAGGAGCAGAAGTGTCCGCCGTGCCTAAAAGTTAGTACGATTAGCAGTAGTTATTCTGTTGCCGTGAATACGAATCAACGTTATAAGACAATATTCATAGTCAGTCTTATATTTAACTTTCATCTTACAAATTTTTTTAAGACCATCTTAAGCATAAGGACTGACTATGAATATCTATGAGACAATGGAGCAATGTTTCTGTGTTTAAAGAACCCGAGACTAGATTTTTGTTGAAAAACTTGGGTGGTTTCGAAGCTTCGTTTTCTCATTTCTCCAGGTTCTAACGACATCAGGATGGAATCCACCACCCGGTCACAGAAAGCTTCACGGCGATTTGATATATCTGCATGTAGTCACCTTAGAAGATAAACAGTATTACCTGACTGCGTGTGCTCGAGGTTTTTTCGTCAATCAATCTACCAAGGAGGTGTTTAATCCGAAGCCGGCGACGCCGAGCCACTTGTGTCACAGTCTGATCGAGCTGCTGAACCAATTGAGCCCAGCGTTCAAGCGAGGATTCGCCGCGATGCAACGACGCAGGACTCAGAGGCATCCTTTCGAACGAGTAGCTACGCCTTATCAACTTTACGCCTGGAGCGCGCCGCAAATCGAGCACACTATCGATGCTATTCGCGCGGAAGACAGTATGTTCTCTCGTCAAATCTGGACTTGTCTTTCTTAGCTGCTTGACTATGCAAGCGAAATATACGAAGTGTACCTTGATTTTAATCACTGGGAAGCACTAATAAATTAATCATATTTATGAAGAAACAAATGAGAGACAAGTCGGATTTAATTAATTTCTTTTCATCTATACTTTAGTGTTCTCCTCGAAGCTGGGATACGAAGAACACATCCCAGGACAAACTCGCGATTGGAACGAGGAGTTGCAGACCACGAGGGAGCTGCCGCGTAAAAATCTTCCTGAGAGATTGCTGCGAGAGCGTGCTATTTTCAAGGTGCGTCGTCTATCTATCTTTCTTGTTAAAACAAGAGAGCAAGAAATAGTTTCTCATTAAAACGAGAAAGAGAGATACTATCATATTGATAAAACGCGAACAAAATTAATACAGTAGCTTCATGCAAATATTAGGTCTAGTAAAAAGTAATCCATTATTTTTCCAATAGAGGGCTTTACTAATCTATATCTCGCGTTGTATAAGTCCGATCGGATTACGCCAGATGGCGTTAGAAAGATAAGATTTCGTATTAAAAAATCCTCTCAGACAGTTTTGTGATTGCTTGACTCAGTGTTGTTTGAGCGCGCGTCAAAGATGGACACCAGCAAAGAGAAAATACGCCATATTTTACAGTTTTTCTTCGATAAAGGCGAAAACGCAAGCCAGGCGGCTAAAAATGTGAATAGTGTTTATGGTCCTGATACTGTAAGAGCCAATCACGCGCAATTTTGGTTTCGTCGATTCAGTTCCGGTAATTTTGATGTCAAAGATGCACCACGCTCCGGGAGGCCAATTGTCGAAAATGTTGATAAAATAATGGAAATCGTCGAGTCCGACCGTCATGTAAGCACCGTTTCGATTGCCAAGGAGCTAAACATTGCACAAAAAACCGTTTGGAACCATTTAAATGAGGCTGGATTCAAAAAGAAGCTCGATGTGTGGGTGCCACACGAGTTAACGCAAAAAAACCTCATGGATCGAATTTCCATCTGCGAATCGCTGCTAAATCGCAACAAAATCGATCCATTTCTGAAGCGGATGGTTATTGGTGATGAAAAGTGGGTCAATTACGACGTCAAGCGAAAACGATCGTGGTCGAATCGCGATGAGCCGGCGCAAACGGTGGCCAAGCCAGGGTTGACGGTCAGGAAGATTTTGCTGTGTATTTGGTGAGATTGGCAGGGAGTTATCTACTATAAGCTGCTCCCCTACGGCCAAACTCTTAATTCGGACCTGTACTGTCAACAATTGGACCGTCTGAAGGAAGCAATCGTCCAGAAGCGGCCAGCTTTGGCCAATAGGAGAGGAATTGTGTTCCATCAGGATAACGCCAGGCCACACTCATCGATAGTGACTCGCCAGAAGCTCCGGGAGCTTGATTGGGAAGTTCTTTTGCATTCACCTTATAGTCTGGACCTGGCACCAAGTAATTACTACCTGTTCCTGTTTATGGCGAATTTTTTTGCTGGTGAAAAATTCGCCTCAAGAGAAGCTTGTGAAAATCGACTTTCCCAGTTATTTGCCAATAGGGACGAGGGTTTCTATGAGAGAGGCATAACGAAATTACCTTCGAAATGGCAACAAGTTATCGAACAAAACGGCGCATATTTGACCTAAATCGGATCATTGTAACTATGTTAAATAAAGCCTCCAATTTGATACAAAAATAATGGATTACTTTTTACTAGACCTTATATTATTAAGTGTACTATTATTAAATCATTCTGAATATTTGTATCTTCAGACGATAGAGTTGTGATAAGTTTTCAATGACTCTTTAACTTTTTATAATTGAATAATATTTCGTAATATTGTATTGTTTACAAACCGTTCAGGTCCACAGCGACTTTGTGGCTGCTGCAACTCGCGGAGCGGTGGCCGTGATCGACGGCAACGTGATGGCGATCAATCCCGGCGAAGAAGCTAAGATGCAGATGTTCATCTGGAACAACATCTTCTTCTCGCTCGGCTTCGACGTGCGAGATCACTACAAGGAGTTAGGCGGCGACGCAGCGGCTTTCGTTGCGCCTCGCAACGATCTACAGGGTGTTCGAGTCTACGCAGCTGTGGATCTACCTGGTCTCTACACTCTCGGCACCGTCGTCATCGATTACAGGTACGTTGGGATACTTTTAGTGCCGTTGATAATTTTTGTCAATACAATTATCAAACGATTAACTTGTTCCCGTAGGGGCTACCGCGTCACCGCTCAATCCATCATACCGGGTATACTAGAGCGCGAACAAGAGCAGTCAGTAGTTTACGGGTCGATCGACTTTGGGAAGACTGTACTCACACATCCTAAATATCTCGAATTGGTGAGCAAACGATATCGAAGTTTCGCATAAGCGGACGTCTGTACCGTGTTGTTTTGCATTTAGTTGAACAAGGCCGGTCAGCAGCTGAAGATCCTCCCGCACAAGGTGATCAACGACGCCGGTGAAGAAGTGGAACTCTGCAGCAGTGTGGAGTGCAAGGGAATAATCGGCAACGACTCGCGGCATTACGTGCTGGATCTGTTGAGAACCTTCCCACCGGATGTAAATTTCCTCAAACGTGAGTCAGAGTGTGAATGCACACGATCGAGATGTCTTAAGATGCGTCGCGCACGCCAGCTTTTCTTATTCAGAGAAACATTCTTCCCATGCAGTGGAAGGTGTAGAGCTGAGCAAGGAAGCGCGTGCCCTCGGGTTCCCCATCGAGCACAAGCATAGATTGGCCTGCCTGCGTCAAGAACTGATAGATTCGTTCGTCGAGGCACGATACGTTCAGTTCATCAAGCACGCGGCCGTTCATTTGCAGCAGCTCACATCGGCAAGAAGGTCTCAAAAAGAGAAGGAAGTAACTGTCAAGGTACAAACGGATTAATATATTTCATGTTTTAACATTATATTTGTATATTGTTATTTTTTTCTGGTATGTGTACTTTTACTTTGTCTTCTACAGTCATTTCTTCACGACACTATTATGAATAATTTGAGACGAAGCTTGTGGAAAACAATACGCGCGTACGATTGTTATTTTGACGTATGGTTTTAGGAGGACAAGAAGGAGGATCCGGTTACCACGGTGGCAACAGTTGACAGTAACAAGGAAGATTGCACCCAATCACTGATAGAGGCTGATGAGGCCAAGAAGATCGTCGAAAGCATTACTGACTCGATCACAGGCGGTGAAAAGCAGGAACGTACGTATCGTAATTTTTTCTAAATGTGTATAAATGTTTATCGTACAAAATCATGCAGTCCAAAATTCTTAACATAAATCTTAACAAGTTTAATTAGTATTTAATGGAAAAGTAAAAGATGCGCAAGCAAAAGGGAATGTTGCTTGAAAGACAAATTCTAAAACTTGATCAGAAGGTGGAAGTTATTCTAACGAAAAAATGCTCTTACAATAATAATTCGTCTTTCAATAACAGTGGAGGAAAGCACGAAAGAAGTTGTGCGCAAGGCTGCAGCAGCAGTGGGCAGTTTGCGCGACGCTGAATTCGATGTACGATTCAATCCGGATGTGTACTCGCCAGGTGTCAAGCATCCTGATCCTAATGGTGTCGACCTGAAGAAACAAAAGCAATTAGTAAAGGATGCTGCTGATTTCTTGCTCACTGTGCAGTTGCCGACGTTCGTAAGTTCATTATGAAACTCCACTTTGGCATCTCCCAGTTGTTTCTTCAATTCAAGATTCGAGGGTTACATTTATCATTAATTCGCATCTGGCGTATTATAATTTTCCTGGTATTTTTGGTTGAAAATTAAATTGACAGCTCTTTGACTGCTTTAATGTTCAAGATAAATTTAATGATATATCTTTTCTAACAATTTTAATTTTAATTCTGATAATTACATCTTTGTTCTAGATTCGAGAATGTCTGGACCATACGGCTGCATCGATGGACGGCGGCACGTTGGTGGAAGCTCTTCACGGTAGAGGCATCAACGTTCGGTATCTCGGCAAATTAGCTGCTATGCTGGCCGCGGTACCACAGTTGCAGTATCTTAATTACATTGCTGTGTCGGAGCTGATACTTCGATCGGCTAAGCACATTTTCACCTCTTATATGCAGGTATTGATATTTAAGAATAAAAAGGTAAGATAGCAAAATTGTCGAAATACCTTGTAAAACGCACGTGTATGTATGTACGTGTATGCGAAACGGATCTGTAAACTTGCTATATTACAGGGTACGGAGCTGATGAGTTTGTCGGCGGCTATCAGTCATTTTCTGAATTGTTTACTGTCTTCGGCGCAGATTATACATCCGCAACAAAATTTAGAAGAGGTATCGTATTAACAAAGTTGAAGTAACATGTAAGTCAACAAATACAAGTGTGACTTTGTTTTAGCTTCAAAGCAAGACTGCCAAGCGTCGCAACAAGCGCAAAGGTAGGAACAACGGACCGCATCAGTCCGAGGTTGAGTGGGCGTCCTTGACACCTAAGTCACTGTGGCAGCAAATCAAAGGCGACCTGAAGGCCTACTACGACTGGGAAACGCCGTGTCCGGAGTCTTTAGACGCCACGATAGAGCACTTCCATCTACAGAAGATCTCGTTGTTGCGCGGCTTCTGCGTCAAGACTGGCATTCAGATATTGCTGCGCGAATATAACTTCGAGAATAAAAACCGGGCGACCTTCTTCGAAGAGGATATACTGAATATCTTCCCCGTCGTCAAGCATATTAATCCTAGGGTAAGCCAGTGACAATTGTCACAGAAAGATTCAGGATGCTTTCTCCAGCGGCTGGAAATATCTGGGTTATCTGAAAAAAAAATTCACGTCTAAGCTATAAAGTCAGTTTTTTTGTTAATTATTCCAACTAGAGTTACTTGTTGAAAATGAAACTAATATTTGACTCATAAGTTGAAATTCCGGGATCAGAAAAGTTAATCTTATTTTGGGTTCTCTCAGGCCAGCGACGCGTACAACTTTTACACTACTGGTCAGAGTAAGATTCAGCAAGGATACCTGAAGGATGGATACGAACTAATCAGTGAGGCACTGAACCTTCTCAACAATGTATACGGTGCTATGCACCCGGAGATTGCGCAATGTCTGAGGATGTTGGCGCGTCTGAATTACATAATGGGCGATCACGCGGAGGCGCTTGCCACTCAACAGAAAGCTGTTCTCATGTCGGAGAGAGTCAACGGCATCGATCATCCGTACACTATTACGGAATACGTAAGTCACACGTTGCACTGTATAAAATGCATAAAATGGTAAGACAATGTGTAATCATAAAATGGAATTTTTTTTCTCTTTTTCCATTTATAGATACATCTCGCCCTGTACTCATTCGCCAACGGTCAGGTATCCGTATCGCTGAGATTATTGTATAGAGCGCGTTATCTAGCTCTCTTGGTATGCGGCGAAGATCATCCGGAAGTAGCTCTGCTCGACGTAAGTAAAACGATCCTTAATTAACAATTAATTTAACAACAATAATAATAATATTATAATACAATACTATAATAACAACACACAACGAATATGAGTGATATAAAATCAGGTGATAAGTGATTTCTCAAAAGCTGCCCTAAATGCGCGAATCGGTGACAATAGTCCGCTTGCTTTCAGAGTAATATTTCGCTGATTCTGCACGCCGTGGGCGAATACGAGTTGTCCCTGCGCTTCTTGGAGCACGCGTTGTCGCTGAATCTACGTTATCATGGCGCGCGTTCGCTGAAAGTAGCGATGTCGTATCATCTGGTGGCGCGCACGCAGTCGTGCATGGGTGACTTCCGTGCGGCGCTGAACAACGAGAAGGAGACGTATGCGATTTACAAGCAGCAGCTGGGTGAGGAGCACGAGAAGACGAAGGAGAGCAGCGACTGCCTGCGTCACCTGACGCAGCAAGCGGTCGTGCTGCAAAAGAAGATGAACGAGATCTACACGGGCAAGTCGGGCGTGAGCCTGCCGCCTATCCAAGTGCAACCGCCGAGCATGGGCTCCGTGCTGGACATGCTGAACGTCATCAACGGCATTCTCTTCGTGCAGATCAGCCAGCAGGACATCGACAACTTCAAGGCGGAGATCGAGAAGCGGCAGAAGGAGCAGTCGCCCGTTGCGGACGGCGGCAGTAGTAGCGAAGCCGTCACCAAGACAGCCGAGAACAGTTGCAAGAAAAACGACAAGGAGACGAAGATGTTGAACGGTGTGACGGAGGTGAAGGTCGAGCCGAAGAAGCTGGAGCCGGATGAAGCGGCGGCGGCGGTATTGGAAGCGATCGTGACGGCGGAGAGCTGAGTCCTTGGCTCCTCCGCCATCGCGAACGACGAACGAATGCTAGTAGTCTTTCCTTTCTCTTTTTTCTAAGCCCTAGTCCTCCCCGATGTACCGTGCGTGCGCGCAACGTTTTCGTCCCGAAGACTACGACGATGACAACCTCGAGCGCGTGAAATCGAGGGCCGTCGCGTACATTTGGTTATTTGTACCGTTTCATTGTGCTGTCGGAAGGTCGGTTCATGCACCTGCATCGGTGACGCATTCGAACGCATACTCGCAGTTTTCTCACACTCGTGCAAAGAAGACCGACACTGTGCATAAATCGATCTTAGGTTAGTCGATCAGGCTACAAGAACGAGACTGTTACGAGATAAAAGACACGACGACGTCCATCGTCGTTGATGTGTTTGTTAATGAAGGAAAAAGAGGCAACGTGTACACATTCGTCGAGCTCGCGAAACGCACACACTCGTTTATTATATGTGTACATAATGAAATGGAGTGCCATGTCGTCCGGGAATCATTCGACGCGACTGCGTTAGGTAGCTGGCGACGAGATGTTCGGAGGACTCGTCGCGAGATCAAAGAGCAATATGATTTTCTCCAATTGTACGCGCAACTTCGCCGAGAGCTCGAATATATTCATCGCAAGAACGCAACGGCGATAAGTGATCATTGATGAACGGACCGACGAATCCGTCAACACTCGATAACATTCGATACACACGATTAAACAGCGCAATTCGTATCAGATTCCGGAAGCTGGTTGTTCTCTCTCTATCTATCTATCATTTTCCTTTTACGTGTTATTTTAATCCGCGTTGAATTTTATACTAGTGCCTTTTTGTGAGATCATTGTTTTTCTTTTTTCCACCATTATCATCGTCACGTATTGCTCGACTCGAATCGTCGCCAACAAGAAGATCTTTCTTTCAGTTTGTTAGCTTTTAATTTGACACTCTGATTTCACGAGATACAATTCGTTCGGGTTTATATGTAAGACGGCTGAGAGATCGCGATCAAGTTTCAACGATCTCGAATATTTTAACGTGCCTGTAACGTGTTCTAACAAAAGTAGCAGTTTTATCCAAAAGAACTTGTGTCACACAGACGCTGAAGAAATCACGTGATGTATTATATACGCTATATTTTAAATTTTTCCGAAAAAAATGTCTAGTGTCAAATTAAAGGTTCAACTGTATTCGCGCTCGAGAAAGTGTGCTTCCTGTTACTTTCACGAATATATATATATATAATCTCGGATTTTTTTTAGATCTATAATTCGCGACAGGATTCTGTTTGAATTCTGTTCTTGCGTCGTATAATGCAGAAACCATTCGATGGAAATCAGTTATATTTATAACTGTACAATACAAATGTCTTCGAGTGTTTTTTCCATTACACAGCATGTAAAATTGTAAATAGTATTCCGTTCCGAATTATAGATCGTCTCAAGCGCGTTTTATCCTTGATATAGATATACTTAATTATTGTAAGGTGTTTACTATGCACACCGCATACCACATACACGCACACAACCCCTTGATAATCTCGGTCTCGAAGACGTGGTGATAATAAAAGTACGGCACAATGAATGGCATTGTGGCATATCCCGATCATGTTCATCAATAGTTCATCAATATGCGGTAACCGATCGTTAGTGGAGTTGCCGCTATAGTAGTTCGACTTGAAGATCGCTAGCGTTTTCGCAATTATAGCCTAGTTCATAAGGGAGAACGAGAATCGATTATTACCAAACTGTTGATACCCACTTTTGTTCGTTGTGCTCTGATAGATCTATCCGCGGTTTGGTTGGACGTTTCTTTCCTCCCCTCCCTTTCTCTCCCGGCGCATATACACATATAAGCATAAATGATTTGTCTCGATTTGATCAACGAGCAAGTCGTAATCCAAAGTAATATCACAAAGTATCATTGATTACCGAAGAAAACCGCGCCGATTAATTTCGTTGATCCCCCCCGTCATAGATTTTAAGCAACTTAGGCCTGAGAAAGAAGAGAGCACCGTTGCCTGTAATAGTAGTAAGAACGGATTGAACGAGCGATCGAACCATCATTTTGTCGCTGTGCGAAGTGATGTATCATCACGACGTACAATCTCCCCTCTCTCTCGACAGGCTATCATTCGCGTCGCAATAATAATAACAAAATTATTATGTTGCACTTGTTAGCCAAGTTGTACTATAAAGGAAGGAATATAGCTGATTAAGACCTATTTCTCTGCCCTTCTAATCCAAAAGGGCGTATCTTCAGTTTTCATGTTCTCAGTATTAAAGATTTTGTAAATCGGTCGGAATAAATAATATGAAATAATTAATTCGCTTGTGTCTCTCTTTCTTTCTCTCTCTCTCTCTCTCTCTCTCGCAATCATTCATTCAAGATTTGCCTTTTTTCACTTAGGAAATACGAACAATAAACTCAACGTTATCCTCACGTACGCCCGTTTGGCTTAGTAGAGCAATGTCATATATAAAATAAAAAGTTATAAACTTGATGAATTTACCAACCATCATATGGATTTTCGTTATTATATGTCGCATGAAATAAAACATTTTATATATATATAACGGACAGCACTTGGTTGAGTTACGAGTTTTACTCTCTCTTGGAGAGCAACGTAAATAATATATTTTATGATTGATTTGTTTCGACAACACCTTCGCCAGGATGCTTTTTCGTCCTCTTTCTTTTCTTCTTGGCTGGCTTCGACGAATCGTGAGATTCCGTTTTCTTCACTTCCAGTCTGTTTATCAGGTACTGCCGCAACGACTGCAACGCCTCCAAACCGCCGCTGCCGTTCTTGAAGATCATCCACATTTTGAATACGTCATCTTGTGGAATTGTCTCTTCGATTTCCGGGCTTTCGATCTCCACCCAGAGCTCGCAGGTGAGCAAAGGAACGGATTTTCCCGAACTCTCACCATTTCTTTCTTTCCCCACTGGTAACGTTTCTTCTGGTGAATTTCCATCAGCATGCTTGACGTTCTCTTCCGCAACAAGTGTTATGCTAGATGAAGATTCTTCCGCGACAGGTACCGTTTCTGAAGTCTCTACCGTATGAACGTTCGCCTCGGTGCATTCTGCATTTTTCAATTTCTTCAACGCGAGCTGTTGTGCTAATCGCCGTTTTCTGCGCGCGTGCTCCCATGTTCTCTCTTTGGCGGTCAGTCGACACACCCAGCCGTCGAAATTGCCCTCTGGAACCGGTACTTCTTGCAGTTTAATCTGTCGTGATAGGTTTAAACTCAATTGAAACAAGTGACAAATCCAAACGTCTGATATACGAAGAGAAATAGAAAGTGTGATTCATTACATTCAATTCTTTCGCTATTGTACTTAGGAAACAAGTCACATCATCCATAGAGGAAAATTTGTCCTTCACAGGAAACGTTATCAAGGTCTTGTAATCCTTGAAGGGCGGCACCATGGATTTCCCGCTTTTTCTAATAACAGGTGCGATGTTCAAGTCCACGACGTTTTTCGGTAGGAAGCTCCAGGCTAGGCCCCATCTGTTGGCAAACTGTTTTGAATCACTCAAACTGATGATTTATCTTGATTTAACTTGATTTAATAAATAATTAATTTATTAAGAAGATACCGTGTAGTGTGACCCTGGCAGAATTCCGTCCACGTCGAGTTCTCTATATTGCTAGACTTGATCAATTTCTTAAGATAAAGCAAGTCTGCCTTCTTTCCTATCATTGTACTGTAGATTTTTATTCGATCTCGCAGCTCGACACTCTCCTCAATCATCCTTGTCACAAACGCCACTTCGCCACCCTCAATCTTCAGCTCGCCTTCACTTCCGGTCGGCGCGTTCCTTGGCGGTAAAGCCTTTGCGACTCTTTCACCGTCCTCTTCGTTCCCGAAAAAGGGGGGATTGCACATGGAAAAGTCGTAAACCTGATCTTCTTCCACCGCGTCCTTAAAAATGTTATCCGAGTTCACTGAAATTACTACGTCAGGGAATCTTTTGTTATGTGAAATCAATTTTATCCGGTGTTTATAGATTACATCTCTTATTTAACTTTGAAGCAAAAAAGAAAATGTTAATATAGTTTACTTTTGATTAAGTTTTGCAGATTGTTCCTTCTTATGCAATTTTCTGCATGTTCTATGCTCTCCTTGTCCACTTCTGTGCCAATCATGTGACATTTATAGATCTTAGTCAGTAATAAAGCATATATACAAATTGCTCCTGTGCCTATTTTAAACATATTTATTTAAGCATCAGCCATATATATTATAATATTGGAAACTCAAATAAATTTATAAATAAATTGCAAAGTAGTAGATATGTAAAAGATTATTATTACTAAATCCTAAAAAGCATATTGCCTGAAACCACCATCTATTGTTATTTTTTTTTACTTTAGTAGAAAAGACTTCTCATATACCAATATCTATTCCTGTGACCCTATCCATCATTAGGTTAGAATGCTTCATCAAGTCCTCGATCCACAGAATATAATTCATACGTAATGTAATTGCTGGGTTCAATTTATCGGGTGGTATATTTACATGTAGATCAAAGTCATGCTTCAAAAGTGTTTCTGTGAGCACACAAACACTCTCCTTCTTTTGAAAATCAATCCTGACTTTTCCTGTGAGATCCTACAAGATAACAACATAATTAAAGTAATATAAAATAGTTTTTATATTGTTTTTCCATTCGAAATATGTTTTTACCTGCAAAAATATATACAAAGATATGAAAAACATATTTGAAAAGTATAGAGAGCTGTGTCTTCTAAGCAGCGCGTATATTTTGTCTTTATGTATAAATTATAAAATAAATTATACAAATTATAAAAGATATAATACCGTGACCGCAACTTTACGGAATTCCGGATACATGATCGCAAGCTTCTTGTAATCAGGTGGTTTCTTATATTTGTTTCTCGGATGAATATATTTCTTCACATGCATTTTGATACGATCAGTCGGAGATGTCACAAACGATTAATTACATCTGATAATTAATTATAGTCCGATATCATTGTTTGTAATCTCGCGTAGAAAACGTTAAACGTCAACTTAAATAATTCACCGTACTTGTTATATTAGATAATAACCTAAAAGTAGTTAAAAATAGAATTCGGCTAAGAGATTTATTGTTAAGTTGTACTATGATTTTCGTCAGCGACTCGTAACGGGAGCTTCAAGAACTAATTACAGTAATTTGTCGAGACTCGAACCTTCTAATACGAACAGTTACCGACAAAGCTGCAGGCTTCAATGATATATTCATTATTCGTTTCGTTTATTTTCAACAGGATGTATGTAACCCAGATAAAAATGACAATAAAATAGTTTGAACAGAATTTTATAAGTTGACACTTTTGATCTTTAGTGATCTTACTTACGATCACGATGTTTTCGTTTTTTGCCAAGATAAGCTAAATAAAAAATAGTAGTTCTACTTTTATATTTAGCATTGTAAGAAATGAGTAAATTTTATAGCCGATGAAATATTTTAATTATAAAAGCTTCGAGTTGCAAAATGCTTCTTGGAGCACTTTATTATCACGATTTTTGCCAAAGTTGCAGCCTCTTGAACTTATTTAACGGCAAGTCGAGTAACCATTTAAGTAGCACGACACAATAATAAATCAGACAGGTGTTTCATACTTTCGAATGGTGTAAATCAGTGACGAATTAAGTGTATTTTCCTTTCCAAGAACGGCCCGAACTTGAACAGAGGGCAGAGAGAATTTCCCCATAAATGTGAGTGACAAATGTTATGCGTCATCCACCGTGCGTAAGATAACGGGAGAGCAACGAGGAACAGCCAGCCTTTGGCCTGAAGGATTGTGCGGAGCGTGCGGAAGGAAGGGTAAAACGCCATTTAAAGATATGTACTCGTCAGAGTGCGATAACAACGACGGCGTAGAAAACAGATAGAAGAGACGGACGGATAAACACACCTGTTGCTGCTGCGGAGTTGCCGCGATGGCCCACCTGTTCAAGAACCTAACCAACAGCATTTGGCATGCGTTTTATGCACTGCAGGTCGACGGTAGCAACACGGTTGCCAAGTCGAAGTTAAAGGTAAACGTCGAGAAAGTGGCGCAGGGTGTAGGTGATATTTGACGTTGAATTTTATTCGTCTTTCCTGCTGTTTTACACACCTTCGCTTGATTTACGTCTCAAGCAATTATTTTAAATATTTAGAATTTTTGATAAATTTAAATGTTAGGAAGAGTATTATATATATTTGGTGCTTGTCCATAGGTTCTGACAGCTAATATCGGCACGTTAATGGACTTGTATGGAGTAGAGAAGGGCCTGGAACATTATCGGAGCACTCAGAGTTTAACATTTGATCAGTACATCTATTATTTGCAGAAAGAAGTAAGGCACTGTGAGACTAAATATCAGTGAGTTACTTGGATAAAGTTGAGGACAAATGTTAATGCTGTTGCTTCTTGATGAGAGAAGTGCTTAGAATCTGTCTCTTCTTTCCTTTGTTAAGAGCATTTGCTTTGCTTCAATTGCAGCCAGCTGTTCAACTTAGTGCGTACCATAATAAATATCACAAATTTGGTATTATTACTGATTCAGGTATTCTCTTCCATCACCGATGCCACTTCTATACAAATGCTAAGAGCACTAGAAGAAGGAATCGATGAGATCTGCTGGCTGATATGTAAGAAGGTATATCTAGAGAGATCCCATCCGGTATTTGAAGATCACAGTGTCTACCAGTTGTTCAGAATTTACTGTCTGCTAGCTGAAACTGAACCGGATGCAACAGATGCTTACCTGGTTTGCTATTACGTTTATATAAACAGGATATCTCCTGTGATCCAGTGTCTAATATGTCGTCCTCTTAGGTATCAATGCACGGCGACGAAGTGGCTCGAATTGCTTCTCATCTTGTAATGTCTTTAGGCTTGCAATGGGATGCGACAGATTTTTCTGCTCTGTCAGCGGCTATCGGAATGTTCAGGTAGCTCTCTGTCCGTTTAATCGAAGATAAAATTACAAAGAAAACACGTTTTTCACCTGTGAACGTGTGTGAAGGTTCCCCACGTTCCTGGCGGTTCTCGAATCCAAGTACAGCGGCGGCAACACCTTGGACACTGTCGCGTTGACAGAGGCGATTGATGATCTCTACCAGATATATGTGGAGAACGTGGTGAAGAAGGTAAACCAAAGCTTCGAATTTTGTGTAATGACAATGACGGGTCGCGAATTAAATAGATGTTATGTCGCAGGGATACTTGATGAAAAAAGGCTTCCTGTTGCCGACGTTGCGATATTTCTGGTTCGTGTTGCGTCCCGGTGAATTGGCATATTACAAGGATTCTCAGCAGAAGGAACCATCCGGACTGATATTGTTGAACGCTAACTGCTGGGCCGATGCGTTGACCAACAGCGGTAAGCCCGACAGGAGATTTGTGCTCAGCACTCCTGAGCACAGATGTATCGAGCTAGTGGCAGAGGATCACAAGGGCAGGCTGCAGTGGCTCGCAGCTCTGCAGACTGCTATTCAGCATTCGGGCGAGAAGATAGGCTACCAAAGGAATCTGGCCAATCAGAGGAGATCCTTACGACAGGTATAATCGGCGAAGATCTGATCAAACATACCACTGCTGCTGCGAATATACCGATGTATGTTCTATTGTATGTATCAGGCAACTAAGCAAGAGAAAGAGGAAACCAAGCTGGAGCTTCAGCACGAGAGGCAAGCTAGAGTCGCCGCTGAGATACAGGCACGGAAACTCGAGGCTCTGTCAAAGCAGGAGTGTGCTAAGGTACAACAGCTAGAGGACGTGAAGCAGAAGCTGGAGTTGCTACTGCAGGAGGAGAAACAAGCTTTACGTGATGAGGAGATAGGTGGGCGCGTTTGATTTGCCATTTGTCTTTATCAAATTGTTTTGGCGCCATATTAATGTTATTTTGTGAGAGAACAATGTCGTGCAATTTAAATATATCGTACATATTACAGTACGGAGTCTGCAAGCGAGAGTTTTGCGCGAAGAGTGGGAGAAAAGGGAGCAATTGGAGAAGCTGCAGGAGGAACAGCAGAAACTGCTGGAGATGGAGAAAATGAAGAGACTGGAGTTCGAGCGAATGCAACGAGAGAACGAGCGGCAGCTGCATGGTATGAGCGTGTATTTCAGCTTTCTCATTTTATATCTTTTCTTCAAGATTTCACTTCACATACTTTTCTTCTGATATCACTATATTTTCGTCACTTCAGACGCCGGTTTACGGCTGCAGCAACTAGAAGCAGAGAGACAACACTTGGATACCGAGCTGCGCGCTGCATGCGAAAAGGTGAAGCGTGCCGAAGAGGCTCAATTTCTGCTGGAAGCTCAAATTGTGGCGCGGCCGCTGAGAGGAGGCGAGAGAATCAGACGCACTCAGAGTTTCGTACCGACGACAAAGGAGAGGCCGCTCTTGGAGAAGCTTGAAAGCAGCAGGCCCGTGACGTTGCAGAAAAATCTCTGATACGCGTGGGCTTCCAGCCGAGAAAGAAAACGCAGCATTTATCAACGCCCGAGTTGCATTTAAGTTTTCCACCAAATAGAGAGACACAAAGAGCCTGATAGAAACTATATTGTACGTCGAGAGGCAACTATATTTTATCTCCGTGAGAAACACGGGAGATTTTCCACGCGCGAGCTCCGATCAGGGTATACGAATTCGACAGTTCCTTATATCCCCGACATCGTCCGCTTGCCTCTTCCGCGATTTTAGCCAAAAAAATATTGGTATCGCATAGTATTAATATTGCGTGTACACCGTATTACGCGAACTACTCTTCATTCCTGATTCGTCTCAAAACTGACGCAGTTTTCGCAGATCTTGTAAATCTCGAAATACACTTCTGAGGTATGCATACAATGTACACCAGGTAGTGTAGATATATACTTTGTTCTCAGTCGTTTTCATTAAATCAAAACAATATCTAACAAGTTTAATTCCGTTGAAATGTATATACAAAGCTACTGAATCTTTTTGCTAATGTATACGCACGCTAGAATATTTTTCACAACTATCTTATGAAACGGACTAAAGATTGCCTAATATTTTACCCGAGTCGAATTAGATTTTTTACTTGAGTCGGATAAAATTTGATAATATATTTATATACATAAGCGACGTAAAAGAAAAACGAAATACTATGTTTTTACTAATTGTAAGTAAAGATCGATCGTTATTGATCAAACATATACTGCACATGGCTGACCCGCGGCAGACCCAGTGTGTTGTTATCTTTGAGAAGAATTTGTATCTTGTTAAGAATAAACGATCTGAATACTAATTTATAAAACAAGAGCGTGTAAGGTCACTCGTTCTTCACCCGCAAGATGCCGAAGAAAAAGGGAAAGGGAAGTAAGCTGGCTCGTATGAGCGACGAGGAACGCGCTCGTTACTTGCAGCATCGAGCCGAATTGGAATTAGAGGCGAAACGACGCAAGCAGCAGCTAATCGCAGTTTTTACGAAGGTACTGAGTGCATAGTGCCCAAAACGTGATCGCGTTTCCATAAATCGATTCTCTCGTATATAGAACAAGTTGAAACGCGAGGAAGCGTTCTCACGACTGAACACTGCGAAAATCAACGAACAATGGAGATTTATTCTGCGACGAATCAAGTGCAAGGAGCTTTACGAGGACGTGGAGTATCTATGGAGGAACTTCGATCGCACGGTGAAAACGAAGGACTCGGTGATACAACGTTTGTACAACGAGCTAGGCGCAGCGGATTTGGATCACAGGAGGCTACAAGAGGCTCACATTCAAATAATGGATGTTATATTCGGTAGCTCATACGTCTGACGTGGTATCGTTTAAATTTGTGCAGAAAACAGCCGAAGATTCTAATGCTAAGTTCCAAATAGAATGTTGAACATCAGCCTAGTTTTCGTAAAGTTTACTAATCAATATGATACGCATAGGAAAGTACAAGAAAATGTGTACTCGTTTGTACGAATCCTTCGTACGCGAGCGCGATCATATCGCTTCGAACGAGATGAAGGAATTGAATGGCGTACGAAAGGATCTGGAGCAACGTTGCAGACAACTGCAGAGGATAATCTTCGAGCAAAACAAACAGATAGAAGACTCACTGATGCAAACGAAGATCCAGAACGCCGTCAACACATATAGCATCGTGTATCTGGTACGGCTATATGCCTCACCATTGCCTCTGTGACGAACTAATGAGCCTTCGATCGGAAATATTTTCAGAAGGAAGACTCTATGTCGCGTTTAACGCAATACACTTCCAATGAGATGGAGAAGCTAGGGCGGCAGCTTAACGAGACAATGGCCGAGTACGAGAGAAGCACGAGAGACAAGAGGAAGCAGTACGAGTACTTGAAGGAACAAGATGACGCTCATCAGGCTGACGTGGCGCAATATCCGAGATTGCACGCGCAAATGCAGGGCACGATTAAGAACCTGAAGCAGGAGATGCAGGCGTTGTCGCAGAAACGCGAGCAGACTATAACGGAACTTAAGGATCACATCGTGCGTATGGGAAAGAGACTTCAGAGCTTGAGGCAGGAATTCTCCGTGGCTCGAATGTTGGACGCTACACAGTTGAAGAAATTGACTATTATCAGCGCTACTGTCCTGAAAGTGAGAGAGAGAGACCACCTATCAAACTCTCTCATTCACAGGTTTTCCATAAAAAATTTCCAAAAGTTATTATATTAAACTATCATTATCCAATTGAAATGATTAGAGCTCAGGGTAAAGCTCCCTTTTTGGCAATGTAGCTGAAATTAAAAAATTTACATAGTTTTATTGATAAAAATCTTAAAGTAGTTTGGAAATCACGTGATTGGCTAAGCAGCCACATTTAAAACATTTTTATCGATAAATGAGAATTTAGAATGCGAGCTTAGATGATACATATCTTCGAGGTTGCCTGATTTGCAGGAGTTGCGGAGAATTTCGGAGAAGGGTACGGCGCTGCTTTCGTTGTTGAAAATGTGCTCGAACTTGGAGCCGTTCTCGTTGACCATTCAGAAATACACTCTGCGCGACACGGGATCCAGGAAAGCATTCACCAGCTGCGTAAGTATCGCGTGAGAAACGAGCGGGATTGTGCCGTACGGGATCATTTTCACAGATGTCCGAGCCGTTTGATAAGTTGGAGAAGTTTTGGGAGCAGTACAATTACATCAAGGCTGACAACATCTTCATGAAGAAGGAGTGCGACAAGTTGTCGTTCGAGAACAAACAGCTGAGGAATACGCTGCGCACATATCTCATAACAGTTTCCAGAACTCCGGCTGCACGGCCACTTACTTCTGTTGTCATATGAATATTTATTTACATTTCTACCGTATCTAACAGGAAATACGACAATTAAGATTATTGACAAAATATACGTACTTAGATACCTAAAGTGAAATGACGATTTTTATCATTTTTCTTACGAGTAGTAGTCCAGTCTCATTAAAGTATGTACGAGACGCTGGGGGATCACACCAGGAGCAGATGTTGCGAGAAATATTGGGTTGATGCAAAAGTTCCGTTGTTTTGTTAAAATGATGTGTAACATTATCAATAAATCAATGAGGTACACGCCGTTTTGTCCGATGCCATCTCTTCGGCAGCTGTAAGATTTTCTGGAATTTCTGAGCGAAGAGCTAATTAAAAAAAAGGACGAAACGAACTTTCGCATCGACCCAATGACTTATTGTCTAACGGTGAGTAAATATGCCTCCTCCCAGCGGCAAGTATTTGTACGGTCGAGCGCGAGTTCTCCCTCTCACCGGATGGAAGAATATCTTCTCCTTTGGCGCCATGCTCTCCGTTTCCAAGTAGATGTCGAAACACGCCCTCAGTCGCTGTATCTGCGCGATCAGTGTCGGCGATTTCGTCCACATCACGTTAACTTCTCTCTCGATGTCTCGGACGATATCGGCAGATGCCGGGACCATGGGGCTGATGCTCACACTGAATACCGGCGCTATCTTCGGATAATCCGGTTTGATGGCGATCCTCGCCACGAGCTCACCTGTGAAGGAACATTTTAAATGCATACACGATATTCCTGGTTTCGTTGACGCCTCACTCTTAACACGGAGGATAATCTTACTGCTTCCACGGCGAAGCACGGCCTCGTAGAAAATGTCTATGGACGACAGTAGTTCTCGCTGATAGAAAGCAGGCGAGGAGACGTAATTCGAGTAATTCTTCCACGTCATGGTCGTGAATCGATGCAGGGACGTGGAGATCTTCTGCGGCATTGGATCCGTCGTGCTGACGAGGATCGGTAGATTGCCGGACTCGAGTTGCCGTATCTCTTTACACAGCTCCAATCTCGCTTTCACGCGCCGCTTGATTTCCTTCAACACACTCTCGACGCAATCTTGAGTTAGTTCCTGGCTCGTGGGCTGTACGTAAACGAAAAAATTGAATTTTGATCTGTCGATTGACGCGAGAAATTTTTGCTTTCATTGATGCGCACGATGTGTACGTACCTTTTGTTCGCGCGTATCCGGCAAGACGAAAGTCAAACCAGCCATTCTCTGTGCCCATTTATAGGGAATGCCTAGTCCCAGCGATGAGAACGAACCCAAATTATGTCGCGACAGTTGATAATGATTGGCAGGATTTGGACTATCCAATCCTAGATCCCGTGGATATAACTCGCGGAGAATCGATTCGGATATCAGCATGTCCCTGTTGATTAAAGACTTGAAAGAATAAAGCTAATTTGTTTTATATCAAAATGTTGATCACTGGTATATTTATATGATCAAAGTTTACTTACCCAGCACTTATACCTCCTAATTCTTCTGTTTCAAGCTTCGATTCCACAGTAATTACTTTTAAATATATCATGTAATAGAAATACAAAGTCAATTTCGTCTCACCTGAAAGATTAACATTTAAACGTAGCATAAAAATCAAGTTTTCAAGAGATATTAAGTCGATTTAATTCAAGTTTATTTATCCACAACTTACTTTTCAACGTGATCACAATTTTAACATGCAATGGGTGTCGCTGCAACAATTTAGATCTTTTCTCCTCCTGTCTGGCTTCACGAGATAATCTGTGATGTCTTTTCTTGTGTACCGGCGTTTCCTCCACGATACTCTCCGCCTGGTTCTCAGTATCTGAGTCTGATTCTTGTAGACCATCTTGACAATTCGCACGTTTTGCTTCATCCTCGTCACCTTCTACTTTGACTAGTAGTGTACCATCTACAAATATAAATATAAAATAGCAGCTATATAAAAATATACGAGTATATTTAAGTATGTGTATATAAAATGTAATATGATACAAATTTTATATATTATATATATATATTTTTTTTTTATATTTAATGGAATATGTGAATAGATATTTAATTATATTATGTAATTATATTTTAATATTCATATTAATGTGAAGTATGGAACGACATAGATCGAAAATTAAACAATTTTTGTTCAAATCTAACTTCAGTAAAAAAAATGCAAAGAACAATAAACTTATACTGAATGTCAATATTAAAATAAATAAATAAGAAAAACAAAAAAAGACTGTGCGCGCACAGGCATTCATCCAAATTAAAATGCCTGCCGAGACCCCGGTGGCTTGTGCAAACAAACGACAGTAGTTTCACACTCCACGTTACACATAAAAAAAAAAAATAGCTTAGTGAAAACGAGCGCCTATATATTAATCATACCATAAGCATCCCTATAGGCGGATGCTTTCGCATACAGGACATAAAGCGGCGATGCAAGTAATGATGCTTTTTGATGTTCCTGGCGAATTTTATCCAGTGGCAATCCGAGACTCTCTTGCAACGATTTGCTTGCCTGTGGAAAGACGAGAAATTAAAATTTCCAACTGGGCGAACGTTCGATAGAAAAATTCTCAAAAAGTAAGAGTGCTACCTCTAATATGGCACGTAGCTGTGGTGCGAGATTATCCAAACGTGTCTGTTTTACATCAATGCTGGCTGCCACTGCTTTTTTACTTTCTGTTAGTTCATCACACAATGCTGCCAATTGCTTCCTTTGTGTCAGTTCCCACTCCAAACGCGCCAGCCTTAGTTGATGTGGATTATTCTTTGTTGTTTCCTAAAATATATATGTTATATAAATACTTATTGAATAATAAGCTTATATGGACTATATTTTGTATAAGCTGCATATGAAAAATACATACAGGTCGCGAAATACTTTCGGGAGCCTCTTTGTAAAATTCTTCTTCTGAAACAAGTGCTATCAACTCATCCTTAGATCTATATATTAAGAAGGTAATTTGTTATTTAAATAAGATGAAATATTCTAAGATATTTTCATATAAAAATAAGATTTACTTGAATTGAAGACACTTGATAACCTCCTTTTTCAAATGCATGACTTCATACAGTAAGTTCTGTAAATGCAGATGCCTGCTGTCTACACTACTTTTTGCCGTCACAAGTGAATCGCGTGCAAATTTCGTACGGAACTTTTCCATACGATTTAGCTTCTTCAATTCTATAAAATGCAAGGACGTCTGGATTTGCAGTTCACGAATTTCATCTTTCACCTGAAGTGTTATTACTTTTAGTATTCTTAAAGCAAATTTGACAATAAATAATAATCTACTTTGTTACTAACGTTTGGGTCTCCACTGGACTTCAATTTAGCTATTTTGCTCATTGCCGCTCGAATATTGTCGCAAGTCGTCAGGAAGAACTCGGAATCATCTTCAGGCAGTCTTTCGATAGCTTCCTTCTCTTCGTAACTAATTATTGTCTACAGTAAAATATTAATGAATTACACATATAGTCGTGCTACAAAAACATAAGAGAATAGCAATGTTTGATTTTAATTATAATCGATAGAGTAATTATACAAGAATATTTGTATAATGGCCAAGTTAATAAATAAATTGTAACATAATTCACAACTCCTACATACCTTGTACATGTCTCCATCTTTCACTGTCGTTCCACCGCTTCCGCTCACAGATTTCCTCCTTTTCTTCGTACCATCCGTTTCATTTTCTTTGCCCATTCTGTTAATCGTACGTATTAAATTATACTTTCACTAATCAGATTCTACAATACGTATTTCCATCAACAACACAACACGAGGAAAGCATCAACGGGAAAAAGAGGTTATACTTTACTAAAATATAGTAAATAAAGGTTAGGTCATATGGAGAATTCAGGTCTGACATGCAATACGTGGTAGGTCGTCATCGAATATCGTAACATAGTCGCTGGTCCAATGAGAAGAATTTGCTATCGAAAAATAAATTTTCTCATTGGACCATCGGCTGCGTTCCGACATTGTAGAACAAGCCTAAGGCTCGGAACACTTTAGAATTTAGTTAAGTTCGCTCTAATTAGTCAAATTTCAATCTAATCTTAACTTTAATCCCTAGTGTGATAGGACCTAAAGCCCGTATCAGAGTACGGATTGGGGTTTAAATTGAATTGTATTTGGCCAATCAGTGCAAAGTTAATTAAACTCAACTTAAGTGAAATTTAGTGTATTTTGCACCGATGAGTAAAATTTCAATTCATTCTCAATCTCCAATCCGTAGTCGGACACGGGCATTATGAATATCGCAAGAACACGGCACGCTTGTCACGCGACAAAAGACTACGCGGTAGCCAATCGACTGGTCGCTTTTATCGTAAGAGCGAGAGGTTGATTGGTTATTGCACACGTCGTATCTGCGGGAGCCAATTAGCGGCAAGGAGGAGAGTGCGAGTGGTGGGGCGAACGAGCGTACGGCTGGCTGGCTCAAGATGCGATTATTTCCCTCACGTACTCAAAGCACGTAGTAACACCGACGGAACTGTCGCCTCCATATTCGCCCCTTACGTCGTACCTCGCGTATACCTTCCTTACCGTTTTTCGCGCGTTTCATCTGGCCGTCATAGTGCCGTTAAACGAAGAAAGCGGAAGAGCGTTTCGAAGAGTACAAACATTCAAGAAGGAAAGAGGAGACTTCGCGCGGCGGAAGGTCCCGTCGTTGGCTCAGCACAAAACGACGCGGTACGGCGGGCGTGGATTCCCTCGATTATCTCTTCGTCGGTTTCTCCTCCTCTTTATGTATCTCAGAACATAGTCCCGGATACGCAGAACGAGAGAGGAAATCAAGAATGGAGCTGGAAGAGAGAGAGGCGAAGGTGTGCAGGCTGTGCGGCCAATTCGAAAGACTCTACATCGATGTGTTCGGCGAGGAGGGCATGAGACGCTACCTGAGCGTCAAGATCCACTCGAAGATCAACATAATGGTGAGTTGTTGTGCCGCATGGCCGCGCGGGCTTCCCATCGTAGGGTCTCGCTAGCTAAGCAGGTGTAAGGTCGGCAAAATAAATACGGGTCTGCACATTTCGGCTGTACTTTTTGAATTAAAAGTCAAACGAGTATGTATGCGCATTTCGAGAGCAAGGAAAGAGCGACTAAGTGTGACGAGGTGCAGAAAGTACAGCGGAAACGAGCAGATATAATGGCTACACACAAGGGGGAGACGCGCTTTTTACGCTTCTCCGTGCATTTTATGCTAAAACCGACACTCGACACTAGAATATCTCATATACATGTTACATAAACATCGCTGCTTTGGCTGAAGCGCGACGCTTTGTCTGCACGTAATTCAGTATCGCTTACAGTGCTCCTAATTTCGATCATTTTCGAAATAATCGCAAATGATAATAGTATACATGCAGCAAATCTATGTACTAAAAATTACATGTTATGTATGTATGTGTCTATGTATGAATGTTGTATGTGTACATAAGTATGATGTATAATATATGTACATAGGTGTCATTTTTTTTCCGCTTTCCTTACTGTTTATAAAATCATGACTGACATTAAAGGGGCATTGCGCTGGAAATTTCTTGTTTTATTATATATTTGCTAGTTTCTCCTCATTTATGATGAAATAAAACTAAGAGCTTCCTTTGTCAAGATGTGGGAGGCATCTTGGTTATTAACAAATTGTAGAACAATATTCCAATTTAATAATGAAAATTGCCTTAAGTTCATCTAGCCAGTGACTAGAAAAGATTATATCCAATGAAACAATCTTGACAACTTAAGATGAATTTAAGACAATCTTAATTATAAGATCAAACTAGAAATACTGCCCTTGATAATCCATACCTTTCTAATGTTCGAAATCATACATATTCAACATGGTTAATGACCTAGTACATAAGTTTTCAAAAAG